ATCTTTGGAACCTTGGAGTGCGAAGATCAACGAGAAACAGTCCGCTATTGCAGTTGCCCAGAGCGAGCTCGACATCATGCGTGAGCGTGAGAATGCAGGTGCCAAGGGTATTGCCGAAGTCGAAGCAAAGATCGAGAGCTTGGAGGAAGCCAAACAGGCGAAGGTTGCAGAACTTGATGAGTGCAAAGCCGAGAGGAAGCGTGTCGAGAAGAACGTACAAAAGACACAGGCTAAACTTGAGGAGATAACTCAACAAGAACCGGCGCTGAGGTCGAAGCTATCTGGCGCACGAGCCAAGGCAGATGAGGCCCGGGCAAGTCTCTCTTCCGCTCAGACTCAAGGCAACGTTTTGACGGGTCTGATGCGTCTGAAAGAATCAGGACGTATCGATGGATTCCATGGTCGACTCGGGAACCTAGGCACCATCGATCAGAAGTACGACGTTGCTATCTCTACGGCCTGTCCGCAACTAGACAACATGGTTGTAGACACAGTAGAGTCTGGTCAGCAGTGCATTGAGTACCTACGGAAGAACAACCTCGGTCGCGCCAACTTCATTCTCCTGGATCGCCTCGCCAAGCGTGACATGTCGCCAGTGCAAACACCCGAGAACGTGCCACGTCTTTTCGACCTCGTCAAGCCTAAGCACGAAAAGCTCAAGCCTGCATTCTTCCAGGTTATGACAAACACGCTGGTCGCCGAAGACCTTGACCAAGCTGAGCGTATCGCATATGGCGCGAGGAGATGGCGAGTCGTCACCCTAGACGGCAAGCTTATCGACACTGCGGGTACCATGAGTGGTGGTGGAAGCAGAGTAGTCAAGGGAAAGATGTCTTCCAAGCTCGCGTCTGACGTCTCGAAAGACCAGGTCACAAAGCTCGAGCATGACCGCGATACGCTTGAACAGACCTTTGCTGAGTTCCAACAAGAGCTGCGGGAGCTCGAGACTGCGCTGAGAGACCTCAATCAGCAGATACCCGAACTAGACACCAAGTCACAGAAGCTTGCGCTGGAACTTGAGAGTTTTGATCGCAATATTGCGGATTCTCAGCGCCGCATCAAAGAGCTAGGTAGTGAACAGACATCCACGAAGACCGACAAGGGACGCATCGCATCGCTGGAGAAGAACATCGCCACGATGGAGAAGGAGGTCTCTAAACTTCGTGCAGAGACTGAGGATATTGAAGCGGAGATCAAGGCTCTTCAGGACAAAATCATGGAGATCGGAGGAGTCAAGCTACGAGGTCAGAAGGCCAAAGTCGATGGTCTCAAGGGACAGATCGATACATTGACCGAGCAAGTGTCCAATGCACAGGTCGCGAAATCAAAGGAAGAGAAGCAGTGCGTCAAGCATGAGAAGGCACATAACGATGCCATCAAAGAGCTCGAAAAGCTTGCTCTTGATGCCGAGAAGGTTGAAGATGATATGGCTTCACAACAACGCGACGTTTCCGGGATCCGACAGCAGGCCGAAGAAGCGCAAGAACAGCTCGAGGCCAGGAAAGAAGAACTTCAATTGGTCAAGAAGGAGCTCGATGAGAAGCTGGGCGAGCTCAACGAGACGCGTGCGGTCGAGATTGAGATGCGCAATAAGCTTGAAGAAAGCCAAAAGACTCTGAACGAGTACCAGAAGAAGCAAGCATACTTCCATGACAAGCTAAGCAAGCTCGCATACCAAAATGTCACCGACTTGGGCGAGGAACAAGAAAACGGAGGTGACGGTCTCCCGTCTTACAGCAAAGACGAGCTTCAAGACATGGACAAGGCTACTCTCAAGGACCAAATCGCCCACTTGGAGAAGAAGAACGAGTCCACGCAAGTCGACCTAGCGGTCCTCGCCGAGTACCGCAAACGTGTCGAGGAGCATGCTGCGCGCTCCACAGACCTCGCTTCTGCTGTCAGCGCCCGTGACGCTGCAAAGCACAAGTGCGAAGAGCTTCGACGTCTTCGCAAAGAAGGTTTCAAGGCTGGTTTCGACATCATCACTGCGCGTCTCAAAGAGATGTACCAGATGATTACCATGGGTGGCAACGCCGAGCTCGAATATGAAGATACACTCGACGCCTTTTCCGAGGGCATCCGGTTCTCAGTAATGCCTCCGAAAAAGTCATGGAAGAACATCAGCAACCTTTCCGGTGGTGAGAAGACATTGAGCTCTCTAGCTTTGGTGTTTGCTTTGCATCACTACAAGCCTACACCGTTGTACGTCATGGACGAAATCGACGCGGCGCTAGACTTCCGCAACGTGAGCATCGTGGCGAGTTACATCAAGGAGAGGACGAAGAACGCACAGTTCATTGTTATCTCACTTAGAAACAACATGTTTGAACTTGCATCGCGGCTGGTCGGCGTGTACAAGGTCAACCACATGGTAAGCTCATCTCAAGTGCACACTCAATGGCTTCAGCATCGTTTACTGACTTATTTTAGACGAAAAGTGTTACGATTGAGAACAAAGACTATATCATTAAACAGGCTTGATGATTGGTGGGCAACGAAGACTCTTGCGATTGGTGTTTGGTGTTGGGAGTAAACTCGCGGGCACGTATTCGGTATGAAGCGGAATGGGTTGGGCTAGCTGCGATGATACCATACTGAGATGCATGCGGCCTGGTACTGAACGAATGCAATGTTGAATGTCATTATCATTATATCTATAAAACCTCGCTTTGAGCACTGATATACCTAACTGAGCGTCCAAGGTTGCGCGAATCTACAGTTGCACGGAGCTAGATCAAACTAGCTTTGCTCGCTCTCCTCCCTTAGGCTCTTTAAGTGGCAGCAGTGTAGTCAATTTCACTTCCCGTCCCTTTCATCAGGCATAGCGGCTGCCTGCGCACACAACAAAACTTCTCGACCGAGGCGTTGCTACGGTTTCCAACTCCCACGCAATCGCCCCTCGCCACCTCGGACCTCCACCTCATATACCGCTTACACTTGTCTTAGCTTTGACCATTGCTAACAACCTACTCAAGTACGTCAACACGGGTTACACCAACTTTCGGCCTACACCACATACCCACTTCCTGCCTCTGCCCCTACCTATACCTATACCCGCAACCACTGCACGTTCTCCACCAACACAATAGTGCACTCCTACTTCACCAGCACCTCACAACTTGAGCGCGCGACTACGTCAGCCGCTCACAACACCATGGCCCACGTCACTAACTCCGTTCCCACCCCCTTGAAAGGCCACACAACTCGAGATGTTAGCAGCGCAGAAGAGGCGGCGGCAACTCCTATATCCAAAGCGAAAAAGACCTCTGAGAGCCCTCGAGTCGAAAAGAGCAATGGCCAAACTACGCCTAAGCGAACTCTTCGCAGTACCAAGTCTACCCAGACCACTCTGAGCAAAGACACAACAGTCAAATCTGTCGAAATGACGGCTGTATCAGAAGAATCAGATTTATCTGCATCGGCGACAAGCAGCGATGAAGGGGTTGCTACAAGGTCAACGTCCGGGACTGAGGAGAACTCTCGCGTAGACCGCAAGGCCAAACCATTCGTCACCTCTTCGAAAGACCCTCGCGCCGTTGCTCAGGAAGATTCGTCACACGGCAAGAAGCGCGCGGCAGAAGACAAGAAAGGCGGTCGAGCTAAGCGTCAAGTTCGATCATCCCAGGAGCTGGGTCTGACCTATAACAGCATCAAGGCAATCAACATGCCGCCGCGTGGTCTCGTGGCCGGCCAAGACCCTCCCGCTCCCACACCCGGTGAATCTCCCTACGGTGACACAGAAGATCACCAGAACAGTATGATCATCTACTTGCTAGATGATTTGGAGCACACATACTCGCAGGCGACTATCTTGTACAACAAGGCATTCCCAAACGATACAGTGACGGATGAAGCTGTACGTCGCCGCCATATTCGGTCTCTCGAGCGCTTACAGAAGCGTTACGGTGCAAGGCCTGCTACGCAGATTGGCGTAGTCGGCAGGAACATCTCGAGACGTGGAAGGCCGCGTGCGCCCCGTCTAAGTGGTATTCAGCCCGAGAAGGACTTGGTTGCTCCCTCCGAGGAGCAGACCGAAGGCGAAGGCGAAGGCGAAGTCTCGGCCCTCGAAGAGACTTCGGCGGATACATCGATTGCTTCTTCGAAGGGTGGCTCGGTCAAAGCCATGAAGCAGGCTCAGCGCGAGAAGCGGAACTACAAGAGCCACGAGTTTGACAAGGCCTGCATTGTTGTTTGGCACGATGCTGAAGGCATGTCGTTCAAGGACATCCGCAACAAGCTCGAGGAGCGTGGATGGTCCCTTGGCGTGCCCACGGTCAAGAAGGAGTATGCGAAAGCTCGTGCTCGCATCTGGGGCACGTCACCAGAACCTGCCGCCGACGATACTGAAGAAGGTCATGGAGAAGTGATCGAAGATGAAGAAGACGGAGACGTGAACATGGAGGAGGAGTCAGTTGAGCAGGAGGAGATGTGAGTTGGAGACGACGGGGTGGCAGGCGTCACCGTGCGGCGACCCGATAGTACAGGTTGGAGGCGACAAGGACTGGACATATGATTGTAAACGTAGCAGTGCGATCACCTGATACATTGCAATGTTCTATTGAGAATCCCCACATCCGTGCACATTGCGTGAAGTGAATCTTGAACGCGGCGATGCTTGACCGTTCTCTTTGACTAGTTTTAGCTCAGCGCACGGGCCACTCCGCCGCGGCCTTGAACCGCGACTGGATTCCATCACTTGTACACGACACAGAGCCATTTGGCTGTATCGACACCCGCGCCCCCGAACGACCGAGAAGCCCCCCGAAGACGCACGCGAACAACCGACGCAACCACCCGGCCTGTCTCTGTGGCGCCTCGCAGTATTTCGAGCGCGGTGATAGCGTGAATGACGGCGCGCGCACCCCTCAACCGCCCTTCTGCCTCGCGGCGCGCTTTCACTTTTTGCGCCTGAGTCACACGCCTATATTAATACCTCAACTCCCCTCCAACTCCCTGAACACGTCCAGCGACGCTTAGCTCCCATAATACCACACGCGACCATGGCCGACGAACACCCACCCCAGAATGTCGGCGGCGACTCCACCGCGGACAACGATGAGGAGGACTTCCGCAAGATCATGCAACAGATGTCGCGGGGCGCTGCTGAAGGCGAGGAGGATCTCCTGGGTGGTATCGCGGACCGGCCGCTGGATATTGGCGAGAAGGCCGACGACGCAGTCGATTACGAAGACATCAGCGATGACGACTTGCCGGACGAGGAGTTCGCGTCGGGCGAGGGCGCCGATAGCACCCAGAACTTCAGCGGAACTACTCTACAGGATTCTGGCGGCGCAGGTGACAACGAAGACGTCGACATGGACGACCTCTTCGGCGACGACCACGACGATAACGATGATCTCTTCGGCGACGATCCCAGCCACTCCGACCCGGTGCAAGAGTCCGCGCGACACGAAGACGACCCTCTCACCTCCATCGAAGACCTTGTCCAGGAAGGCTTCAGTAGTGTCGCAGAGGATAAGCCACAGTCTGCCACCCGCAACATCGCCACCAGTGTCGCACAGCAAGAGGTGGAAGAGGAAGACCCCGAGGTGCGAGAGCAGCTGGCTCTGTTCGCACAGTCTTCGCGCAAGAAGGATGAGCCGGCGGCTGCACCCGTAAAGACATCGCGGGAGGAGTTCGAGAAGATCTGGCCCAACTTTGAGGCGGACAAGCCGCCACGCTTCTTCAGTCTGGTACCTCGAAAGCGCGCTTTCTATATCCCCAAAGTTCCGCAAAAGACACCGAGACCATTCCAAACCAACAAGCTTACCTTGGACCTTGCGACGGACCAAGAAAAAAGCTTCCGGTTGCATCCTACGACCACCACTGCCAAGTCAGGCCGGCAGCAAGAAGAGGAGCAGGGTGGTCTCATCCACATTACCAATACCGCCGACGAAGATGGCGATAGCGAAGATCAGTTAGAGTTGGACAACCTCGACACCATCGACGACCGTGAGATGATCGGCAATGTATCCTGGAGCGACCTACGGATTGCCTGTGAGGATTGGGACGTGCCAGATGGTGCAAGCGATTTGACCATGTCCGACGGGAACCAAGCACCAACGCCGCCTGATAGCATGGGGGGCATTGACTTCGAGCAGTTATCGCCGAACAAGAAGCGGAAGCTTGGAAGCCGTGAGCAGCCCATCCAATTCTCCGTATACGATCACATGGACCTACCCACCTGGGACGATCCCGAGCTTGAGACGGCGCGACTGTCCAAGAAGATTCTTCTCGACATGAACGACCCCCATCTCCTACTGGATGTGCAGCAGCCCAGTGCAGAGCCACCGAAACCTCGGACATTGGGTGTAGGCCTCAAGCGCGACAGCCGCGGAAGTCTTGCGAACCCCATGTTCAAGCGCTACAACATCTCCAACGATGAGGCCTACGACGCGCTCAAGGAAAGCAGCCAACAGAAGGTCCGTAGTACGATTGGCCACATGAACGTTGAGCACAGCTTGCCCGCACTGAAGCTGCAATATCCTTTCTACAAGGTTGCGCTGTCCGACCGCGAACTCCGGTCTTTCCACCGTCCTACTGTCACGTTCAAGCCCGGTGAGCGAGCTAGTATCTCAGTCCTCAAATCTGTCAAAAGGAAGCACAAGAAAAACCTCAAGCCATCCGAAGCTTTCGCGTCAGCAGAAGACCTCAACATTGGCGATAATTCTGACCTCCTCCTTGCCGAGTACTCGGAGGAATACCCTACCACGTTGTCCAACTTCGGTATGGGTGTCAAGATTCTCAACTACTACCGTCGGAAGGACATGGAAGATACTGCGCGACCAAAACCGGAAGATGGTATTGGTGAGACCTCGGTGTTGCTACCGCAAGACAAGAGCCCATTCTCGCTGTTCGGTCAGGTTGAGCCCGGCCAGCAAGTGTTGACGCTTCACAATGCCATGTACCGAGCTCCCGTGTTCAAACATAAGCCCGAACAGACCGATTTCCTTGTGAGCAGAAGCTTCACTGGTGTTAATGGCCCCAAGTACTACATGCGAAACATTCCAAATCTCATGGTCGTCGGTCAGCAGTTTCCTTCTGTGGAAGTGCCCGGTACACATGCCCGCAAGGTTACTGAAGCCTCGAAGAAGCGATTGAAGATGCTCGCGTTCCGCTTGTATCGAAAGGGACAGCAGAAGAATGCGCGTCAACCTTGGGTCAGCAACGAGATGATCAAGCAGCATTTGCCTGGTACCGAGATTGCGCAGAATCGCTCTCGAATGCGAGAAATCATGAAGTACCAGAAGGACATTGGAACTTGGGAGCCGGTGCCTGGAGAGACTGTTCCCGAAGAGCCGATTCTACGCACTTGGATCAAGCCAGAAGATGTTTGTCTGATCGACTCGATGCATGCTGGTGATAAACAGCTGCAGGACGCCGGCATCAAGTCGAACGAGATCCGTGACGACGATGAAGAGGCTGACAACGAGAACGCTGACGTCAAACTCGCGCCATGGAACACAACAAAGAACTTCCTCAACGCTTGCGCTGGCAAGGCTATGTTGGAGCTTCATGGTGACGGTGATCCTACCGGTCAAGGTCTGGGTTTCAGTTTCATCAAGGTTTCGATGAAGGGTGGTTTCAGAGATGTTGGTGAGAGTGCAGCTGATCGTCTCGATAACAAGAAGATGAAGGAGCTTGGTGGCCACAGCTACAATGTCCAGCGTCAACAGGTCATGTACGAGAACGCCATCAAGCGCATCTGGAACAAGCAGAAGGAGAGTCTATCTGCTCAGAACCCGCCCTCCGACACCGAAGACGATGTGGACTCTGCTGTAAACCACAACAACACAGGTCGCCAGCGTTCCGAAGTCGGCACCCCGGCCGTACGTCCTGATGATGAGACCATGTCACAAATGTCTCGCAATAGCAATGCGGACAACAGCGGCAAGAAGCTCAAGATCACTCGCACTATCAAGAACAAGTACGATGAGTACGAGGATGTCACAGAGGTCATCACCGACCCCGCCGTTATCCAGCTCTACATCAAACACAAGCGACAGCAGCGTCTTCTCAACATGCGCATCGAGGACATCAAACCAACTGGCGATCCTGAAGTGGACAGGGCCCAACAGTTGAAGTTGAAGGCAGAGTTAGCACGTCTAGCTCGCAACATTGAACGCCGTGAAGGTCGTGAAAAGGCAAAGGGTATGCACAAGTCGCAGACCGGAGAAGGTGGTGCGACTGGTGGACCAGGCAAGGGCGGAGCAACACCTCGCAAGTGCGCTAACTGCGGCGAGGTGGGTCATATCAAGACCAACAAGAAGTGCGTAGACAATCTTCCCTTTCTTCAACGAGTTTACTGACAGATTTTCCACCAGGCTCTGCCCGCTCCTCAACGGCCAACGGAAGCAGAACGACACATTCAGGGACGCAAGTGCTGCATCTCCCGCCACCGTCGTTCCTGCTACTCCATCCTTCGCCGGCTCACCGTCCTAGAACGACAACGTCACTAGCGGCACAGTGACTGGCTCTCCATCCACTGTTCATAATCCCGGGGCACCCCATTAGTAGAGGACATGATCGAGATGCAACAGCTGCTACGTATCATAACTGGTTTTTCAAGTTTGTACAAGGACATTCGTCCTGCACGGACTATCTGACTATTAACGCATCATGTGTGGTGGTATGAGCATGGGGATTTCGAGTCTTTTTCTCTTTCAATGCATAGCATGGCGTTGGGCGGACCAGGTCAAAACGGTACTCGGAACCTGGGCTTACTTCGGTAGCTCTCATGGCGTTTATTCTTTTGTGAGCACAGGTCTTATGTGCTCCGCTCGTTGACACTCGAGCAAAGTAATCTGTATAACATGTTCCCTGCAGAGGGGCGAAATGAGAGTAATCATTCATGAATTGTGCTTGTCCATGTTGGTGATCATGTCACTGTTTGTCGATAGATGATCATGCCAGGTTGGTCGACTTGATCTGGTCATCCACATGTCCTCTATTTCAGTAGAGTAGAGGACGTCACGTACGTTGCGAAGAAATACATGATAGTGCATCCACAGTCTCATACATTGACTATACAAGAAGATAAGAAAGAGTTGATACAGACGGCAAGAAAAAATCGCACAAAATCCATGTGAACTCTCTCGCAATGCTACGTTCACTTGAAGCAAAAATGCTTTCCCATGCAAGGTTGGTCTCCAAACACCTCCGCCAATATACACATTCCTATATTCGCCTAAAACCCCACCTTCCATATCCTACACCACCCCATTATTCATCCAGATAACCGATTTTGCAGAATTGGTTCAGACTCCGCACATCCAACTGAGCGGTAAGCAATGCGCCGAGCATGGTCTCTTTCCGAGGTAAGATGTCTGCCTTGACTTTCCACGAGCTACCGTTGAAGTTGAAAATCTCCATGTCGTCGTCTTCATCTTCGTCATAGTCGTCCTCATCATCGTGTTCCATGTGCCCGTTTGTTTGCTGTACGCCCTTGACCAGCGGTTCACCACCCTTTGACTTGTCACCTAGGCGTTTCAGGGTTGATAGCGCGCGATGGACGATGAGCTGGAAACCTTCCCGGTCATGGTCCATGGGCCGTTGGCCGCGGTGATTTGGCGGTTGTGGGGGGTGCGGTATGGCCGCATCGGTAGCGGATAGCGACATGGCGAACTTGAGTAAGCTATGCGCCCAGCCGTCTTCCGACTCGAGCCATGAGCGACAGATACCAGTCTCGGGCCCTGGAGCTAGGCTGGCGAGTATATCTGCCGCCAACATGCCCTGCATCAGGTATGCTTTCCGTGACTCTGCAACACGCGCTTCGAACATGCGCACCTCCTTGGGGCGTGGCTCTTTCATCTGGTACATTTTGTTTTCAATGTAGTTGCGGTCCGGCACAACGGAGATGGCGAGGGCGAAGGAACGCGTTAGGAGGTCGTACGCAGGGATAGATGTTGCCTCGTTGATGAATATTTGCTTGTAGTAGGTCCGGTTGGGATCATCGCGAGCGAGGAGTTTGGCAAGACTATCAACGGCAGAAGGGAGATAGCGGTGGATTTGCGGGTTGAAGGGTGTGAATTTGACAGGCTCAGCGGGTCGCGGAACTGGAGCAAAAGCGCAGAGGAAGTGCAACACGGCGTATGCGTCTTCACGATTTGGCAACACAACCTTCGCGCTTGTGTTAGAGAAGAATGTGACTACATCCTTCATGAAGTCGAAGGTGTTGATGTGTGATCGTAGCAACAGTACGCGGGTTCCGACAAGCCGTATGAAGTTTGCGAGAAACTTGATTACTGGAGCGCTGACCAAAGAGTCGTGGTTGACTTCGAGGAAAGAAAGGTTTCGGAAGATGGTGGTGATTGCCAGCAGCCGGTCTGCAGTACGGTCGAGCATGTACTCCTTCGTACCAGCCTGTGGGAGTTCTTGTAGTGCCGAGGCTTCCTCGCGACAGTGATGTAGGACGTCCTCGTATGGGGTGAGATCGATGATATCAGTGACTTCGGGATTGTCGTTGCCTAGTATCTCCAGCTGATCTTCGGCGTACTCCACCAGCACTTCTGTCAAGTCGTCGCAGTGCGACAAATTGAACTGGACGGTGTTGTCATACGTTATCCGCGTCAAGGTATCCAGACCCAAGCGCACCTCCGCATGTAGTCCCGACTTGATACTCATGATGATGGCACGAACGTCGATCACACCCATCTCCGGTAATAACGGAACATTTGGTTTGTAGTTTGTGATTGTGTCGATCATGTTCTTGAAGTTGTCGGAGTCGAAGTCGAGACCTCCCCATGTATCTTGCGTTCGGTAGGCGGGCTGATAGACCCTCGTGCCATCATCTTGCTCGATGACTGGTTTGCGTTTCTCGGGCTCCTCAACGGCGGCCGCGGCTGAATCTGCGGCGGCGTTCTCTTCTTGCTTCATTGGTGACGACTGCGATTGGCCAGGCTCTTGTCCCTGAGTAGGTGTCCCTTCCAGCTGTCTGCTGAGGCTTTTCCGCGCGTTTCCGTCCGGCTGTGGTGTGGTGCCGTTGACGCTTGGTAGCGCTGCATTGCTCTGTAAAGGCGTCGACTGGTGTGGATGTGGGGAAGGGTCGAGTTGCTGATGCGGCTGTTGGGCAGGCGGAAGCGACTGCCGTTGCTGCTGTTGCTGCTTCATCGCCTCCTGTGATCTCTGTAGTTGCTGCAGATATTCCTGGTGTCCTGCAGCATTGACTTGTTGTCCCGGCATAGTCGGTCTTGTTGGCGACATCTGCTGACCCACAGAACCCATCTGGTTCATCTGGCCCATTTGACCCATTTGATTCATCTGTCCCATTTGGCCCATCTGTCCCATCTGTCCCTGCGGAGGCATACCCTTCTGTTGCATTTGCTGTTGTCTTTGCAGATATGCGGTCTCGTAAAGGCTTAGGTTCTGTTCGTATATCTGGCGCAGTTCGTTGGGGGCGTTTGGGAACTGTTGTGGATGTATGTTCATCATTTGCGCGATTCTGGGCCAACCGTTTTGTTGCGTCACAAATCGATGGCCCTTGAAGCGCATGACGGCCGCGTAAAGGTTCTGGAGATTTGTCGGCCGACCGGCGCAGAGTGGTTGGTGGTTGAAGGGTCTATTATGCTGGGCCATCAGCGCCTGAACATTCTTAATGAACTGGTTGTATTGCGACTGTTGGTTCTGCGCTTGCCCTTGAGCCTGCATCATGTTCTGTTGCATGCCCGGATGCTGCATTGGGTTTTGCATTGGATTCTGCATTGCGCCTGGCATCTGCGCGCCTGGCTGCTGCCCTTGTCGCGCAGCCATGTTGCTCGCGGCAAGATTACCCAACTGCTGCTGCTGTTGCAGGCGCATTGCGTATTGCCTTTGCGCCTCTTGCTGTCGACTCTGGAGATTTTGTGATAGTTGCACCGACTGTACGGGGAACTGGTTTCCGGAATTAGCATTGAAGGCTTGATTCATAGGTGAAGCCTGGAAGTTCATGGGCGACATCTGCGGCGCGTGGGGATTTTGCGCTGGTGAGGCCGTGTTCATGCGCTGGCCTCCCATCTGGCCGGGCGCGAAGTGCTGGCTCTGCATGGTGGGCGAGGGCGTGTTAGTGAAGCCTTGCTGGTGCTGGAAGCCGAATTGGGCTTGCTGTGAAGGTGTCTGAGAGCGCGATAAAGATAGAGCGGCGCCGGACGAGTCTCGTTTCTGGGGCACCGAGGGCATAGGATTGAACGGGCGCGCGCCATTCATCTGGGGTGTTGCGATTGCGCTCGGGTCGATGAAGCTCGACGGATCGTACATGCCGTTCTGGGGGGATTGGAAGTCCATGATGGTGCGCTACTGCCGCGAGCAGTCAAGAGCGGCGGCGGGCAGGGAGGGGACAGGCGCGTGAAGGCAAGGACGAGGAAGAGAGCGATAGGCGCACGTGAGTGTCTGGGTTGGATATGGCTAGTGGTCCGTCAGCAGGCATGTTGATGTTTAGATGGACGCGCCTCTAGCAGCAGCCCTCCGACGAGACGCAGGCGCAGGACAGGGACGCGGCAGGCGGAGGCAGGATGAGATAATACACACCGGGCGCGACAATAGACCGACGCTAAAAGGATCTTCTCATCAGGGCAGGACGGATAACGAGTGGCTTTGAATGCGGTCGATAACTTGACGCACCGCAGACGCGCTTTGCGGACTATGCGTTGCTGAGAGCGGAGGAAGGAACAGTTTTCTTGGCGGAATCCCAGCCTCTACTTACTCTAGCCTGGTCGGGAGCATCACGAGACCTAGCAGTGTCCGCGACTCCAAAACAGAGCGCACGTCGCCCGCAGAGCAGAAGCAGCCGCAGAGTCTCCAAAACATACACGCAGGCCACAGTCGCATCCGGAGCCGTAGACGCGTTCGCGCGTTGCGACAGACCAGTGGAGTGCCTGCGTTGCCGGCAACTCACAAGCCTAGCCTAACTCAATTTGATTTGATTTCTCCGGGTCTTTGGCCGTCGTGACACGGAAACACACGTCTCTCCACTTATTACATCACTTTGTTCCTGCAGGAAATGGCGCTGTTATCGCACACAGCTGGGCGTCGAGAGTGGGCACACCCAGACCGCTTGACTCTGCGTCGAGAGCCCAGCCAACCGTTGAACCGCCCCAAGCTACTCCCAGAGTCAGCGCACCAGTGTCCTCGTCCGATACTTGACGCAATCCGGCCTCTCTGCTCTGCCCTCGAATACGATGCAAATTCGCAACAATCCTATACCCGTTGGTGATCGGCGCGTCACACGCCAGCAATCTACCATGGCGACTGGGGGTATACATGTCAGATTCGGCGCTTGTGCCATCGTACACACGCATCGAGGCCCATACTCTATGCTGTTGTCTTCATACTCTATAATTTTCACAAAGTATTCCTCGATCAATACAGGTCAGGTAATTAGTCCCCGGTCGTTGTCGTGAACCGGCGCGGGATTTAAACACTTCAAGGGGGCCAGGTAAAACTAGACTTTAGAGCTGATTCGTACTCCACATCTGTTTCCAGCCAGAAGGAAAGGTCACACCGCGAGTTGAATAACGTCCCTCATACAGGCCCATTGCATAGCTGTCTCGAGCCATGAGCAAGGGTCTTCGACTATCCCTTTAGCATACCATAGAAGCCTGGTTGCAGTGGGGACGAGTAATTGACGCGCAATACCGATGTGTTACAATCCATACTGTCCTAGTGTATAGGTCTGCCTGCGTGTAATAAGAGCGTCGTGAATTTACTTTTTCACGTGTCGCAACAGATGGCGTCTGAGCTAGCTGGCTGTAGCCCTGGAGTGATCGTCGAGCTCACGTGACGTCGGCGGCACCGCCTCGCATTGCCCGATCGCGCCTTCCATGAGCTTCATCAACATTGCGACACACAAGCACCGCCTTCACCAACATCCCGCCACAAACAATCACCACTGACGAATACTGTCTCTCGCTGCTGATATCCCCCACCGACTTACAACTATACAAAGTCCATCCAGCTACTATCATCATGGCTGATACCGCCATGGAGAACCCGGCCAACACCGTCCCGCCGCACAAGAAGCAGCTCCCGTCGTCGATACCCAACTTTGATACCCTGGAGGGCTTCTCCACCGAGGGCAGCGATGACTACTCGACCTTCAAGAAGCTGCAACGGCAATTAGAGTTCGTAGCGCTCAGGCACATGGAACCGCAGGTGGCTAACAGTCGCAGGTACATCCATCTACAGGAAGAGTACATCAAAGATGAGCAACGGAGTCTGAAGCGAGAGTTGGTGAGGGCACAGGAGGAGATCAAGCGCATTCAGAGTGTACCGCTGGTGATAGGGCAGTTCATGGAGGCCATCGACCAGAAGTAAGCTTCAACACAGGCACAGCGCTTGCGTCATGACACTAACACGCGCAGCACCGGCATCGTACAATCGTCCACCGGCTCCAACTATGTCGTCCGCATCCTCTCCACTCTCGATCGCGAACTCCTCAAGCCATCGTCATCCGTCGCGCTGCACCGCCACTCAAATGCCCTCGTCGACATCCTGCCACCAGAGGCCGACTCCTCGATTGCCATGCTTGGTCAAGACGAGAAGCCAGACATCACGTACGCCGATGTTGGAGGTCTAGATATGCAGAAGCAGGAGATTCGGGAAGCTGTTGAACTGCCGCTCACACACTTCGACCTCTACAAGCAGATCGGTATCGACCCACCGCGCGGTGTACTGCTATACGGACCTCCGGGTACAGGAAAGACCATGTTGGTGAAGGCTGTAGCAAACAGCACGACCGCGTCCTTCATCCGTGTTGTCGGTTCGGAGTTCGTACAGAAGTACCTGGGTGAAGGCCCACGTATGGTTCGTGACGTGTTCAGAATGGCGCGCGAGAACTCGCCATCCATCATTTTTATCGATGAGATTGATGCTATTGCTACAAAACGTTTCGATGCGCAGACAGGTGCCGACCGAGAAGTTCAGCGTATCCTGCTCGAGCTGCTCAACCAGATGGACGGTTTCGACCAGACGTCCAACGTGAAGGTCATCATGGCGACGAACCGCGCGGATACCCTCGACCCTGCGCTGCTCCGACCCGGTCGTCTCGACAGGAAGATCGAGTTCCCTTCGCTACGCGACCGCCGTGAGCGCCGTCTTATCTTCTCCACCATCGCTAGCAAGATGAGCTTGTCGCCTGAGGTAGACCTTGACAGCTTGATCGTCCGAAACGACCCCCTCTCCGGTGCCATCATCGCAGCTATCATGCAGGAAGCGGGTCTGAGGGCCGTACGCAAGAACAGGTACAACATTATCCAGAGCGATTTGGAGGAGGCATACACCAGCCAGGTCAAGGGTGCGGCAGAGGCCGACAAGTTCGATTTCTACAAGTAAGCGCATCGCTACTTGTAAGGGACTTGAGAAGGGACATGCACCATTGTACTACTAGATAGACTAGGCCCTGGGGTCTCGTATCCTATGAGGCTATATACCGTGGTCGCTTGGGTAATGCATGAAACAACATGAATATCACCTTGACTACGCCTCGATTGCTGTTGTGTGATCTAGACGTTGCGTTTCATCTAGACCAGGGCTTGTGCACTACTAAGCTACATTCTTCACGTTCAGGTAAAAGGAAGTGGAAGAGAATATTCCTATGTTTACCACATCGGGCGAAAACGCCCCATGTTTGCATACTCAGTCCTTTCCTCACTGCGTCTGCCGGATTACACATGTCTTAAAGCATGGCTGTATTATTCTAATTCGGCAAGATATGTCAAGATAGTCATTGATTGTACTACTGCGGTAACAATATATACAAACATCACGCAAATATTATTATTGGTGAGTGATTATAGTTCAAGAAGTATCTGACGTACCAACGTAGACAAGAGACTATGCAGTACATTACAGGGCAGTCCTTGTACACGGGAAAAACTCTATGGATTTCATGAGATCTTGCACTGACTTTGATATTGTATCCAGTATACTACACATTGACATCGATCTTGTGTCGCCATCTATAAGCCATTTTAGTTACATACCATCAAGATCAATGGAGACAAGGTTACTTAATTATATGCATTTATAACTTCTTTCGTCTATCTACCAGATATGCCACCAAACGCTCCTTTCTGTCAGCATACCCGCTTCTCCTTCCCTTTCCCACGCCGTCTCTTCTTGGTATCACCGGCAACTCGCAACCAAAATCCACTAACAACTATTATTGCTGCGTCTTCCTCCTCCATCCACCCGACTAGAAACTATCCTACAAAGACACGCAGCAGCGGCAACCGACTCCACGCACTAGCACCTCAAGCTCGGCAAAGACAGAGGCAAAGGACAACAATTGCACCGCAGGCCATCCGTTCCATTCCGTGATCCAACAATAAGGGAGAAGAGCTACATATCTCCCAGAAAGGAAAGAGAAAAGAAAAAGAGAAAAAATGTGACAAAGGAAAAGCAGGAGCGACTCGACGCCCTATAGTAACGGGCGGCGGCTCATGGTATCATGCATTCGCGACGCAAGGGAGCGACAAAGGAAAGGTCCGGTGGATTGCCAGACGGTATGCAAAAGGCGTTGTATGAGAAGTTATGGTGAAATGACGAGTTCGGTACAGATTCGTTAACCAGTTTAGCCGACCCTGATAGTGGTCTCTAATGGCGTGCGCGGTAGATCTTTGTCCAAAGAGGCTCTGGGTATACCTCCCCTTTTGTCCTCCTTTGGTGGTGTGGGTGGTCCAGAGTGCCTGTTGGGCATGTATTCGGCGTCCTTTGCCGGTGTAGGCGGGCGCCCATCGCTACTCGCGGTGCCAGAGTCCTTCGGCGGTGTAGGCGGCGGCCTTCCCTGTGCATGATCCCTTTCCCTGGATGTAGACCTGGCTCTGGCTTCAAGTCGTGGAGGGCCGAGGTAGGGCGCTCCTGTGGGTGGTGGTAATGATGACTTCTCGCTACTCGTATTGGCAGCATGGCGATCTGAGGCACTCCGGTTGCTGTGCCCGCCAACACTTGAAGATTCACCGGCCTCTTCCACCACAGGCAGAGTGGTCCCAATCTCTCCTCTTTCCGCCGACGGACTACGTACTGCCCTCAAATGTAGATTCGGTACGTTTTCTTCACCATGACCTTGTCGCCGCGAGCGGTCGGCTTGATGCTCGGCCTTCTCCAGGACACGGTCGGTCGACGATCGCTGCGCAGCAGTCGCATTGACACCGTCAAGCGAGAGTTCGTTGAGATCGTTTGTAGCCTCTTCCATCTTCTCACGCTCGGCCGCTTCTCTAGTCTTGGTGACACCGCTGATAAACTTGATGAATCGATCGCCGTATCGCTCGGGAGGTATAGCAGATATTTGAGACTCGGTATTAGCAATGCCTTTAATAAAGTGCTCCATACGTTTGATGAAAGAGTACTGGAGCATAATTAGTATTTGGCGAGCCCTACGCGCTGTACGCTGCAAACTTACGTGTGTCAGACAGTCGATAATGCCGAGGTAGTATATCTCTTCTCCGGGGGTTTCGTCCTCGTGAGTGGCTCGGAAGCCACCATCGTCAGAATAGAAGTAGAAGTTCCGGTTAGGATCTTCCAACTCGTTCGGCATCTTGCTAGACGTCTGACCCATGGGTACTGGTTTCTGTGTCTTGACCATCTGCCTCAGTTCCCTTGCTTTCCGAGCACTCTCCAACTTCGAAGGCGTGCGCATAAGCTGATTCGGTTGGGGCTCTGGTGCTTCCTCTCCACCTGGTGAAAAGACCTTGAGTGTCTTGTCTCGCAGGTTCTCATCGTTACCCTTTTCCAGGTCGTGGATACCAATGAGGAGCGAGTAGTCCATTATGTGTAAGCGCTGCAGCAACTTGACGTCTCTTTGCATCTGCTCGATGAACATCTTCTTCTTGGACGGCCCTAACTCAAGATGCTGGTTTCTGCGTAACCAATTGAGGTCCTTTAGTGTCGCGCGGGGGTTGGTTGCCAAGTTCTCTTCCTTAAAGTCTCGCCCAATGGTAGAACCCTTGAGGTCGAATGTGCTGTGGATGTCTCGATGCGGGGGAAACAGGTTGTTCATGACGACGAAGTGGATTTTGCGTCCATAGGGTATCTTTACGCGATGCAGGCCGTAAAACTGGGAAAGAAGAGTGTTTGGGTTCTCTTGCACGTGGTTGTAGTAGTCCTTGAGAATCTTGCGGAGGAACTTATGTTCGGCGTGGTGGATGGTTTTGATGATGTACTTGTAGTCGCGGGAGAAATAGAAGAAGCTGCCACTCTTGCCGGGAGAGCCGAGCTCGGAAAGGATGTATTTGCTGGTCAGCGACACGAGATAATCGGCAGGGTCGAGCTTGAAGGTAGTGCGGAGATGGCGGAAGACCCATGGTGCATAGTCCTTGAACTTGAAGTCGTATTTGGCGGAAGGAGTAAGCTCGTTACCAGTTCTGTCAAAGTGTCAGTATTGTGCGAATAAGCAAAGAACAGAGGTCTGCCAGACGAAGTGGAGATGAACTCTAGCAGGTGCTTGATGTTGCAAGGAAAGCCGGCCGGCACGTACATGTCAAACGAGAACTTGTGCTTCGCGTCAAAGTCGGCATCAGTGAGATCTCGGTCCATCTTGGCGTTGGTTCGCGAGACGGTGAAGCGGATACCCGTCAACATATTGTAGGCTGTCACCCAGTTGACGTGGTTCTGGTCGACCTTGGTGCCTACCACGACGCGGTCTTCGTCTTCGTCCTCCTTGCGCTTCCGCTTGCTTGCTCGCTTCTGGCGGATGTGCTCAGCCCAGCGCGCGGCCTCATCGTCCTGGGGCACCTCGTCGAGATGCATGTCGGAGTTGACGGAGCGTGTGGTCCGACGCACAAGCGACATGGAGCCTCTCCGTTTGTGCGGTGTGGAAGGCGAGAAGCGTCCACTAGCGCTGATGACGTCGTCGGTGTTGTTCTGGGGTTCGCGGGCGCGCGATGTTTGCAGCTTGGGGACCTCGAGGGTATGACGTTGCTGCAGACGATGAGGTTGTTGAGAGGGGCTGGGGTTGTTGTGGTTGAAGGCAGGCGGGGAGGAGACGCGATGCGCTTGGCTCGGTACCTGCAGACTGGACGTGCCCTCGTCGGATTGGGGCTGCGGCGACGGCGAAGTGGGAGGATGGGAGACGGAGCCGACGTGCGGAACATAGAAGTCCCTGCTTGCTTCTTTGGTGCCGTCCTGAGCATCCATCTGGCCGAGCTCGACGTGCGTGGTGCTGCCACAGAGGCGGTCCTTGGTCTTGCTGCTGTGTATCGAGGCGAAGTAGCCGTCGTCTCTGCTCGGGCGCTCGCTCGACTGCCTCTGCGTGTCGAGCGACTTGGTGTTGGAGCTGTCGGCGTCCATGTAGTCTCCTCTGCTCCGGGCATGACGTGCGTCGTCCTGGGACAGGCGCTTGTCGATGCTCGCGGGCCTGGGTGGGCGGCCGTTTGCCATGGGCTGCATTCCATTGGCCATCTTCCCGTTCATCGCGGCAGCGGTGCCATTGGGGGGCGAGCGGTCCGAGGGCGAGCGCGCGGGGGGAGGCGGTGATGTTTGAGCATGTGCAAAGGAAGAGCGGTCGGTTGCTTCGGCGCCATACGAGGGCATCATCTGCGACTCATGGATGGTTACGCTCATCAAAGAGGCAGCCTTTCCCGAGCGCTGCGGAGGAGGGGTCGGCGGAGCGTGAGAAGCCAGTGTGTGTGTGCGACGTGTGGCTGGTGAAGGTCGGGTTGGGCGTCGTCCGGGGGATTGCGTAGTGCAGCGCCGGCAGAGACTAGGTACCAGAGCGGAGCAGAGCAGAGCAGAGCAGCGCTGAGGGGAGGCAGCGGCGGGGCGGCAGGCGCTGGAGCAATGGGGGTCGTGATAAGAAAAACGGTGGGCGCAAGAATGGGCGTGGGTGTGTCGGCGGCCAGGAGTCGAGTCGAGCTGTGATGCTCGATAGTTGGCCCTTCGCTCAGCCCTTTGCTCGCCGGGCGCGATCCGACTTCCGTCTTGCGCTAGCCTTGGCAGGTGGACAGTGCCTTATTGCGCGCTGCGAAGCCACCAGCAACATGACCACGGGCCCGGCTCCTGCTGCATCACGGCAGTTTCAATGCAGTCGGACATGCTTGGCCCCATTCACCACTGCATTGCGCTGCTTTTCACGCCCCAAAGGCCCCATCGCTGCGATACTTGGACATGTTGTCTGCGTTGCGCGCGCCCGTAGAGGGAGATTGCGCGTCTGGATTAAGAACAGGCGGCATGCATCCCTCAGCCACACCAATAGTCCCAGCAGCCCGGGTGCGGCGTCATGCTGTGGCTCGCAATCACCCTATTCTTAACCATGGCGTGCCAAACTGAAGGTTATTTTCTACACCAAGCTGCACCTTGCTATTGCTATTGCTATGCAGTCCCCATCCATGCAGCCCACGTTGTCGCCCCGAGCACCGGACAACAGAGGAGGCGAGCCGGCCTTGCCCTGCGCCGCACGTCTGTCTTCGGCTCTATTTAGCTCCAGCTCCACTCCCAATCTCCTGGCTAACCCAGCCCTGTTTTCGTCCGCCCATCACAGAATGCGCAACACCTGGGCGACCAAGTAAGGGTCCAGTGCTCCATCAAATACATGTCCTCCCCGCAATGTCCAGGCGTAGACACATCTGACCAGTCTGGAACATCCTCACACTCGACAGTGCATCTCTGTTGAGCAGTGCGCACTCGGGGCCAACATTGAAGATCCGCGCTCTCCACGCTAGCCATCTTTGGCTTCCCTTTATGTGCCCTGCACGCCAACATATATACCCATGCTTGAGCATGCGACTCCAGTAATGGCGAGTTCAAAGTCCTTGTCGCACCTGAGACGACATGGAGACTGCCAAATCTCAAAACACCCTTATCGCGCAGTCGGTGTATGGCTGGGAGGACTTGGTAGATAGGCAGTAACCGCGCTGTCTTCATCCCACAGCAATCCGATGCTTGTCGCCGGCCCTCAGCGAACAGACTTCGGTATTTGGCAGCGTCTTCCTGATGACACCCTCTTCCACCATCTTCTTCACTTCGTCAACCGCGTGCTGTGCAATCTGAGTCAACTTGACGGCCCAGCCCCGATTGTCCTTGTCTGCATCATGGGCAGATATCCAGGCTTTGGCATACAGACTCTTGGCGATCTCTGTGCCACCGGGACTGCCAGCTGATATGTTACCTCCAAGCCACCAAGGGTTCTCAACGCAGTCAAAAGAATGTAGAAGCGCTGTGAGGGGAAGTGCGGATTCCGACACAAGGTAGGAGCTTGCGTAGGGACGAATCACGTCGTACGAAACACCGTGTGGTGAGTAAATGACAGACAAGGTCTTCTCCCGATCGTTGTTTGGTGACGGCACCAACGTACGGGGCGATGAGGCGATTGTCATTGGCGATCCTGGAGAGGGGGGCGGGCTCATAGGCAGGTTGATGTAGTGCATTGGGCTTAGCGACGAGAGTACTGTGCAAGGAGGCCGATATGTTATCCCGATCGCGTGATGTACCTTGGAAAGGTCCCGCTTGGCTGGAATCCAAGTCACCGTCACCTCACCACATGTCCCTCGGGGAGACGGCGGCGGTAATACTATACGGTGTATGGACTGGCCATCTCCCTCGACGTACTTCGGCAGAGCGTGCACAAGGCTGGGACGAAAGTGTTTCCATGAGCGAATCTTCTTGGCCGCAGACGGTATGGCTAAAATAGTTGCTTCGCAGTCTGGTGGGAGTTGGCGCAAGGTAGCTTCATGGCAGTGGTCTGGCTTGTCTTGGGATATAAGCACGAGGTCGGGTTCGCGGTCAAGGTCTCTCAGGCTCGCGACGGATGGTTTCGCTCTCTGTACAGAATGCGAGAAGACGGAGTTTAGGATGATGGAGGGCCCTGAAAGCCAGGCTGGTCAGGAAACATTAGCACCCATCTACAAGTCGGCCTCCAGCGGTATCAAGCGCGATCTTCAGAGACTTACGGTCAACCAGAATCGTGAACGATCCTGGGAACAATCCCGGCGACGATAGTGGGGCAGCGGGTGGGTCAAAGGTAAGGAGAAAAGAAGTGTCTCCATTCAGCGACTCGACGGAGAGAGCCATACTAGCGAAGAACAAGTGCAAGACAATGTCGGCCACGCGCACGACGGGGTAACGGCAACGTAAGACATGAAGAAAGGGAGGCGAGGCGACAGGCTACGCGCTGCCGTGTCAGTCTGTGATGCCCATGTCAATGATGATTGCGGGCTTGCGCCATCGCCTTGGAACGCTCAGCAGAAGCAATTGTGCTGGAAGGTTGACGCGAGAGGGTAGTCGCAGACGAGCGTGGACGAGAAACAGCAGGTGCAGACGAGGTGCATGTGACGAGTTTAGAAAGCCATCGGTAGCAACACGCTGCTCCTGTCACTCAACAATTTCCACCCCGGCGCGTCAAAAGCTCGTCTTCTCGTGCGTCTTCTTCACTCTCCGTCACTCTCTTCTCTGACGTTTCCCACCACCCTTCCGCCTCAACCCAAGTCTGTTGCCGAAATGTGGTAGATGCAGCTCCCTGCAACCAAGTGCAGCTTTCCTGGACCTGCCGCCGGCCGAAACTGGCTTTAGCTCGGCATCTGAGGAGCAAAAATCTTCATGGCGCCGCAGCCGATGTCCTGGTGAAGAGTCCGAGCAGTAGATCGCATTGGTCAAAATTCTTTGCATGCACGGGACTTGAGCTGTGAGGAGGCTTCTGCGCCGTCTAGCTGATTATGAGTCGTCTTGCTCCCAGCCATCTCTGATTGGAGCGCGCAAATCCCCATTCAAGCGGTAGGTCATTGGGCAGCACGAAGCTCTCCAAGCTATCAGCTTCTTCGCCTCAGCTCCAGGGCAGCCGTCTGATTGCTCCTCCGCTCGAGCTTGTCGTGGCGATACAGCTCTACCCTCACGGCAGCGGTGCAGTACCATTGCTTCTTCTTCTACATGGTCAATCGTGATTCCTGAACACAGCCTCTACTTGATCACTTTCTCTCCAAGCCCCGCCGCCGTTCGCAGCTGCCCCGCATCCAGTTACGTCTATCCGCAGTAGCAGCAACTTCAGCTCAGAGCTTCTTCCACCCGCCGTAGTCACCACACCCGCTCCTGCCGTCACTGTAGCCTCCCCCCTCAGCTGCGCAAGCTCGGACTGAGCTTCCCCATCCCAGCGCCTCGCTTTCCACGTGCCATTGCTTCGTCGCGAAGCTCCTGCCATTGATGCTCGCAGCCATGCCTCCGTCGCGCGCAGCACCGCTGACGAGCTCCTTCTCCGTCAGCGACGAGAACAATGTCGTAGTATGCCCGCTGCGAAACCACGACAGCTCGGCCTGTCGCAAGCGCTGCACCGGGGTAAGTCTCTCCCGCTGTTGCTTCACGTTACAGCAAGCTCCAAAGCTCCAGAGCTCTGGGGTGCAGACTAACACATGCGTAGGAGAAGCGTTTCCGGTCCATGCAGGAGCACATCCGCCGCGCCCATCCTGAGCACTACATCTCCAAGTTGCCGGCGACTGAGGTAGGCTTGTCCAAGGCCAGCGCTGGCCGAATACGCTGCTGACTGTTTCCGCTTGCAGGAGAGCTTCATGCTTATGGTCAACACACCACCACAAGAAAGACCCCCACCTCCACCTGCGACGACCTCAGCACCGCCCCAGCAGACGTACGACTATGGCGGAAGCGAACACAACTCCTTCTTCGAGACCGACTTCGGGACGAATCATCTTCGCACATCGGACGAAATGCGCCGGCCGTCACTCTTACCCGCCGCGACTGCTGCGGCTGCCCTGGCCTCGTTACACAACCATCGTGCCGAGTACGACTGGGACTCAGATCCGGTATGGACCCGCGTTGCACCTTCCCCACACAAGACCAGGCTAACAACTGCTGTGAACAGGACGCAGCATCCGATCCCGATTCGAAGAACTACAGGCCTCGCGCACGATTCGCTCCGACCACCATAGAACAACACATCAATGCCGAAGAACCTTACTACACATCTACTTCCATACAGCAAGAGCTGCTCCCCTCCTCCCTCGCACGGTCGCCTCCCGGGCGTTCCTCCACTCTCCCTCCTGGCGCTCACTCTCTCAAACCGAACAGACCCCGGAAGTCATCTGTAGGACAGAATGCTCGTAAGGGCAAACACGAGCGGCAGAAGTCCAAGGACTACTCGCGCAGGCTGAGCTACGACAGGAAAGCATACTCGGCTGAGCCGGCAACCGCTGCGGCCATTATGGGTAAACGGTGGGAAGACTTGATTGATGCTGCTGCTTCAGCCACAGAAGAGGATAGCCGAGATCTCACGCCGGTTGGTGTCACACTCTGCTACGCTATTCTATCTAACATGAACAGGTGCCACAGTCGCCAAACCAATCCCCTCACATGATGAACAACAGAACCTCTCTACCTCCCTTCAACTTTGCTTCACAACTTCAGTCATACACGGCATCACCTTTGAATAACGCTCTGACGCCTCCACCTCCGGATATGTCGGACCTTCAGCCTTTCCCTTCCGTCGAGTCTTCCATTGAATCAGCCATGTCCGGCCAAAACTTCCACATGCATTCCCAAGGTCTCTCCGATTCATCTCCTAGCTCTCTTTTCCCTGTCCAGATCTACTGCGCTGCATGTCGGAAACTGTCGATATTGCGCGACAGCTATGCATGCTCAGAATGCATTTGCGGTCTGTGTCAAGAGTGTGTAGATGTACTTGTCAGTGAGCACAACCGCGGTCGTGCGCCGACGTGTCCGCGGTGCAGCACTATTGGAGCCAAGTTCAAACCCTTCCAGCTGGATATAAGATGAAGCAAGGTTCACTATGGCGTTTTGGGTATTACATCATAATCTGGCGTTTGTTTTTGCGTACCCCATACTTTCCCTTGGCCTCGTGCCTGGTTCCGCTTGCTGCCAATCATTGCTAGCTCCACGAGCCACATGGGCGTTCACATGGTCTGTTTTGGGTGGCTTGTTCGGAAAAGACTGCTCGAAAAGCAAGTCGGAGTTTTGATTTAGATGTTACGAGGGACTCGACCGGGCCTCCTTCCCTCACAAAGAGATCGCAGAGATAGACTCGCCTGCGAATACAATACTTGGGTGTACCTACACCCCTATCGTTTCACTACTCTATGTTTCCACGACCATAGTCCGCTGTTGCACTAGCAGACTTGCGCAGAGCCTATTGCGCAATTGTTTCCATGTCCATGTTGACGTAGTGCTCAGTCAGCGTCAACAGGGCTTGCTCAGGGATTTACGTGGGCCCGATTTGGAACCACTTCGGCAGTGTAATAATGCGGTGAAGGAACCATGGTTCATGTCCGCCCGGGTGGATGTCGTACGTCAGGTGTCAGCCGCTCGAAAGGGTGGAGACTCCCGTCATTGCCGGACGCAACACTACTCGAAACGACTGCTTCCCACATGATTCAAGCTCTGAGCGGTCTAGAAGTCCAGAATCCTGGATTACGAAGAACACGAGAGTGGAGATTACGAGCCACCTCAACGTTTGAAAGCGGGAGGTGTTCCATCTGGCGCAGAACGGTATATGTCTATTTTGGCCATTGTCGCTGCAGGGACAAGAGCGATGTGGATAACTGTGTGTGAATGAAGGCGTCGGCCTCGGGAAGCAACGGACGTGGCGCCGTCGTCGCGATGCAAAGGGGTGCCGCGGAGCGGAGCAATGGCCGACTTGTAAGGACGGCCGGGAATGTTTTGTTCTGTATTCCTGCGCTGAGCGCCTTCGATATCCCCCATCATCGATTCTCTCGTTAGACCCGATGTGCGGCGATCCAAAGGGTCGGTGCAAGGAGGGCAGAAGGTTGGCCGGGTGCTGGACTCGTGACGCTCTTTTGGGAGATTGAGTGTGCAGTCATGCGGACGACTGCCTCGACAATGTTTCCTGCTGTCAACTCAACGCCTTTACTGCCAACGTGCTCCAATCACAGCAACCCCAAAGCTTAAAGCCGGCAAAGCACATATGGCGGTGTAGTGCGTCTTCGCCAGCGGAAAAAAGGCCAAGCCCTTCTCCTTTTACCCCGCCGTGCAGCCAATCGCTCTACTTGACCGCATCGACACAGCGTATCCTGCGACGGTGAGTCTAAAACGCCAACTGCTTCCGGCGACGCATCGGCGCTGGGCATACACCTAGGCAACGTGTGCGATCAGCGTTGAACGGGAAAAGCTTGGTCTCAACAATCAAGGAAATTATGGAAGAAAAGTAGTCCATGCCTCTTTGCCATGATCGCGCAGAACAAATGCGATCGCCCTGCGCTGCGGGTATGACCTTGCAGCCATGTGATCTCCTTGCAAGCTCAGGAACGAGGTTAATGTGGGATCGGCGATGGCTAGCGCAGGGTCTGGCCTTGCATCGTCAACCCGAGTACCCACATTAATCGACAAAGTCCATAGCATGCCGGTCTAGACGCACACTCGTTTTGTGGTTTGCATGGAACCCGCGGTTTGAAACTACTGCGCCTGTTTATTGACAGTTGGGTTGCTGCGGCTGTGGGAGCGGCGCGGATTGGGTATAGCCCTGCGTGGCGCCCGGCCCCTGACGTGGTATGCTGGGGTGCTGTAGGCTGCTTTGGGATGACTGTTATGCGTCGGGTAGAGGTGTGTGTGTGGTGGGGGAAAGGGTATTTAGTGGTCGCGTGCCTCGCGTTGTTGGTGCTCCTCTCGTTGGGATATTACCGTTTGTCGATACATACCTTTTGCTTCCTTTTTGCACATCGCATTGCAAGAAACACCAGTTACTTCTTCAATTCGATACATGCAAATACTCGGGTCCGCATACTACTACCATCTACCAACCACCTGACACCAAACCCCCATCAACGACAATCGCAACCGAAACACTACAGTCAATACTTACAGCAACCGCCCAACATGCCCATCTTCCGTACATTGACGACCAAAATCAAAACCTCGCTCTCTCCATCTTCATCTCCGGAAACCTCGCCAGATGGATCGCCCACCTCACCGCAAGTGTCTTCCTTCGAGAGGATCAGCGGGCGCAAAGAAGGCGGTGTGAGTGGAGCGGTCAAGCGCCCCGAAGTACAGACCAGAGTCGACTCCTACATGACTCAAGGAAGCAATGCCAGCAACGAGAGTGTAGAGGAGAAGAAGCAGCGCAGGCTGAGTCGGTTCAGGGAAGAACTAGACTTCGAGGCTGAGGATTGAGTGAAGAGACGTGTATTCTCAAAGGTATGTTTCATTTATCGTTTCTAAGATGACGTTTGCTAACTTCAAGCCAAGTTTACGCTGCTTCTGAGTCTGCCGTACCATCTGCATTGCCATCATCTTGTACTGGAGTGCCTGTCCTGCTCGCACTTCCACTCTTTGGCGGGCCTCTAGGCGGACCCCCAGCCTTGGGAGGCGGTGGTACACCAGAGCCTTTCTTGGGCGCATAGTCTTGCTCCAGACTCTTCTGCTCTCCCTCCTTGAAGTAGTCGTCCAAGCCACCGCCACCACCACCCGCAGGGCTAGCGACATGATGCGCTCTTCCCTTCCTCTTTGGCGGCGGCGCCGTGCCCTGAGGTGGTGGTGACTTTGCCGGTAGCGCCATGTTGGCTGGCACGAACAACTCTGTCGGTGCACCCTGCGTTGGCGCAGCGGGGAAATCAACAGGGCCAGTCAAAGGACGTTTCTCATCAAACGACGTGGCCCCGCTAGCATCGCCTGTGGAGAAGAAGGTCTCGCCAGGCGCTGGCGGCGGCTCGTCCAAACCCGCTGGAATTCGATGCAAAGCCCCGAAACCCAGCACACACCCTAAGGCTCCCTCACCACCCCAATTGCGCGTCGGCGTGATGGTAACGGGACGAGTCACGTTGTATTCGTGGTTATACACGTACAGCCGCAATGGCCTGTTTAGGAAGTCTTCCACGAGTTCACCTAAGCCAGACTCGCCGCGCACAAGTCCCTCGGGGCTGCCGATGACGTAGTCACCATAGGGTAGCAACCCTGCGGCATCAGCGGGGGAATTGGGAGCCACGTCTAGGATATGCCAGACATCCTCCGCGATGGCCAATGGAGACCACTGCAAGGAGATCCCTAGAGTCGGCTGATCGGCTGGGATTTGCAGATAAACTTCTCGGATCTTTTGGCCCTACATGGTGTCAGACGTGTATAGATAGTTCAATTGAGTGAAGTTAATTGTGACGTTTGTTCTCCCGACCTTCTGTGGTTGTACTTCCTTGCAAATGTATAATGTGAAATTGGACAATGACTCATGGCATCTCGAATGTATCGTGGTATGAGAAGGGGTACTTAGAACCTACCTTTGCGCTGAATACACCTAGGCTGATGGTCGCACCAGCACTGTTCCGTACCTCCGTCGCAAAGAGACTTGGGTCTGGATTATCCTGTTCACAGAGTTAGTACAAAGTCAAGGTGGTCTTCTTGTTTCCAGTCCATCCAATCTTGCCTAGGAGCTGACCCCCGCTTCGCCATCGTCTATCTTCTCCCGCTCTTGCATCCCTTTGCTGATATCTTTCAACCGAATGGAAAATACGTACAATGGTTCTTCCATTGATTCCAATAATAAAATCGAACCACGGCTCCAGAGGAACATCTAGATTAGCGTTCCTCAGCACCTGGAAGCCGTATGCGCCATTCGTAGCGGACTGCTGCTCTTCGTTGAGGGGCGCGGCGTCTAGTCGCGATATGAAGCGGTTCAACGCTCCGAACATGGACATGATGAGAGGTGGTGATTCTGATGGTTCCTTCAAAAAGTTGTCGTATGGTGATGACGACAGAGAAGTTGTGTTGGTCGAGGTGTCGTTGTTGGTGGCTTGGAGGTTTTGGAAGGTGGCCATAGCTCGGGATCTGCGCCGCGCTAGCTGGGGCAGGTGCAGTGAGGATGGCAATGTGTGGTTAAAGTTGAATCGGAGGTAGTTGTAGTTCAGGATGCAAAATTCGGAACATTATCATTTGTAGTGACCAAATTACATGTACCGCCACGTATAGCACTCACTGTCTGAGTAGGCAGTCGCGTCGGTCGGAACTATTCCTAATCTGGTAAGGCGTATCAGGATTGCTCTCACTCTTCCACAGTATCTGCTCGGTCACCTCATCATCCACACATCTTCTGAAGTCAAGACCCATTACCTGTGGCTTCTCAAATAAGGCTACTCTCATAATTTAGTGCATCGCGCTTGCTGGGGATATGAGTGAGACGGCGGGTGAGAAAGGCGTAGACCAATGGTCGCGTGTCGAACAGTTCCCCGAACATTTGAAGAAGTACAGCCCATTTCTTCCACTCTCAGAGATTCTTGAATTCTAACAATATCAGATATTGGCACCAGCGGTTCAAGACATGGGAAAAGTATGACCAAGGCATATGGATGACAGAAGACGCCTGGTTCGGCGTGACACCAGAACCCATCGCGAACAAGATCGCAGCCCACATATCTGAGTCAGCGCCCAAAGACAAAACCGTCATCGTCGACGCATTTGCTGGTGTTGGTGGTAATGCCATAGCACTAGCGCGCTCGGGACGCTGGGAACGCGTGTTTGCTATTGAGAAAGATGCCAAAACGTTGAAGTGTGCAAAGCACAATGCCGAAATATATGGTGTGAGCAATAAGATCTTTTGGCTCAACGCAGATTGCTTTGATGCCATGAGCAGGTTCTCGGGTCAAAGCAATGTCGTTGTGTTCGCTAGTCCGCCATGGGGAGGTTTGTCTCTTTTCCACACCATCATTCGAATTAAGCTGATGTGTTTAGGAACTGAGTATGGTGCTGAAGACGTCTTCGACCTCAGTAAGATGGAGCCGTATAACCTCGAAAAGCTTTACAAGAGCTTTACGAGTATCAGCAAAGAGGTTGTTCTGTATTTGCCGAGAACGTCGGATCTTAATCAGATTGCGAGATACGGGCAAGATGGGAAAAAGCTGGAAGTTGCTCACTATACTATGATGGGTGCTAGCAAGGTAAGACACAGAAAATATTGATGCTAACCTCCAAACTGACTTTGCGCAGGCACTCTGCGTGTATTTTGGTAACTTCAATTTCGATATGGAGCAGGACTCATAATGAAGTAGCGGAAACGGAACGCGGTCATCAAACTTCGCGCGTGTTCCATCTTAGTCCATCTCCGGTACTACCCTCTCCAAGAAAGCACATAAGTCCCGCAGCTCAGCTCCGGCCATGACATGCCCCATGCCCTCATATTCTTTAATTGTCACCCTGTCCTTCTCGATACCAAATCCAAATAATGCCTCATAACACATACGATGTAACCGCTTCGGTACCAATCTATCCCCTGTTCCTCTTGCCAGAAATATCTCACCGTTGCTACTCACCTCTTCTGGTAACCCAGCTTGTTCTCTCAGCTTCGGTATTTGATCTGCCAGAGGAAGGTATCCAGACAGTCCGACCAGCGCGCCCAACTTCCCGGCATACTTCGACACCAAACCAGTCAAAAGTGCCATAGCATGGCCCTGTGAGAACCCTCCCAAGACGATCCTCTCCGTTGGAATGCCCTGATCGACCAGATCATCGATCAGTGTTGTGATGTAGGACACGGTAGTCATCATCCCCTCTTCATCTTCGTCGTCTTCGAGCTCAGGTCGCGATGGTGGATAAGGAGAGAGGCGTGTGGGCAGATACCAGGCTGTAGTAGCTAGGTCATGGTTCTCTAAAGCATTGGGTATAGTCCAAGACATGTGTGGCAATTTGTTCGCGGATTGGAATTGGCGAGCAACGCTTTCCAGTCCTTCTGCTTCGTCACCGAGACCGTGGATGAAGATGAAGGCCGCGGACTTGGAAACATCGCTTGGTGGGGTTGTGGGTGGAAGCACAATTGGCGGTTTCCTTTCAGGCGCCATGCTTGGTTGTATGGGCGATGTGCAGTGACCTAGGTAGCTGGGGTTGTTCGGGCAAGTGGTCACAAGTTCGATCTACGGCTTTCCGGGACTATACATATTAAAGATCTACCGAGGATGCAATAGCCTTTTGATGATCACGGCTAACATCCGACAAGATGATGACAAGATCGGAAGTAATCCAGATGGTGTACGTACCCCGCATCGATCATGCAGGTACGCGGCATCTGGACTTTGCGACGCGTCGGCATGTGATCCATAATTTCTACACCTCCGGACTCTCCGCAACATCACCTCTTACACTCCACACTCCACCATGCCACACGTCGAAGTGCTCCCAAACTCCACGGCGACCGTTGCGCCTGGATGGACGTATGTCGTCGACACAGGCTACGACCCCTCAAAAGTCGCCATCAACCCCAAGAACAAGAAGCGCGCCGCCGCAGCAACACCAGGCGGTCAACGGGCGGAGAATGAGCTCTCTGCCCGACAACAGACAGCCATAGCTCGACGAATAGCCGAACTAGAACGCGACAACGACCCCAAGCAGCTCATCACGATACCCGGAAAGCCGAGCGTGCCAAAGACACAAAATGCAAGGAGGATCATACAATACCAGCGGCAGATCAAGCATTGGCTCGACGATGAAGAGGCGCAATTAGGACAAACGACAACTACGTCCAGGGGAAGCGTTTCTCAGCCCACAGGGGGAAGGGGAGCAGCGCAAGCCTTGCGAAGGCAAAGCACATATGCTTCCGTGCCTGCGACGCCAGTAGAAGCAACGCCAGGGCCTCCAACAGTTGCGCAGACTCCGTCGCGTCTCGAGGACGCAAATGCAGACGACGCGCTGCTCTCGATCGACGATTCCATACCCGCGCCGTTGAACCCCACCGAGCTCGAGGCTCTACTTGCCGCTCCACCACTTTCCTACGCTGCAAGCCACGCCGCGCCTCCTCCCGCTGGCGGTCCACCACAGAGACAGTTTTGCGACAATTGCGGATACTGGGGACAAATCAAGTGTCGCAAATGTGGAGCGCGGGTATGTGGATTGGAGTGCAAAGACGCGCACGAAGCAACCAGGTGCTTGAAGTGGGCATGAGGACAGAGAACGACTGAATATAGCATTGCAATGGCGTTGGTATGCTTTACGATACCCAGATAGTGTAACCTATCTATAGAGCAACATCTTGCTCAATACACGAATTCCTCTCCTACAAGCCTCTCGCTCAGTTTCCACAGCCTCTCTGGGTCTTCCGGGTTCGTCGCCGTTGGCTGCACCTCTTGCGGCGCTACGTTGGCGTTGTCAAGATACGCGCCGTTGTAATTGTCCAATCTCGTATCGAAAGCGGCAACAACATGGGTAGCCGCGCACTCGTCGAGCGACTTCACGTCAAACTCACGAGCCCAGCCGATCTCTTTGTCTTTGGCCACTGTATGCTTGTCAGAAACATCTTAGGCCCAACTTTCGACTACGGCAACTTACCAACACTCTTCATGTCTTCATCGTCGAACTTCTCAGCAAGAGATGTCCCAAGCGTCACTCCCGGATGCAGACTATACGCTTTCAACCCCTTCGAGCCCAGCTTTTTTGCCAACGCATAAGAGAACAATATGTTCGCCGTCTTACTCTGACCATATGCTTCCCACTGATCATAGACTTTGCCATCTTGGAAATTCGAATCGTCGAATCGCACACCACTGAAGCGATGACCATCACTGGATATGTTGACGATTCGAGGTGCCTTAGCGGCAAGGATCTTGGGCATGATGAGATTGGTGAAGAGGAAATGACCGATGTGGTTGCATCCGAATTGGTTCTCGATACCGTCCGCTGTTGTACGGTAGGGACCCTTCATTATGCCTGCTGAGTTGACGACAACATCGATGTGGGATTCCGGATATGCGAGAACTTCGTTCGCGGCTTCGCGGACTTGCTTTTGCGATGCCAGATCTAGGGTTAAGATGCGCACTTCGACATTGGCGCTCGCTGGGTTGGATTTGATCTTATCGGATGTGGCTTGCACTTTTGATGGCGAGCGACCAGCGAGGATCAGAAGAGCGGGTTTATGCTTTGCGATCTCTTCGACAAACGTTGCTCCTAGGCCGCCTTGCGTTACGCCAGTCGTCAAGACGATCTTGCCAGCTATGTTGGACGCGTTGTCTGCTGCGATGGTTGAGGCAAGCGCGTTCTGGCGATTGTAGGGCAGTGGTGAAGACATGACAGTACGCTGTTTGGAGGAAAGATGAAGAGGATCCTTGTAGTCGTAGACAAATAGATCTATTTAGAGTTATTGATTTTTGACAAATCAGGCCAGGACACCTCTCTATAAATGTCGTTGATCAGGGAGCCGCCTAGATAATGTCATGCCGGTTGACTTAGGCTTAACTCCGTCCGCTGTAAGTCCGCGTCTCCATTGAGAACTGTTCACCGATGAATAATAGAGAGACTTATTACATTTATTAGTTGCAAACCGGCATATCGATATGTAGCTTCAGCGGAATAATTGGCACAGTACAATGTGACGTCACAGATTGTAGACACCGAGAATACATACTGCATGCTCTGCTATGCGAGTTTTGACATCGAGAGCGATACAGTTAATGTGATGATCTAGGTAGTGTCCTTTGTTGTGTTGTTGAAACTGAAAATCTGCCGAAGTGTTGGTCGTAAAGTGTATCTACTGCAACAAGAAGATTGGAATTTGGGTAGCATGAGGCCGATGAGGCTACACATCATGCCACTGTTCAGAGGTCTTACATACCTTACATACGAAGAAGATCTCACAGAAAGAAACCATGGGAAGTATAGAGCGCTTGCCATAATCTGGTGGTGTACACGGTAATGTATATTGGAGGAAGCGATCTAGGGTATAACAACCAGCGCATGCGTCCATGCTCCATTTTCCTGTCTCCTCCTCTTCCTTTTCCCGGCATGATGTAGCCGTGACTATGCAGCGCCTGGCGCTTTTGCCTTTTCCTGGGCTTCGAGCTTTCTCCGTGCTGCCAGAATCATCTCCTCTCGCCGTCTTTGCAAGTTCGCTTGCCTCTCACTCTTGTCTGCACTCCATGATTTCGCCTTCGGCTGCTCCTCCTGTGCCGGCTGCGAGACTTGGCTAAGTTTCGAGGACAGATTGTATCGTGTTATCAGATCGGGATGTGCGGGTCTCGCTGGGGCTGGGGATGCTCGCGCCGGTGTAGCTGCGACTCGCGGTGCCGGTGTTGGTATTTGGAAAGACGCTGGTGCCTGTGCATGTGTTAGCATATGTCGACGGCATGACAGGATTCAAATCGAAAGACTTACCGTGTCTAACCCTCGCCCGCTCAGGGCCCGCTCCGTTGTCGCCGCAACGTTTCCGCCATTCCTCTGCAGATCCCATGCGATGTCGCGTCTGCTCAACTGCGGCAGCATCTCAGCGACTTGGTCTATTTGCGCAGGGCTCACGCGGAGTGCAGCGCGGTTCGCCGCAGCTCGCGTGCCTGGGGCCGCCGCCGTCGGCTTTCTCAAGTACCATCGTACAGCAAGGAACGTGACGACGATGAAAACGATGACTTGGGGAATGTTGATGCTCTGTTCTGCCATGACTCTATCTGCGGTATGAGTCGGAGGCTCGTGAGTCGATGCGCTGTGAATGTGTATGTACCGAGGTGCGGCGTAAAGTGCGTTGGTAGCAGCCGAGACTCGCAAACGGGTACCAAAGTTGTAGTTATCTGAGCAAACGTGATTTCAGATCACCGATTGCTTTAAAATTTCAAACGAGAGCGCGATAGCGGTATGAGCGAGTTTACGGACAGTGTTCTGAACAGTGTTCTGTCAAGTTCAAGTGAGGTCGCCATGTTTCGGACGAGCCTCGGCGAATAGCGAATCACCGAAAAGCCAAGGACCCGCGCTGACCCCTTGATGTCTTTCACTCTCGCGACCCACAAGTTCGCGCCTTCTCCACACTCCACCCTAATCCTTCGTTTTCACCCACATCAGTCCCAGCCGTCTAGGCATACACTCATTTCCGACGACAATCGCTTCAATATGTTATGACGTTTACATGCTTTGAGATACCCCCAATAGTCTATTCACGTTACACACACGCTACGCGCTTTTGATATATAGTTATGAATGCTCCAGTAATATCACGGAAGCCGCTTCCAGAAGCAGCCCAGGCGCACTTGAAGGCCTCGCCCATTGACACTACTACAATCGGGTCGAAATTGGAAGCACCTTTACCTTCAGATCAACGAACGAAAGATACCATTAGGGTCACCGCTCCACGTGAGGTGCTCTCACCTGGCGATAAGTCAATTCACAACGGAAGGCGGTATGGCCTCACATGTGGTATCTTTACTGGTATAAGAACAAGCCCTTTTGCTTCGACACTCTCTCGTCACTACAACAACTTCCTTCCACCACACAAAAGATACTTCAACAACCACATCAACCGCCGTACACTACTCATCATGATCGGCATCACTTTTGTCTCCCTTCTGGCTCTCATCATCGGTCTTGCAGCAGGCTTGGTTATCCCCTCCAGGTGAGTCTTTGTGCTTTGCCTTCTTCCAATAGCCTCAGCTAACAACACCCATAGCAACAATGCCGTGTCTCCAGCCATCGGCCCCCTAGCTCAAGGCCAAATGACGTTCTACAACCCTGGTTTGGGCGCTTGCGGTCATACTCACGGTGACAACGACGCTGTCATGGCTGTTTCTCACGGACGCTGTAAGTATTGATCTTCGTCAACTCATCTACGAGACACACACTAACACCGTGTTTTAATCAGGGGACGAGGTCAAAACTCCCAACCCCAACGACAACCCACTTTGTGGTAAACAGATTCGAGCTCACCGTGTGGACGAGCGCACTGGCAAGGACGCCAGCGTCCTTGTCACCATTGTCGACAAGTGTAAGTACTCCGGATGGCACACTCCGTCTCACGCCACTTCATATTGCTGTTGCTAATGTTTTGCCAGGCATGGGATGTGCTTACGACGACATCGATGTCAGCCCTTCCGCGTTCGACAAGTTGGCTGATAAAGCCAAGGGAAGGGTCAACGTAGAGTGGTCCTGGGCCTGAGCATTGTCACTTGGTTCGCGTCACACAGTCATGACTCAGGGTTGAGTCGACTGTGACACATTACGGCATCTTCTATTACTCACACACTGGTGTGGCATATATATGCTTTCCAATTCTACTGATGATATACTCTTCTTCTACCTTTTGCTTGATACGTGAGCCTGTTTACGTTGACAGTAACTTTCTATCTTTCGACAATCTACATCTTCCTTGACAGCGCAGTGGCATATGCCATACTGTGCGTAAGTATCCATGCCTCTCGCCAGAAAAAGCAGCGAGTCTTCTTCCAGAACTCTGACAGGGGAGCGGAGCCTCAACATAGGCCGCCCTATTTTCAACGAGGGGATTTCCGAATCGACATTCATTGCGCGTACCGAAACACCAGAAAGCGCACACCAGCCAACTAGCTCTGGAAGAGACCTGAGAAGACCCATATCTTCTGACTGTCACCCCTCACGGAACTCCTCGCGGTGCGACGATCCATACATACCAGATACTTTTGAGGGCGAAACCCTGGCGGGGAACCCTGAGAAACCACTCCCCGAAGTCCCTGTCAGTCCTCTCCAGATACATCTACCATTCCAAGGTTCGAAATTCGACCAAAGCCGGGAGACGGACGACGACCTACCACAGTACGACCACTCAATGGGCCCCAGAGGTACAACCTACGCAAGACGATACAGTACTAGAAGCTCATTTTACCCCGAAACCGAGGACAAGGGTTATGAAGGAGGGGTAGGGCACCTTGAGGCGGGCATGAGAATCTTCAATAATATTACTTCGAACCACTACCCCGCTTCATCACAGCCAGTTGCGAAGGAGACGGAGAGTGAAGCTTTTCAAAGGGACTTGGTCGATGTACCTGTCGACTCCTCAACGCCAGAAGAGTTTGGAGGATCAAGCGACGTGCCCGAAAAACCTGCCAATGGAGCAATGTCAAAGCGGAAACTCCAGCTTTGTTGGGCAACATTTATCCTGGCAGCTCTTGTCGTAGTTATCGGTGTAATAATAGGATCGCTCAGTTACGTAAAGCATGGCAGCGGGGATAACCAAGACAAAGCGACGATGGAAAGCGAGACGTTCAGTGCTTCGTCAACGCCGCTTCTGACGGAGTCACCAGCCTCTGAGAGAGTCACAAATGCCGCTATACCGTCAGAACCCGTTCCGACGAGTGTCGTGGTTGTTTCGTCTTCCATCGAAACGAGCGAGATCCCATCCTCAACGCCTACGCCTACGCCTACGCCTACGTCTACGACTACGTCTACGCTTACGCCAACGTCCACTCTCGAGTCCAGCTCAGTACAATCATCGAGTTCCCTCAGCAGCCCGTCCTCCCAATCTTCTAACTTCATGCAAAGTACAGCTGTACTAGAAGATCTTGTTGGGAGGAGCGGCTATCTAGACCAACGTGCTGATGGTTCTCTCCGCTACGATTCGCTTCTGGACTTAGACCAAGGTGGGTACCTTGCTCGAAGAGAGGACCTAGAGGACTGTGAAGATGTTACTATAACAATTACTACCACGTTGACAACGACGATCACGAGTACTATTCGAACATCTAGAATGGTAGCTTCCAGTGCTGGCAGCGATTCAGCTTCACCGCAGACGCCAGAGCCCGAACCTGCAGAGACCGTGCCAAAGTGCATAACAAATACCATCTTCCATACAAACGGTCCACCCAGTTCTACAAATCCCTCGGATGACACCGATGCCCCCAGCATGGAATTCTCGTCTGTTACCGCCGACTCTACGCCTTGTCTAGATACAACACCACCGCCTACCGGAACTTCAGCTACTCAATCTGCAGGTGAAGAGACTGGAGTTATTTCAACATCTTCCGTCGCGCAAGCGGAACGACTAGCAGTACCGAATCTAGGGAATAGTCTACTACGTCTCCGGCGCTTTTTGCCGCTGTTCCCTAGGGATAACGAGCAAAATCGGCATTTGCTTCCTTCTCTGATCATACCGACTGCGACAACGAAGAATAATGACGCGGATAACAGCTACAGTGTAAAGGTTCTGAGTACGACCAGCAGCAATGCCGCGGTGCGTCGAGAAGTCCAGCATTGGAATTTCATAGGCAAACCGAATCCCGCAGTGCCTTCGAAGATCCGTGAACGCCGTGAAGTGCCTGTTCAAGCACCTTCTCCGCCAGGTACAGAGGTAATGAAGACATACTGGGACGCATATTGGGATTTCCGGCTACTAATCATACAAATGTGCTTCTCCGTCAAGTCAGAAAAACCCCCGACATCTGGGGATGTCAAGATGGGCGAAACGCTTAACAAGGCCATATGCGATACCTTCGAGCAGGAGTTTCCAGCAATAAGCGAAGGAGCAAAATGCGACCACAAGGACTCTTTCGAGAGGCTGAATAACATGGTTAAGGCATTGTGTGCCTTGGCTAAGGAAGGCGAAAAGTATGTTCAAAGTCTGGCTTTGCTTTGCCACGTCCAAGACACTCTTAAGGGGAAGGTGTATGAATGTGGAGGGGAAGAAGGAGGAGGGGTGGTATCCGGCACAGGTACGATGATTGCCGCGTCCTTGATGGAGACCTTCGATAGCGGACCATCGATAACTAAGGAAGAGCCTGCACCAAGTGCAGACGTCGAAGCCACCCCAGATAGTAGCCACATTGCGTCTGATGTTCCCAGCTTTTCGCTACAACAAAACGCCGTGGCGGATGCAAATCTTCCTCCTGTCAGTACATCTGCTAGTCTCGTTGCTTTGGCTAGTGAGCCTCAACTCATAACCTCCGCCGCCAGTCTTGTCCCATCGCCCGTCCTCCCCACTCCTCCCGTTTCCGGAAACTCACCAGTTCCAGTTTCTCTGGCACCACCCCCAGACATCAATGCAGTACCACCACATCACTCTAACACGCCACCAGCCGACTGGACAATCCCCATGTTGACTTATACCACACAACCATACACGGATGCTGATGAATATACCTTGTTACGTACCGTGCCAACTGATGGCGTGGCCCAAGCGCCAATCTATTCAGGAGAACATCTTTCGAGAGACTGGCCAGATCTTTTCCCATTCTCGATCCCCACGGGTTACGTGGCTCCCAACATCGTACCCGCAGAGCCCCAGATCGGCCACCTGACAGAGTTTGGTCCCGGTGGCGTCGGAGCCTGTGGTGGTCCTGACATGAAAAGCAATGAGCTTGCTGTCGCCGTCAGCTGGGTGCTGTTCCAGATGGACCGAGAAATTGGGGGATCTCCCTTGGAAGAGAACTGGGTCTTCCTAGGAACACATGACGACGGCAGGGACATGAGATTGAGTGCTCTGTGTTTTCGAGGCATTAGAATGTGGATGGCTGATGATCAGGGTAAGAAACTGGTGGAGCAGGAGGTCGTAGTGAGAGACATGTGCACAGCATGTAACGTGACGCATTTGGACATGCAAAAGGGCACATTCGACAAGTACTGGGATGGCGGTGGAAAGGGTAGAATCAGTGTCACATGGGAATGGATGCAGGAGGCACCTACTGACGTGCCAGGATAGAGTCTCAAATTGCCCAGTTTCCTAGTGGGTGTTCAGTATTGGCGTTTTCGGAAGATTGTTATAGGGCCATATGTGTAAATTTAGAATCCGGTTCTGCAGTTTGAAGGAGTTCTTATCCCGCGTTACCTCCAGCGTTGGTCCAGTGCTTCGCGATGGTTTCACTAGGCAGCACGCCATGATTCTTCTTCATCGCATATACCTTCAATGGCCCACCTTTCTCGTCGTAGACTAGCACGGCTGCGCGCTCTTTCGTACGTGTGACGGCATCCCTTAGTTCTGCAAGCACACTCACCATCTTGCGCAATTTATCTTGATTGGCTTCCTCCCATCGGGGGTATTCCTTCTCAGCATCACTGATGCTCACCGAGTGCACCGTACCCTTGTCGTGGTTGCCGTTCATAAAGTAGGGCGTACGACCGAACCAAAGCTGCGGTAGTGCTTCTGTAAGACGTGCGAGCTTCTTGGCTTTGATTTCCGCGAGCTTGGACGGGTTGATGAAGATTCCCTTCTCAACGACTACTGTAGGCTTATCGACGGGAGTCTTTCGAGGTTTAGTTTGAGTTGATGGCAGGCCTGCAATATTTAGTTGTGCCATAGCAGCGCTCACGGTGCCAACAGGCTCATCCCTAGGCTGTTTAGACTTCGAGTCCAGGACGACATCCGGGTCATCGTAATACGCATCGACTTCAAAACGGACAACGCAGTCCAAAGGGCCGATATAGTACCGAATAACCCTGTGATGACTGCTAGAATTCTCCATTCCATGATCAGGCATGGTGAAGGTCTTCTCGAAGTTATGTCCGTAGCCCGCGTTCGGTGCACCATGGATCATTTGCTGAGCGTTCCGTTCTTTACGGCTAATAACGAGCGTATTGCCGACCATGTGTAAGCCCATGCAGAAAATGTCCAGTTTCCTCCCAGCCGAAAAATCGAGTAGCTTGCGAAGACTGTTGCGGTTGGCGATGATGTCGACTCGATCTAGCACGACGTCGGGTCCCATCACAGCAAGGGCAGCGAAGGCTGGCTCGAAAGGATACTTGGGCACGCGAGATGCGTTCTGATCGACGAAGTGTCTCCCTGAGTCCTGAGCCAGAGTGGTCGGCAGCGGTGGAGGGTTCCACTTCGGAGGTGCACCAGGTACATAGATTGACCCATCACACTGCCAGTTGTAGCTACACAAGGTCTCGAAGCCACGCTCAGACGACACCTTGGTGCCATCTGGCTCCAGTGTTGTTGCTTCTATTGTGCGAACGGGCAGCTCGGTGGTCTCCCGGAACATCCATGACGTTTTCCAAGAAGGCGCCTGGTGTGGAAGCTGTGCCCGGGGTTGTCCTGCTTTCGCAGATTGAGGCCTCAATCCCTTTGATGGAACTGCGTCTCCTTGAGCTAATATCGAAAGCTTCCCCTTAACGGGTACCTTCACTGTTGCAACTTCTGCTGACGCCAAAGAAGTTGTTACGGGCGGAGATGCTTTCGCTCCATTTCGCCTAGCACGCTCTCTATGTGTGGAGTCAGACTTGAGTGGAAATTGGGGCAAGATGGGCCTACTCACAGTTTTGAAGGACGCGCATTTCGTGCTTTCGGCCGTATAGCATCGTCTTCTTTGGTTACTGCAGTCCCGGCCGTTGTAGGGGGATCGCCGTCATTAAATGCCTCATGGGCTTGTAGCGCATTCGATGCTACTGAACTCTCGAATTCCACTGTTGCTGAATCCTGATTCTTGTGCTGGCTGCGCTTCTGTTAGTTGTCTGTACACTCGTACAGACTAGTGTCAGCGCAATACTTACCGCCTTCTACCACGTTGGCGTTTCTTGATCGGAGCGACCTTTTGACCTGACTTCTGCTCCCCAGTGGCTATTGGGATTCCACCGCCGTCAAGAGCACCTGGTCCCGTAGCGGGAGGCTGAGCCACGGATTGCGACATGTTTAGTGGAGTTGTTGGCTTGTTAAGAGTTCATATGCCAGCGTGACAGAAGTAGCATGCGTCGAGTAGCAACCGTAAGGCAGAACCCGTGTAGCGGGGTAGCTGTTGCGCGCATCAGGATATGCTTGTACAGCCTAAGTTTGAGACTGCCAAGTCTGTGCGCCGTCAGAGTCGGCTGCACTGGCTGAGTGAAGGTGAAGAGGAGTGCGCAGCCTTGGATGCCTACCTAGGTAGGCATTGGAGAAGTCATCATCGATGACACGCAGGACGAAGCGCGTCTGAGATGTCTATCATCCAACCAGTCGACTCTTTACACATGGCATGGATGTTACTGGAGGCGATGCAGCTGGGGTCGAACAATCTAGGGGGGTGTTTGTGGAGGTGCAGGTCTCACGTGCGCAGGCGATAATGATTGGCAGGGTCTGGATCGGTTACGCGTCATTCCTCTCGGAGTCGGCAGCATCCTTCAACTTAATTCCTACGATGCACACGACCATCTCCGGGCTTGATGCTTCACTTCTACGCTTCTTACTTCCCCCCTACTACTTTTAATGTCTAGTTAACTTCTGCTCACGTCTCTTGGCCTGTCGTCTCCGCATGCTTGGCAAACCTCCTCCGCCGCAGCGTTAGGCGCACTATCTGCAATGTCGACCGTCTTCGCCTCCCTGGTACGCCCACCCAAGCTGCGACGGGCTTCCGCAGCTACGCAGCCCGCGGCCCAGCCTCCGCCCTCGATCGACAGTCATGGCCTCGACGAGCCCGACCTGCGCGACCTCAATACCGCCCTGCAAGCGCTTACCGACATCTTCCCCGACCTGCAACCCGAGGTTTTCCGAGAGATGCTGTCTACTTTTAGCGAAGAGAGCAGGCTGCAAGTCGTCACCGAGACGCTCCTGAAGCATGGCGACAAGTATGTGCGGGGCCGGTACAGGAAGCCCGCCGAGCAGGAAGAGCAGCGGGAGACGGCGCAGAAGTACAAATACCGCAAGGAAGACGCACCGAGAGACACACGAGGCATACCCCTTGCGCTGGAAGAAAAGTTTCGGTCACGGCGATATAAGGAGGCTGCCAAAGAAGCGCTGTACCAGGAATTCAAAGGCCTGAGCCACTCGACCATCAAGGCGGTGCTGGCTGAATACAACCACAGCTATACGCATGCACGGCCGACGCTATTGGAACTATCAACTAGAAGCTGGAGGTCTAGCATCACCAACTTCCTGATGCGACGGAAGGCGCCGACGGCCAGTGATCATCCCCTGGTCATATGGACTCCCGCCGACGAACGCCTGAACCGTCCATCTATGCCACTTCTCGTAAAGACACGAAGCGACGAGCTGAATCAGGAGCTTTACAACGCACTTATTGTACCGGAACATGAGAAATACCGGAACGCTCAATTGCGACAGGACTATGACTTGGCCATGCAATGGAACGAAGAGGAGGCCGAGCGTGAAGGCGAGATGTACGACTGCGAATGCTGCTTCATACCCAACACGCTTCAGCAGATGTCGACCTGCGACATCGACGGCCACTACATCTGCTTCCGTTGCATACGGCATGCTATCAACGCTGCCCTCTACGACCAGGGCTGGGCGCGTAACATCAACACGGACCTGTGTACCCTGAAATGCATAGCGCCTATGACCGGTGGCTCCGAAGAGTGTCGTGGCTGCATACCCTTCTCGTTTGTGAAGCGCGCTCTTTTGGAAGAGCAAGATGGAAAGGACAATCTGAACAAACTCAACGAGCGCTTCGCTAGCGATGCACTGACCAGATCTCAGCTACCACTCGTACAGTGTCCCTTCTGCTCGTATGCGGAGTTGGATGACCTCGCGCTTCCAGATACCAACCTCTTCGCCAGCCTACGATTCAAATCCCGCCCACTCATACTGGCTTCGCTGGCATCGGTGCCCTTATTCGAGTTGCTGTGCTTCCAAGCCACGCGAGCCCTACTTTTCGCTTTTATTCTTATCTACACCTTCGTCACCATCACATTTCGCCTGCCTGTCATCGCACCCTTTCGATCCGCCCTCAGGCGTGTCCACCTAAAGCGTCGCGGCCTTCGGTTTCAGTGTCTCTCCCCAAGCTGTGGTCGCGCATCCTGCCTCTCGTGCTCCCTTCCCTGGCATGACCCCCACACATGTTTCTCTTCCCAACTCACGTCCCTTCGTCTTACACTCGAACGTGCTACCACAGACGCAGTCAAGCGTACCTGTCCTCAATGCAACCTAGGCTTTGTAAAATCTGAGGGCTGCAATAAGCTCGTTTGTCTTTGTGGGTACAGCATGTGCTACATCTGCCGACAGGGTCTTGCGAATGAGGGCTATCAACACTTCTGTGGACACTTCCGTGAACGGCCCGGACAGCCATGCGGCGAGTGCAACAAATGTGATCTATACCGCGTCGAGGACGAAGAGAGGGTAGTCAAGAGGGCCAAAGATAAGGCCGAGGCAGAGTGGTGGGAAGCGCAGGGCGATGGCGCGAAGGAAGGGCTGCAGAAAGAGGTCGGGAAGAACGAAGGCTCCGCGGTCAAAGGGGTGGCGGGGCTGAAGAGGGGAAATTGGGAAGCCTGGATCGAAGGCGTACTGGATAGTGTGCTTGTTTAATTATTTGCTGTTGGCGTTCGGATGTGGCCACAGATCGTCAGAAAGATTGATACCCAGTATTGATATTGTACAGCGTCCCTCGTGGACGCCATCTTAGTTGCAACTCTTTTGATCGGTCCCCGTGATGGCTGTTCTATCGGTAGTGAGACATCCTTCAAGTGACATTACAATTTTCGATATTTGACGTGCACATTCTTTGTGCAAGACATGATACATTTATCCCCAGCTCTTCCCGCGGAATGTCTGGCATATACGCGAGAATGGATACTGCATCAATCTTTCTCCCGGGGTCCAGGGTTTACAGAAATGTAGAGCGTTCGTAACGGAGGAAGTGGTGAAGATAAGTGCGTTCTTGCGTACACTTCCGTTCTGCAGGGCTTATTTCCGAGATATCGCTCTTACCTTTTGCAGTTGCTAAACATACAAAGTCCATAGGCGCTCACGACGTTGGCTACCGTTGTACCCCTCATCAGGGACCAACACACCACCTTCCTAACGTCACCTAGCGCCCCGCAAGCGAACGGGGAGCGTTATCAGCCGCGATACTATCTCCACTGACATCATCACGTCTACACATTAGCAATCTGCTATCACACGCTGCACTCTTGGCTATTCCTCGGAAGAAAGATCTCACTGTGTCGCCTACGATGCAGGCTAGAGATCTGGGACCTATCGCGCGTTCATCGGCTTGTCGCTACAGGGTTCATGATAAGGGATGCTGGTCGGAAGAAACGATGTTTGGCTGCCATTGAGGACGCAGAAGCGATCTTCGATAGATGCTCCTTGATAGGTAATGCTGTATGCCGGGTATGAGGTCGGCATGCATGTGAGGGGCGACACGGCAATGCAGATGTTGGGATGGTAGGGTACTGGGTTCGTTACATATACCATGTCGCACCGCATGCTACATGGAAACCAATCGAGAATAACATCTACTTTACCTGTCCTCGTCTCTGTATCGGCAAGATGAGCATCCCGGAGAAAGAGATAGCCCACGAGTCAAAATCGGGCGACACTTCTCCATCGCGACCGCATTCAGATGTCGAGATTGGTACCGTCGAGGAGCCATCCAACAACGGCGATGAGGCGCTCAAATTTCTCAAGAATGCACACAATGTCGGTGCTCTTACGCCAGAGGATGAGCGAAGACTGGTTCGGAAAATTGATTGGATGATCATGCCATTGATGTGGTGTTGTTACTGCTTGCAGTATCTGGACAAGACACTAGGTATGTCAGATCTTTACATTACTGCATCACTACTCTGTAAGCGAGCATACTGACAGTTCATACCAGTGAATTACGCGGCTGTGATGGGTCTCTACGAGGACGCGAACATCAACACGGCACAATTCTCCAACCTCGCTCTCTTCTTTTACGTATCTTACCTCGCGCTCGAGTTCCCTCATGGCTACGGCATGCAGCGTCTGCCTACTGCAAAGTACCTCGGTGCAGCCGTCATCCTCTGGGGTCTCGTCACGGCACTCACATGTGTGTGCAAGAACTACGGCGCTCTAGTCGCTACACGCGTCCTGTTAGGTTGCTTCGAGTCGGCCGTCGCGCCCAGCTTGATCCTGATAACTTCGATGTGGTATAAGAAGAAAGAACAACCGCTGCGAACCGGTATCTGGTATCTGGGAGTCGGTAAGTCCTGGCTGTACGAAATGCATGTGAGACATATGCTGACTTCGTACCTCTACCCCTGCAGGAACTGGAACAATTATTGGAAGTCTGATCAGTTTCGGGTTTCAGCACTACGAAAGTGACACTTTTACTAGCTGGCAGATCATGTTCTTGGTCGTGGGTCTAGTTACTGTCTCAGTCGGTATAACTGGTATGCTGATCTCTATCTCTGGTTCTCGGAATGGTACTGACTTACGTAGTGGTGTTGCTTCTTCCCGACAACCCGATGTCTTCTCGCCTAACCCCAGCAGAGAAGGTATGGGCAATCGAACGTCTACGCGAGAACCAGACTGGCATCGAGAACACGCATTTCAAATTTCACCAAGTGCTTGACTGCTTCAAAGATCCGCAGACGTGGATGTTATCGATCATCACCATATCATCCAATGTACCCAATGGTGCAGTGTCTTCCTACCAGGCCACGCTCATCAAGTCATTTGGCTTCAGCTCTAAGACTACAGCTTTGCTACAGCTACCTTCGGGCGCCGTCAGCGTCATCTCAATCCTCATCGCTACATATCTCGCCGGCCGTTTCAACCAACGCGCACTGAACGTCGTCTCCTTGCTCATACCTGGAGCGCTGGGAGGCTGCCTCATGGCTTTCCTCCCTGGCGAATCCAGAGTGGGAAAGCTCATCGGGAATTATCTTACCAACTGTATTGGCTCCAGCTTACCGCTCCTCTACTCCTGGGTGTCTGCGAACATTGCCGGTCACACGAAGAAAGTAACTATGAACGCTATTTTGCTCATGTCTTTTTGTCTGGGAAACATTATCGGACCGTTGACATTCCGCCAAGGCGATGGGCCGGATTTCATACCAGCCAAAGTCACCATTGTAGTGACTTGCGCATTCGCGGCTGCTATGGCGCTCGTGTTGAGAGCCTACTACATGTGGGAGAATAAGAAGAGGGATCGAGAGGATGATGGGACGCATCTTGAGAATGAGGAATTCCTTGACTTGACAGATCGCGAGAATAGGCGGTTTAGATATAGGTTGTAGGACGGGCAAAAGGATAGGTAGCCCAATGGGAAAGCACGAGGCGGTTCAGCACGAGCCTCCTTCTTACACTCAAATCATCGACCACTTTGGATTGAACTTCATCGGATGCAAGGAACTTATAATTCGATCAACGCTAATTTACATACTACAGCCCATTCCACCCTACGGAGTACTGGCACTGCCTCGGAACTCACTAATGATGATATCCGCCGCCTTCTCACCAATGACAAGTGCCGTATTGTTCGTATTACCACCCACATTCTCCGGAGGGATACTGAGATCCGCAATCTTCAACCCCTTAATGCCGTGCACGTTCAAGGAGGAATCAACAACACCATCCTGCTCCCTCGGTGCCATCTTGCACGTGCCAAGCGAGTGCCACGTTGTGTTGACGTTCTCTCGTAGCCACTGCTCGATGGCAGCATCATCTTCCTTGCTGTAGACCAAGTCCTTGACATCCTCTAGAGGGCCTTCGACATTCTCTTGTAGTGCGACCGCGGAATCGGCAGCGAACTTTGGATGACCTGCAGCCAATTCGCCACGGTAGAACTGCGTACGTCGCAAGATCTCGCGTTGCTTCTTGTAAGCCCAGATCTGCTTCTTGAGGTCGATGTCGTCTTTATCGTTGAAGAAGCCCACGTCGAAGTCTAGTGGGTCATTGTGCTTCGGGCCGGTGATGTGCATATGTCCGCGCGAGTATGGGTATGCGGTGTAGTTACCTGCTGTGACGTACTGGCCCGCAGGGATGCTTGCTGGGTCGCCCAAGAAGCAAGACACCAGACCACACAGCATCAGCGGACGGTTTGGCGCGTCCTTGAAGTCGCGGTTCCATGCTTCTTGGAACTCTGGTCCGAGAGAAGTGACTTCTTCTTCAGTAGGGCGAAGCTTGGAGGATATATCGATGCCGTTCCAGCCTAGCATAGGGTCTTTGTTCTTCATCATCTCGGCAACGTCGGCACGTCCGCTGAGGATGCCATCGATGGTTTGGTCGGGCGCTAGGGCAGTCTTGTAGGGGTAGAGAAGGAGGTGGTGGTCTTGGTAGTCCTTTCCTACACCAGGTAACTCTTCCACAAGAGGTACACCGGCACGTTCGAGTATCTCCTTGGAGCCCAGGCCCGAACGTTCGAGAATGGGCGGTGTACCGCAAGCACCGGATGTAACGACGACCAACTTGCGAGCCTTCACAGCCTTCACAGGATGCATACTCAAACCGATTTCAGCTTGGAACTCTGGATTCGGTGTGTATTCGACACCAGTGGCACGCTTGTTCTCGTCGAACAGTACGCGCACCACCTTCGATTCGACGAGAACGTGAAGGTTGGAATACCGCTCATCTTCGAGCTTCGGGTGGAGGTATGTGTGTGCGGTATCTTGGCGTTTGCCCTCTGGTGACACGTAGCGTTGCCAACGCGCAATACCGTTGTTGTCGTCTAGGTTCTGCAAGTCTTCGATCTCAGGGTAGCCGACCTTCTCAGCTGCGCTTATGAAGTCGTCTTCAGCAGCCTTTGCGCGATAACCTCCGTCTGAGACATGGATTGGTCCGCTGTGGCCGTGGTGCTCTTTCGCTCCGGGTCCATGGTAGGTCTCTAGCTTCTTTAGGTGTGGCCACATCTCCTCAGCTGACCAGCCAGGTGTGTTCCAGCTATCGAAGTCCGATCTTTGTGCTCGTGTGTACATCATGAAATTGATTGAACTGCCTCCGCCCAAGGTACCACCGCAAGGTACAATGGGTTCACGATCGGCTAGCTGCTTCGACTTGTTTCCTTTGTAGAAGAGAGCGGTCTTGGTGGCAGGCAGTAGGTTCTGCAGGTAGAAAACGGGGTTGACAACGCTGGCGACATCTTTGTTGTTCGCGCCCCCTTCGATTACAAGAATAGAGAGGGAGGGGTCATCTTCAGCAAGTCGACCGGCTATGATACAACCCGCTGTACCGCCTACACAAAGATGTCAATGGGGGATTCGATGAGGGTGAATATGATAGACATACCTCCAGCGATGATGACATCTACCTCATTAATGTCGTCTGCAAGCTTGTTGTATATACCCATGATGAAATTCTGTTATGATCTGGGCACTCTGAGAAGATGTTCGGATACCAGATGACAAGACAACTGTCAAGAGTCAGATTTGGGAGTCCAGCAATCCGTTTAAGTAAATGTTCAGTATTTCTTTGCCCCTCGCAAACAAAGTTCGGCCACTTACAGTCCATCGCAGACCATTTATCGGATGCCATAGGGCTTTTGTGAACTTGAGTACCGCACTACCCCATCTTCTGCTCTTTTCGGCTTGGCGCCGGTGATACTAGCGGACCCTTTCCGCGCATCTAGATGGCGACCCCAAGGCTTAGGGAACGCTACGAGCTATTAGCTCTCACAACAATTGAACGATCTCCCATGCCGTCCAGTCAGGATAGCCTTGTGTTAGCGCTATCAGCCATGGTGGTGGTGAATAGCACATCAGGTGTTCTTTCCCCGCATTTGTGAGCCGTAACCTGACGGCGATCATATGCGTCTGTCCGAGAACCGCGGATAACAATTGTGAAAAGAAGGACGTCGAGAGGTACAATCTAGAACGCATGTTCCGCGCAGCTTTTAAATTTTGAGCTGGTGGTGGTGATGTTAGCAAACACTTCATTCGTAGAGCACAAAAGATGAGAGAGATTGTGAAAGAGTGTAATGAGGTATCTTGGAATTTCCGAAAGCCTACTTTCGGATACTTGAACCCTGCAGCCCACTAACACTGCGCATTCGGAACCATGGATCGATGCACGGTAACCGCAAGAGTCGATGGCATGTGCAGGCTAAGGCACTAGGACGCAAAGTCCCGGCTTGCTGGGGCGAAACTTCATGAAAAAGGAAAGCTACCCTCGATCACATCCTTATATGGCTGCCTTCTTCAGAAATACGAGATTATAACCGAGTTTTCGCCGTACGACGGTGCCAAGCATCGCATCTTAGAAGAGCCGATCAAGACCCATGTCAAGTATGTTTTGGAACTCGACGCGACGCTTGCCAGCGATACTACGCTTTTTGGGCTTGGCGTCCGCCGCGATGTAGTGCTCGATGATGTTGACGGTAGCGCCCAACGTATGGAAGGGTGCAAGATTGTCGAGCATGAGGTTAGCGCTCTCGTCGTCTTGAATGGAGTCGTGCCTTAGGAGCGCAACGTTAGTGATTGACCGAAAGTAAATCGTACCTTGGGCTGACTTACCAATGAATGACGACCTCTCGCAAGTCTGGCGCCTTCAACAGGATCTCGAATACGAAATTGGAGCGCTGGCGAAGAAGGGCAGGGAAGATGGCCTCGATGGAGTCGATAGTGTCGGCGCGGATCCAGGCTGAATCCCAAACGAAAGTTATATTAACCTTTCGAATGTTCTCCATAGGAGAAAAGGCAGCGTCGGTGATCTGGCTGAAAGCCTGAACATTGGTGTACGAAGTCAGCAAATGTTACACGTTAATTCACACAGGAAAATGACTTGCCTCTTCGAAGAAAGACGTGTGGGCGAAGCTACCAGTGGCGTCAATACGTAGAACAGCTACATCGTAGAACCAGTTCTTTGCCTCGTTGTTCAGCTGGCGGGAGGCCAGCAGGAGCTGGACCGGCGGAGGACAGTGAGTGATGCGCATGAAGTTCGGTATGTGGCGCCACTTGTTATGGGGTCGGAATACGGGTGCTGGGGGAGGAGGAGGCTGAGCCGCAACGACTGTAGCAGCAGCGTTGCCGCCGTCATCAGTCAGATCTTCGTCGCCCTCGCTATCGCCTTCGGCCTCTTCGTCATTGTGTAGCTGGGCACCCTCGGTCTCTTCGCCGTTGTCGCCCTCATCCTCGCTGTCACCCTCACCGGCATGTCCTTGTCCAGGTTCTTCCGCTGCCATCCCGTCTTCGGAGTGGTGGTCGGGGTCAACTTGAGCCGTAGCTTGGGCTGGAACGTGGACGCTAGCAGTTGCCGACTGGGTATCGTGCGCGCCGGCGACAGCTCCTTCTACCTCATCGTCCTCATCTTCGCCGTCCAAGTCAGACTCAGACTCATCTTCAGCTTCATCCTCATTATTGCCATCTTCCTGCTCTGCTCCTTCGTCCTCATTTCCATCTTCGTCTTCGTCCTCGTCCTCGTTTTCGCTGTCCTCCGCGGCATCTTCGTTCTCTTCTTGATCATCCTCCTCACTGTTGTGGTCGCTTACAGCACTCTCGTCATCGTAATCATCGTAGTCGTTGGCGTATACGACGCGCGGGGTGGGACCGTTGGGGTTGTCAATGGCGTCTTGGGCAACGAGTTCCTTGACCTCTTTCTTCTCGAACCAGTAGCGGAGCAGCTTCTTAGGCTTGACGTCGCGCGCGGCCACATGCTCGAAAATGGAGTGTCGCACCTCGAGCGGGAGGTCCATGAAGGCGGGTGCAGCCTTGTCGTTGGTCATGGCGGGCAGTTGGTCGCGCGTGAGTTTTGTAGAATGAGCTGCGCAGGGAGATGCAAGGTAGAGGGGCTTGCGAGCGGGATTGGCAGCAAACTAGAGAGAGAATACGGGCGAGATCAGGGTTCAAGTAAAGTTGGTGCCGCAGTTGCCTGCAGTGGGCTGCGCGGGGCTTGCAGGCGTTTGTGTAGCCAGAAACGCTGGAACGTGGAGCAGGACCAGAAGTGAAGGAGCGGACGAGAGCCACTGAAGGGCACGCCCAAGCGTCGAGAGGTCCATCATGACCAACAGGGCGCTCAGGTCTGGATGCGTCGTTTCGCAGTCGCTGGTAGCTATGGAGTCGCAGTTGACCCACCGTCGCGCCTTCCCCACGGAGCTTGACGCGCTACGTCAGCCCCTTGCCTGATTGGCTGCAGCCATCTCGCGACTCCCGGCCAGCTTCCACTCCATTAGACTCAATGAACGTCATCCTTTCCATCGCGTGCCACAAGACTTCAGCATTCCCAAAACCTTTAAATGGCAGCGCAAGCCCACAGCAACCAGGCAGCATGACTTTAATACATGGACACACTCATACGCTCGTAGTGCATCGATTCACCCCTTCCAAGGCTGTGTCATGCTATATGCAGTTCCCAGGCTGCCCATACGCTCTTTCCGAGCTGCTGACACCACGCTCATCACGAAGGAGCACGTCCGCCGACGCCTACTACCCGACATGAACAGGACATAGGCTGTAGAGGATGCAGCCACACTCGAAAGACAATACTTCTCCTTCAGCACTTGTATTAGCCGTTCCAACTATTGTTGCAGCATGCCCATCCCGCGGACGATGTTTGGGTACCTGGCCTATCGATGCATGTAGTAGAGGCCGCAAGATCAAGGCACTGGCCGCTTCTCCAACGAGGAGACTCGAGACTTCTCTGACTACCACGTGTAGGAGTCGGCCTTGCTGTCTTTGGAGTAGCATCGTCGTCAGGTTCAGCATGTTCCACCTTCTTCCATCTACAACCACAGTAAACATCAACACACCATGAAGCAGCAGCACCTCACTGCTGCTGCCCGTCTACAAGCTACGTGCATGAGTATATAATCCCGTCCTCGGGTCTCCATCCTCCATTTCTCTCTCACATCACAACCAGCCCAGCAACTCTACCATCAACTCTTCTACCCAGCTCATCCATCCGTCATCCATACCTGAGCCCACCCCATCAACGCATCCCACCGGTAGAGCTTGGTTCCTCCAACCACACCCCACGCCATGCGTCTCACCACCAGCGTCATCGCTGGCTTCATCGCCTTCGGTGCCGCTACGCCTGCCGGCCTGGCAGTCAAGCCAAGTTCCATTGAGGACCCTGTCGATGCTGTTCCAGCCCAGCACACTCCCGTCGTCGACGGGAACTGGCACATTGGCTGCGACAAGAACAACTACTGCTCCTACTACCAGGGAGGCGACATGGCTGTTGGCAACGACAACTCAGTATCCCCTCGTACCATTGCTCTGTCGGAAACCTCATGCAAACAGTGCTCAGTTAAGGAACCTTGCGACGTAAGTCTTCCTCATATTCTCTTCTTTCGGAATAGGATGATCTTTGCTGACCTTCTGGCTGGTAGTATTGCAAGCCTTATGAATACAAATGTCGGGACTGCGACCATTACCAATGTTTCGACGCTTTTCTGAATACGCGTAGCTGCTTCGACGTCCAGCCCGAGCTCAGCGATGCCATCCGCAATCACACAGTCACAGCCACCATCCTCAAGACCACCATCAGCACCTCTGTCGTAACTGTGACCGCCATGCCTACTTCTGAGGCATCAATCTCCGACATCACCACTACCATCACGCTTGCTCGTACAGCCCTACCCCCGACGCACACTAGTCTGGCCCCTCGCGATGAGCTAGCCTCCAACGATGGCGACAACCAGTCACCTACTCGTCGCACTGCCTTCAAGCAGTCGGAATGCTTCCCTTGCAACGACCAAACTTGCCCAGTACGTTAATTCGTCCCAGGTTTCCTGCCTGTACTCAGCTTGCTAACTTATCTTTTCTCAGGAATGCCACGCCGACTGCGCAGAGTGCGACAAGTACCTTTGCAACAACTTAGCCACTCACATGACGGTGTGCATGAGCGTCCGTTCCAAATGGCAGCCCCCGGGCTTCAACGTCTCTGCCTCCGGACCCAGCGAGACCACAACTACCACCGAGACAGTGGTCATTTCGACCGTCGTTGGCCCCACGTCCTCGCCAGTCGTCACCGTCACCGTGTCCGCCCCTGTTACCAGTACCACTACTGTTGTCGTAGCTCCTCAGAGCTCCCCATGCACTACGACCACTACTTCGATACCTGTAGTAACCAGTACTGTGACAGTGGTTACTCAGCGTCCACAGACCAAAACCGTGACAGTTATTTCTCAGCGTCCACAGACAAGCACTGTGACAGTTGTTGCTCAGCGTCCACAGATCACCACTGTCGTCGTGACAGCTCCTCAGGTTCAGACCACCACTGTCGTCATGACAGCTCCTCGGGTTCAGACTACCACTGTCGTCGTGGCAGCCCCTCAGATTCAGATTAATACCGTCACTGTGGAGAAGCCGGCTTCCACCGTAATCTACCAGCAACCAGGCACCACATCCATTGTCACCGTACAGAACCCAGCTTCTACTGTCGTCTACCAGCAGCCAGGCACAACTTCCATTGTCACCTATCACTACCATGATCCAGCGTCCACCATCATGCTCCAGCCACCAACTGTTACTGCTTCGCGCTCACCACACGTGCTCGAGATTCCCGTCACTGTAATCACGACCGCGACCCACACCGTAGCCAGATCAGTTCGTGCCAACCAAACCCCTGCGCCTATGTCTCCCCGCGATACCATTATCGCCAAGCCGATGTGCGACTCTTGCGACGGTAACGCGGAATGCGATGTAAGTTGAAGCACCAGTCCGTCGCGTGCTCATAGAACTTCTGACTGACTTCCGCTACAAACAGGGGTGCGATTTCGCTTGCGACGAAGACCAAGGCTGTGAGCACTTCCTGTGCAAAGACCCTCTCAGCGAAGCGGAGATCTGCATAAGCCTCCTAGAGGACGCCGAGGCGTCCAAAGCATACGACACGTCCATGGCTTCCGGCGATTTCCTTGGCTCCGCCGCGATGCTTCTGGTGCTCGCTGGCGATGACGCCCCTACTTCCAACACAACGACTACCCATTTGCAGCCGGCGATCTCCAACGGAACCCGGCCAGACTTTTCCTTTGCCGATGAGGATTGCTATCTGTGCGAGTCCGGTGATGAGTCTTGCAACGTAAGTCACTGCCTTGCCCACCCACCCCCTGCAATGTTGCATCATCTTCATTGGTATGGTTCGTCGACTAACTCCTCCCAGATGTGCGACTGGCAGTTCACCTGCGGCATCAAGAAGAAGTGCTTCCACAACGGCGCGCGCGAGGTTGTCGAGTTGTGCTTCGAGAAAGGCGAGAAGTGCCGTCCTTGAACCGATTCCGCCGGGCATTTCTCTTCGTGCCGACTGAAGCGAGCCATCCTGCGATGCCACGAACCGATGAGGTAGCTGGATTGTCGCTTTTGGCTCTGCTGTCTTTTTGCACGCTTCGTTGGTCGCGTCGCTCCGTTTCACGCTAGTGTGAGCTTGCGCTGGCTTCTGCCATGTTCTTTCTACCGTTGTTTCTCTTCCCCTTTGTTGCTCCGCGTTAGTAGTTTGTAGCTTCTTCTGAATACATTACATCTCCTTAATTTCTGAGATACTTGCTTCCTTGTTGATGTATGCTCACCGATCGCATGTTCTCACTACTTGCTTCGCAACTTGCCGATGGAGTCCGCGATGGTCAGTCGTTCTCAAAGAGGCCGCTCACTCAACTCATGATTGCTTCAGTGACACTGTCCTGCATTGGAAGCGTGCATGCAATTGACCGATACACTTACAATCGGCACTGGGTGACATAAGACCTGGCAGGATGCCTGTCATGAAAGCTCCCAGGACGCATACAAACCGGACATACGACACAAGTGTACATCCTTTGTTCTCATTTTATGTAATGCATGCCCTTTTCCTAAGTCGAAACTTCATCTAGTCAAGGGGATTGCAGAGCCATCTCACTCAACCCCAGACCAAGTCAATTCTCTCGCCCTTGACTTTCGAATTGAACCACTCATAGATCTCGACATCGTTCTGTACTATACTTGCACCATCAAGAACCCCACTTCTACCTAGTCTCTCCGTCGCGAACTGTAACTCCATGGTTGCCAAGTTTCTGGCGATGCACGCTCTGCTCCCTGCCCCAAATGCGAACCAGTACTTCGACATAGCTTCTGTTGGTTTCAGCCATCTTTCAGGCCGGAAGCTCCTTGGTAAGGGAAAAATGTCCGGGTTGAAGTGCAGCTCATAGGCTGAGCAACCGACAATGGAACCAGCTGGGAAGTAGGTGTTTTTGAAATTCCAACCTCCGGCAGGGACGGTATGAGGCAAGCGCGTAGGATTTGCCATGCTGATTCGGAGGCCTTCTTTGACAATAGCGTTGAGATAGGGTAGCGCTTGAACGTCCTGTGCATCTGGACCAAGGGCAATGTTGTTCTTGACCTCTTCCCTTAATCTCTCATACATATCTGGGTACAACGCCAGATTGCGCATGATCGTTGCCAAGTTCATCCCCGTAGAGTCTGTTCCTGCGAAGATGAGATCTTTGCACTGTGCCCTAACTTCGGAGTCGCTGAGTCCCGCAGCGAGTAGACGCCCGGGGTATGTCGTTGACTTCTCGGAGGTGTTCGCCACTAGTGTGCCGATGAACTTATCAACAAGCATCATGCTATCATCAGTCTCTGGATCAGGCAACCATTTGGCAACGGCCCATTCCAGCCACGTGAAAGCGAGATTTGGGAGGTAGAAGAAGCGACCGACAGCGACAAATGCGTCCACGAACGCGCTCACGCTGAGCACTGGACCACGTTCGCTGACCCCATCGTAATTCTCCCGGAACAGGTGCGTAGATACTGCGTCCACAGCCAGGCTTCGCGTCAAGTTGAGCACGTTGACAGGCCGCTTTGTCATGGCTTCGTCCCTCAATCGCTCCACCATGCGATCGACACATCCCCAAATCGCTCTCTCATTTTCTCTCAATGCTTTTGTTGAGAATAGCGGGACCACAGCTTTCGCTCTTGGGCTCCTGTAGTCTGTATCGATGGTCGAGAAAATAGTCTTGTGGCCATCAATGTCGAAATTTGCGTAGCACGCCGCTTTCGGAAAGCCTCCTTTAGATACGTAGATTGCAGGTATAGCATCCGCGTCGCTTATATCGACTTCATTCGGTGAGACTCGGACATACGGGCCGTATTGTTCGTGGAGTTTGTGGATAGTGCTTGCTTCGTCTCCGATGTAGGCGTGGTAGTGAAGGAAAATGCTGGTCAGCTTAGGTAAGATGGGTCCAGGGATGTGGGATAGAGGATGGAAGTAGATGCGATAGACCGAGCGAATCAATACAAGCAGAAAAGGTGTGAAGAACAAGGTTGTTATGGGATGAGCCGCTATCGCGCTGACAACGAGGCTTTGAAGCGCCATCGGGGTAAAAGACAGCTGGACAGGCTACATTGACGCTGTTGCAGATGTCGTGTGTTTTATATGGCTCGTGGTTGGTTGAGTCACCACAGCGTTAGTGGGGTGCTATCAACGGCGATCATGGAGATAAGGCGTCATCCACTCCCACCTTGAACTCTCTCCTTGAGACTGCAGAAACTAGGACGAATTACACATTATTGCTCTATATAAATACATGTAGTCAATTTCACCTCATCATTACTCATTTTCGTTCCCTTTGATGCTGCCGGCGTGATCAACCCGCGAAACCCGCTGACGGCGAGTACATCAAACAATGTCCCCTCTTCTTCTAACTAGCCACCTAACTCAAATCACTGGCCCTACCATCCTTGGTCGAAGGCGTCAACTCCACGTCCGCAGTATAATCAGCCCTCGCACCCTTCTTCGACCTCCTCCATTGATGCACAGCAATGCAACTCAGCAGAGCCATTCCCGCATGTAGAAGGCCTAATACCCCTTGTAATCCCACCTCAGCATACCCAAGGCTATCCCAATACAACTTGTTGTAGATGTTGCTCTCATCGTTGTAGATGATGAGCGTGTGTAGAAAGCAGATGGCCCCATAAAGACACACCATGACTAAGGATGCAGTGACGGAAAGGACGGGATGGAATAAATTTGGTGCGGAGGCTGAAGAGGGTATAGCCACGAGGCTGAAGAGAGTGTAAATGGTATCGGGGATCATTGCGAATCCTGTGCGGAAGAACCAATCATTGCTATATACGCAGTTAGTATGCGCTTTATTCGACCGGTCTGACTTTTGGAATCTGGTAAGACTATGTGCTGCGACTTACGCATAGCTTTGCCAACGGGGGTCGTTGTCGCGATCGTTAAATCCGTACTTGAAAGAAGCATTGTGGGAAATGATGATGATGATAAAGACAAAAAGAAGAAATGCCTTTACGAGAAAGACATGGTGATGGAAGCGTGGAGGTCCTTGCCAAAGTGGACTTTTAGGACGAGTGAAAGATGCTAAGATGCCCATGTTTGGAGGTACTTTGGTAACGCGTAGGTGAAGCTGTAGAAAAATCTCGGTAGTTCAATATATCAATATTAGTAAAATGAGATGCGAGATTGAGTAGATGTGTTCTCACTATAAGTACCTCTACGTAGCAAGGCGCAAAAGATAAAGTTGATCAACATACAGGTCGCCTTATCGTGGCGCGTACCTTCAACGCAGGTCCCGTATCTGTGCACTTGACGTCTCAGCCTGATGATCACCCCACAATTCCTCGACTATTTCGAAGATCGACCCAAGGGCAAAATAGCTGGCTTTTGTTGGTTGGTGTCAAACACAGCCTACCATGCCAAGTTCGGGCTGTGTTGCCGGTCAAGCATAGGTACCGTAAGCGAGGCGCGCCACTAGAGGAAGATGTGTAAAACTAGCTCGTGTACGCAGTACAAAAGAATGACATAATCATCGAAACTACTTTCGCAAGGTGAAACTGTCAACGGGGGATTATTCGTGATATTGAATGCTCGACTAGAGCAACAGCCTACGGGCCGATATGCGGCATTCCATGCAACATCTTGGCCTGGAAACCCCCATAGACGCCCACTCCAACACCACGGCATGGTGGTGACCGATCCAGTGATGATATGCAACGTTAACGGCATCCAGCTTGCCTCAAAGATGAGAAGTCTAGTTCTCAAGATGAACACCTAAACATGCGTTAGCTCGGAGATCAAACTCGCGATTGCACAAATGCTTACTATCAACATTGTTGTTGTAGATCATGTTGGTGTTGTTGTTCTTGAGGTAGCAGTTCTGGTCAAACCAAGTAACGGCAACACATCCTGTTGTAACAGAACACACGTCCACACACTTGGTCATGGACTCGGTTGACTTGTAGGCAATGTCGCCACCATAGTAGTCCCAGTTGCACTGTGCAATGAACGGCTTCTGGTTCGCAGTGGTGTACCTGCACTTGTCATCGGTAGGGCAGTCGATGACGTCGGTGCATGTCGAGGAGCCAGGCGCGGGCTCTGCGATGGTCGGGCCCTTGAGCTGATTGCCGGTGGACACGTTGGTTCTGCAGGATGAGTTGGAAAGTTGTTGGCAATAGATGGACGTGTTAGAGACAAACTTACGCTGGCCGGGCAGTACCCTTGGGGTTGCCCAGAAGGTAGCAGAAGCTTCCCTTCATGTTGAATGCGACGCAATCCTTGTGTCGAGAGCAAGCATCTGCGCAGTCGACGAATACATCGGCCTTTAAAGGTGTGAATAGTATTCTAGTCTTCCTCGGGATTGCAACGTACCTGGGCAGAGTCGATGATGGGGCCGTTGTAGTCAGTCGCACAGGTGAGCTGGAATACAGCACCGTTGGTGGAGGTAGATACGCAACCGTTCCAGCGAGGGCATGTAGGTATAGCGGGGCAGTTTCGCATCTGGCGCGGAACCAGTGCAGAAAGTGCAGCCGTCGAAGCGATGAGTGTATAGTGCTGTGGCATGGTCAGTATACCTCATGAAATCGCGCATATAGCCCCGAAATGGCTGCTTGGATACAGATCTTGCATCGCAGCTTGTCCAGGAGTTTTGAAACTCTGATTTGAACGGAAAATATGCGGCATGGCTGCAGAACTGAACAGTTGTGACTTACCATCTTGAGTGGTGGTGGTGAGGGTTGGAAGGAACGGATGAGTGAGTATGAGCCGGAAGAGAAAAGGGTTGGATGAAGAGATATGGGCTACGGAGAAGCCTCAGACCGTATCTGTCTTGTGGTTGAAGCTAATAGTGATGCGGGCTTCGTGACGAAGAGTGTGGGGTATTTGGAACTGATACCATGGTCCGGTGTCGCCTACAGCAAATGACAGGTCTTCGGATGTGGGCGATAACAACGACCAGACCCTGACATGTTCTTGTGATCGTAAAAGCTCATATTCTCCAATCAACGAACCTCGTGGACCTCCACCACATCTCAGGCACATGAGCCTAGACCTGAGGTATCCTTATAATTGCAACCGTGCAGCCAGCTGCATTCATACCTTTTCCACCGGCTCTCCAGGAATCCACGTGCCGTTGCCAGATAATGTACCTGGCCTGGTATAATCCAAAGTTCTCCCACCTCTTACATAAGCCCACCGGAAGTACTCGTTGATTCCACTATCAAGTGGCCTGCGCCACTCAAAAGAAGCTCCACCTAGCCCATCATCGTAGAACGCGCGGTCGCGCTCAACATCATTTACTAAGACACTTATGCCTTCAATTCCGACCGGGTGTGCTTCGTACCGAAATGTCGCGACCAGCGCCTCGGTACCAAAATTGACGGTGGCGTCCGCTATCTTGGGAACCACGGAGTTAAACTTCGCATCAGCGCGAAGTGCAGCAGAAGTCTGCAAGACGGAGTCAAAGTCCCAGCGCGCTATTCCATTGACGAAAAGACCCAACAGAATGCCTTGGTACAGTAAAGACGGTCGTGTTTGCAAACTCGTGCCCGGCAGCAACAATATCGCGAGGATGTAATGGTGGATCCTTAGATTTACGCCTGGGATAGTCAAGCAGACAATGATTCCAAGAATGAAAAGTCCATACAAGCCGAGGTAGCGGAGCAGGCGGCCTTCGAGCCAGAAGAAATATACTTGCCCTACAATGATGACCACCAGCACCAGAACGATGATTGCCAAGGCTAGCTTTGCCCCGGGTTGTTGTTCCAGATCGTGCGAGGTAAGTCGAGATATCGGTATCCAATCAAAAGTATAATTTGAAAGTGCTCCAATCCAGGCGCCACCTTGCCAAAAGAGTGCTTTCTCAAAATGAGCAGTCATGCCAAGTAATGACCTCTTCACGGTAGTGGAGTATATGACAACGGCCACAAACATTGCCGGTAAAAGTCGCTTCGCGAACATGGACAGATGATCCGGAAGAACAGTAGTGTTTCGGGAGGACGCCGACGGTGGGTCGGAAACAAAGCTCACGTGGGCAAAAATAAGGCTGAAGATCGCAAAGAAGATCTTGGGTGACGTGGTGAAGATAGCAAGCGCAGCAGTGACGAGGAGCGAAACAGGAAGCAAGACTGACCGAGGGTCGGAAGCGGAGTGGAAGCTATCGTCATAGCCTACGGAAAAGGCAAGCGGGAAGTACGAATCGAAAGGCAAGGATTCGATGCCGTGTCGCTTAGTACTGGCGAAACTGTCATGCTCACCAACGAGAGTAATCCGACCAGAGCCTACAAGAATGAAGATAACATGTCAGTATATGTCTTACACACAGTTCGTACGGGCAGTTCCTTACCACCTTTCCGGCCATCCACAATGCCAGCATGGATCGCGGATCCGCAGATGAAACTGTCTCCACGGTAAAATCCCGTACCGATGACAAGCGGTCGGTAGTTTACTTCGAGAGGTCCAACAATGTGCGGATTCAAGATCTGCACGTCGCCGCACTTCGCTGGACACCGGAAGGCGAATGAATGGTTGCTGAAAGGGCGGCAATCGATCCCATCGATTCCGCATTCGTTCTTTCGTTTCCAGAGCGTGTCTACGCAATCGAGGTTGATCACGCTATTGCCATCCCCATCGCGAAGCGGTAATTGTGCAGTGAGAAACCACACAAATATAACAAGCCATAGCAGTAGCACAGCAAAGAGCCAGATGGGTTTATTGAACCCGTGTGCTTCCGTCCATTGGGCCGGATACGCTTGGATGGCTGGGAAGACTGGCTGAATGGACTGGATGCGAGGTGGCTCTGGACCGCGCAAGAAGCGAAGGAAAGTACGTCGGCCACTACGCGCAGGCAGCGCGTTGTCTTCGAAGTCCATCTCTTCTCTTGTCAACAGATGGGCTTCTTCGTCCCTGTCAGCGGCTCCAGTAAGAGGGTGGCTCGCGTCATCTTCAACGTCATTGTCGTTCGGACCGCTTTGTAACGAGACGCGCATGGTCAGCTGCAGCAAGTTGAACATGCATGAGAAATGTAGTCATTGACAATAGACATTGTGGTCTGAGATGAAACATGTTGAATGATCAACAGCGCCATTTTCTCAATGCGCCTTATCGATAACATATCTCACTCAGTGCCATCTGGTGTCGGGCACCCTTGTCTTTTGGAGAGAAAGTTGAATGACTTTGCAGTGCATGGTCTTATCTCGCGTCGTTACTGCTTCTGGCGACCTCATTGTATTCAGCTACTGTCACACAGCTGACCTGACATGGGAGGCATGTCGTACACCTTTGGTTAGCCTCTTAGGAACAACCACCTCATCATCACGTTCACGATCATCGCCCTTGCACCAAAAATGTCAGTTACAATCAGACGCTAAAGGTATAAGCTGCGTTTCCTGTTATGCTGTTGTAATAGGTCTATGCCATGGGCAGAGGTATGATTCCAGGCATACCTCCGCCACGAGCACAGGCCAAGACCCTTAGATGCCGCTGGTTCTACAGAAGGCCGAACATTTGCCAAATACAACACTCGACGTGCGCACGCGTCGACGACTCTACTCACTGACCAAGCAACCAATTGCTCGCCATTATGGACGCGCTACAATCCTATCTTCCTCAAGCGGAAGGCTTACTGCCCAAATGGCTTCTATTTGTATGTCCTGTTCTCCGCGCTTGCGATTGTCATTTCCATGCAGTCTCTCATCGTAACACAAACTAACAATTCTTACAGGTCGCCATAGTCTCTGTTGGCAACAGCCTCCAATGCTACGCCACGCTCTCCTTCACTTCGCGCGTCTACAACCCTACAGCAATTGATCCGCCCCCTACCACGCCGAAACACGTAACCGCTCTCTCGTCGCGCACATTCGGAACATGGACTTTCTTGACGGGCATGGTTCGACTTTACGCCGCATACAACATCAACAATCCGAGCTTCTATCAATTGGCTTTGTGGACTTATGCTATAGCCTGGGGACACTTCATGAGTGAATGGTTTGTGTATGGAACTACAAGATGGGGCAAACCATTGGCTGGACCGGTGATAGTCGCAACTTCAAGTTTGATCTGGATGTGGATGCAGTGGGATTTCTACGTCAAGGCCTAGCGTGGGGGGCTGGGGAGTATTGGGTATCGAAATGGAGGTAGTGATGTAATGTTAATGTGTACAAAGACGCGTTCATTAGATGTCTCTTCTCACAACTTGAACCAGGGACATGTCATAGTACAGGAAGACGTGATGTTATGCAGACACTAATCGCCAGGGCTCCCAATGCAAACACATGTACCAAGATCCATCACGCTGCAGCATGAACAGCAATGGACTTTTGACCCGCCTCGGGGCTTGTTTGACCACTCGAGGACTTTCATTGATCGTAGCTGAAGAAACATACATGGCCCATGGGACTCCGATACCTCAATCCTTGATGCCGAATTTTGACGACTATATCGAAAGCCGTCACACTCCGCCTCAACCAAGTTTCTTTCCGTTGCTGATCATGAACCGTTACACCATCCCTTTTCTATGCACTTAGAACTTGTTGAACTGCTTAGCAGCCTTTCCCTTTCGGGGGAGGACACGGAGGACGTTGAAGCGGACGGTCTTGGAGAGGGGCCTGCACTGGCCAACGACGACCTGGTCACCGGGCTCGACACGGAAAGCGGGGGAGACGTGTGCGGCGAGGTTCTTGTGGCGCTTCTCGTAACGGGAGTACTTGGGGATGAAGTGAAGGTATTCACGGCGGATGATCAAGGTGCCTGCAATCCGTTAGTTCTTGCTGCCCATTTCTTTCTGATATTCCTGCTGCGGCCTTGTGTGCGCGCTCCGAAGACTGGGCTAACACGTACGGTGCATCTTGGTGGACATGACAGTTCCGGTAAGGATACGGCCACGGATGGAGACCATGCCGGTGAATGGGCACTTCTTGTCGATGTAGGTACCCTCAATGGCGGTCTTGGGCGTACGGAAGCCCAGACCAACGTCCTTGTACCATCTCCTGGCGCGGGTGTTCTTGCGGGGTCCGCCGACCTTGTGGTTGAGGAAGATGTGAGGCTATCGCATCGCATTAGTATCGGACGTGCTGGGGGCTCGCGAAATGGACGTGTAGTACCTGCTTCTGGAAAGCGCGCTCCGACTGGACACTATTTCGCAATCAGTATTGGTCGAGAGTATTCGCAGTATCGCACAACGTACGTGAGTTCGGTCGCCATGGTTGCGGGTCGGGTGGTATTGTCGAGCTTTCGGTGTTGCTCTAGGATCGCAATATTCGATCGCTTGTGTGGAGAAAGGTTCCTCCGGTGCCGAGGGCTAGCGCGACCCTAGTGGCCAGCCTCGGCAGGGCCCAGAGCGAAGCCGCGAGATTGTCGCGAGGGCTAACGGAGCATGCGAACTTCAATGCTGCATCCGCTTGCAACTGCTCCTTAGCTTTACCAACCCAATTTCTGGCAGCTCCCATATTTGCTCTCCATGGCAGGCATACTCGAGCCGTTTGGTGTTCACATCGACGCAAGCAACTCGTTCGTGCAGGCTGCTGTCTATGGCTTCCTGCTCGTAGGCGTTGCATCTTTCGCAGCACCTGTCATTAGCACCATTCGAGTTCTTCTCAGCTTGTTTGTGCTGCCAGGTAAATCTGTATGCCCCTCCAAACATTCCTGACCCTCTCGGATGTTTCTAACCCCCACCAGCTCAGCACATTCGGACCCCGCGGCACCTGGGCTCTCATAACTGGTGCCTCTGACGGCATCGGCAAAGAGTTCGCCCTTTCCCTCGCAGCCAAGGGCTACAACCTCATCCTCGTTTCGCGTACGCAATCGAAGCTCGACTCCCTCTCTGCCGACATCACGTCCAAGTATGGCCCTAAGATCGCCGTCAAGACGCTGGCTATGGACTTTGCGCAGAACAAAGATGCCGACTACAACAATATGAAGAAGCTCATTGACGGTCTCGACGTCAGCATACTAGTCAACAATGTTGGCTTGAGCCACAGCATTCCAGTACCATTCGTCGAGACACCCAAGCAGGAGATGAACGACATCATCATGATCAACTGCATGGCTACTCTCCGTGTCACACAGCTCGTCACCCCCGGGATGGTGTCTCGCAAGCGTGGACTCGTCCTCACCATGGCCTCCTTTGGCGGCTTCTTCCCTACACCTCTCCTCGCGACCTACTCCGGCAGCAAGGCTTTCCTACAACAATGGTCCACCGCGCTGGCTTCCGAACTCGAGCCCCACGGCGTATACGTCCAATGTGTCCAGTCTCACCTCGTCACCACGGCCATGTCCAAGATCCGCAAGACGTCTGCACTCGTTCCGAACCCCAAGCAATTCGTAAACGCTACACTAAGCAAGATTGGAAGGAGTGGAGGTGCACAAGGCGTAGCTTTCACGAGCACACCGTACTGGAGCCACGGACTCATGCACTGGTTCCTTTCGCGCTTCTTGGGTGAGCGCTCGGATACTGTTGTCAAGGTGAACAGGGGCATGCACGAGAGCATCCGGAAGCGTGCCCTGCGAAAGGCTGAGAGGGACGCTAAGAAGCAGTAAGCTATCCGCTTGGTGGACCTGTCTTCTCAACCACATAACCAGTCAACTCGTATCTCAACCATGTGAGACGCTGCGGAGCAGCATGGGAGTGGGTGCTTTCGTCGAGCACCACTGCACGTCGATGTAATGTCTAAATGCGCAAGGGAATACCTTTTTCGCGATCTATCAATATGTAAAGAGACAAATTTCTGGGATCAAGATTCACACAGAATAAGCATTTAACTAGGACCCCTGCGCCGTGCTATAGCAACAAGGATATAACTACATAGCTTTCTCCATACTAAGGAAGAGGATATTCCGCCAACTCAATTCATATAGTCATAGGAAATTTGCAACGATGCCAAGCATGTTGTTCAAGGATCACGTGAAATGTCCTTCAACTTTTAGCTTCTGACAACACGTCTTTAAGACGACTTGCCGTAGGCCTGGTCAACTTCCTTCTGGTACTGCTTCAAGATACCCTTGCGGTTGAGCTTCTGTGCGGCAGTGGTGAGGCCCTGTTGTAATGTCAGCACTCTGTAGACTTTCTTCCATGTTACATAGGTACTTACGTTCTGTGGTGTCCACTCCTCGTCTGCTAGCACAACACCCTCAATCATCTCGAATCCAGCCAGACCACCCTTTTGGCCAGCCTGCTGCAATTGCTTGAGCACTGCAGAATTGATCTTCTTGTCGTGAACAAGTTCCTCGAGGTGGTCACCCTGGACACCCTCTGCGGCGGCAATCTTCTTCAGTTGCGGTTCGGTGGGCACGATGATCGCGACAGGCTTCTGGCGATCTTCTGCAGCGTAGACGCAGATGTTTGCGACAATGGGTGCGGAGCGGTAGACAGACTCGAGCTTCTCGAGCGCAATGTACTCTCCAGCAAGTGTCTTAACCAAGTTCTTCTTGCGGTCAATGATGCGGACTTCACCGTTGGCGTTGAACTCTCCAACGTCACCAGTCTTGAACCATCCGTCGTCGGTGAAGGCCTCCTTGGTCTCCTCGGGCATGTCCAGGTAACCGTCTACTACACCACCGCCACGGATCCAGATTTCTCCCTGAGGCGGGTTGTTGGTAGAGAAGTAGCCGGCATCCGCGAAGTCGACAAGCTTCATCTCGATTGAAGCAGGCATCTCACCGAGGGCGTGCTCGTTCCAAGCCAAGGGGTCCATAAGCGCACCCATGGCGCAGGTTTCGGTCAGACCGTATCCACTGATCATGGGTGTAATGGCAATGGAGATGAAGCGCTGCGTCTCCTTTGAGATGGGTCCACCACCGTTCAAGCAGATTCGAAGTCTACCTCCGGTGGCTTCCTTGACCTTGTTGAAGACAATGGCATCGAGAATACCGCTACCTGGCAGTCCAGAACCAAGGAGGAAGCCCTTAGCGGCGAACGCTCCCCAGAACATGTTGCTCTTGACAGCGCCTCCCGCCTCAACCTTGTTGACGATGCCCTTCTTGATGGTCTCCCACACCTGCGGTACACCGACCATGACGGTTGGCTTCAGCTCACGGATATCACCAGCGCAGTTGCGCACGGACTGGTCCGAGAGCGTCCTGATGGTTCCGTAGCCCATGGTACCACCCCAGTAGAGCACGGCGTTCTCGAATACGAACTCGAGGATATGCGCGGCGGGGAGGTAGGTGATGAGAACGTCGCCCGGTCCGAGGTACTTGCCTACAATAACATCGACACCAGCAACTGAAAGAAGTCAGTACCTTGTTTGCATGCTCGTAGCAGAAGACTTACTAGCAGCGATGACGTTGCGGTGCTTGATCATGACTCCCTTGGGGGTACCTGTAGATCCAGACGTGTACATGATGCAGGCCAGATCGTCTGCCTTGGGCGGGATAGGCTCCGCAGGGCTCTCCTCGCCCAACTTGACCAGCTCGTCGAAGCTCATAACCTTCAAGTGCGGGTGCGCCTGGGTAAGGGTATCAATGTCCTTCTGCTTGGGGTCGTTCTTGGTGCAGTATACGACGACCTGGACGTCCTTGGCCTCCTTCATTGGGTTGACGAGCTTGGGTAGCAGCTCAGGGTCGGTGAACATGACCTTTGCGTTAGTCTGAAGCATGGAATGCCTGAGACCCTCTTCTCCCAGCGTGTCGTATGCGGTAACAATGGCCATGGATTGGGAGATGGCACCTGCAAGCATGATGAGTTACTGGTTCTTGTACGGATACACGCGACTGCTTACCGTGTGCGGACGCCAGCCATTGCATGCTCGTGGCGGCGAACAGGTGGAGCCTGTCTTGCGGGTTGAAGCCCAGCGACTTCAGGCCCGAGCCTACTGCGAGCGCCATCTTCTCAAACTCGACGAAGCTCTTGTACTTGTACGGGCTGAGCTCGAAGTACTGCCACTTCTTGTCGACCTCCTGCTCCTTGCCATCGACCATCTTCTTGACCTTCTTGGTCTCCTCATGTATGTTGACGATGCGACGCGCACCGACTGCCTTTGCATTGCCGTACTTGGCGGCTGCGTGTCGCAGCACGTCGTACAATGTCTCTACGTTGTCGTGGGGCTTCAGTACCAGACCGTCTTTCGCGGCCAGGTTGCGACGCGGCACCGTCTCGCCCTCGATCTTCTCTGCATTCGCAGCTTCGCACGTGTAGGGCCCCGCCCGGTGGTTCTTGGCCTGGGGCATCAGCTTCTTGAGGTCTTGCGGCATCTTGGCGGCTCTGGGGTGGGCGCTGTCCAGAGTGACGACCGTGTGTGATGGGGGTGGGTATGTGTAGGGGTATAGGGCAAAGGGTATCACAAAAAGTGCAAAAAGCAGCGAGAGGGTATATGGAGAGTGTGTCGTCGCCAGCGGGGAACGGCGGATGTGATGAGGTTGGTGTGTTGGGAGCTTATGCGCTTGTTATGCTTTCGCGGTCGCTAAATCGACGACCTGGCTGGGGTGGCCGAGCTTCTTGATGACCTCACTCAGCCACCGCAAGCTCTGGGCACCTGGGGCCAGCCGCTGCTCCACTTCTTTTCTGTCGAACGAGATGCGACTGAAGATCGACAGCGCAGCACACATCGCAAGGTCTGCCAGGTCGTCTCAGCCTCCTGCCGTCGTGTCCTGCCGACGTATTCTTCGCGTTGGAAACCTGCTCGACCTCACGTCGTCGTGAGACGCAGTGGAGTCGGCCTGCAGCTGGCCAAGGAATCCGGAGACTCTTCCAAGACGCGCAGCTGTCTCCTTTTGACGCTTTCGCTCCGTTGCCAACCTTAACGCAGGTGCAAGGATCGAGCGGATAATCGCAGGCCGCTGTCGCCTGAGCGTTGCCAAGATGCGGAGTCTCACGGAGATTCTGGCAACGGGGCCCATCCTGGACCCTGAAGAAGGTGTGTAAAACGCCCTGGAGTACACAAATGTACTCATCGAATGACATCCTTATGCTGGTCCTCGGCTCAACATATTGCTGTGTCGTTGCGATTCGCTCTCACGTACGCCCAATGTGGAACATGTCGCAAGACTGCAAACAAGTCATCATCGATAGGTTACTCATCAAATCACGCAGAAGCCTTCGTTGTCTTTTCGCAAGATATTCCTTCTCAGTCTCTTGGTTTCGTCGATGAGCCGGCGGCAACTCTAGATCTCAGCGTGGCGGGCCATGATCTGGTCATTCACCACTCAAGAGGTCTGCTGACTTCCAGTCGTAAAGAAGGGACGACCGGTGCCGGTAAGTAGTTCTGTGTTTGCCATAATTTTCTCCGGGGTCGCGCGTTGCCCCCTACGTTCCCCATTTCAGTTGAATTTGACCTCTCGTGCGGGCTCCTACAATAGCATCTCAGCTATAGTGGCCTGGGTTGGCCATACAGGACTAGTAGATAGCCGACCAAATTCATTGCAATGAGAACTATCACGCTCTACATGCCATACTCCGCTCCGCTCCCGCCAACTAACGCCTAAACAGTAGTGTGGAAAGTCACCCCGTTGTTCGCAACATGGATCGCCTCCCCCACAAATTTCCTCTTCACATCCTCCCTTCTCACACCCAGCTCCAGCATCCTCGAGCTCGGCGCAGGCGTATCCGGTATCGTCGCACTCTGCTTAGGTCCCCTAGTCGCAAGCTACACAGCCACTGACCAGGACTATGTGCTCAAGATACTACGGCAGAATATCGCCGAGAACCTTGACACCGTCATACCGACAAAAAGAAAGAGTGGGAAGGGAATTAAGAAACAGCAAGGTCAGCTGAAGGGAGAAGGAGGAAATAGTGGCGATCGCATCACAACACTGCAATTAGATTGGGAGACAGATGCAACTTCTCGTCTCAACCCCGTGGACATAATCGTATCGTGCGATTGCGTCTACAACGAAGCTTTGATTGAGCCGCTCAACACGACGTGTGCTGCGATATGTAGGTTGAAGGATGACAAGGACGAGCCAACGCTTTGTCTTATTGCGCAGCAGCTGCGCAGTCCCGAGGTCTTTGAGACTTGGTTGAAAAGTTTTCATCGGTATTTTCACGTCTGGCAGGTGCCTGATAAGATGCTGGGTGAGGGCTTGAAAGAGGGCAGTGGTTTTGTGGTGCATATCGGTGTCGTAAGATGACTATTCTCATCTTGGGCTACAGCACGAGGGTGGCATTTGGTGAGTAAAGGAAGTCACTTCTTTGTAATGAAACTATAAGAAGACTACAACGCCGAGATGTCCACCCAGTATGAGAAATCGCTTTTCGCAAAAGTCAAAACCATGCATCACAGCGCTCACGCGGCCTTGCTAGGCTCAATATCCGAACTTGGTCGTCCCTCAACATCAGTGGCTCCCTTCTTGACCCTTGCCCACTCTTCCTTATCCGCTGGCTCGTCGACTTCATTCGCAGTCAACTCCGGTGTCTCCTCGTCCTCAATCTCCTCTGGTAGGACAAGGTTAAGTACAACGTTGATGAAAGCAACAACAGCGAAACCTGTCTCGAGGATCAAGATGATAGCGTTGTAGAAGCCCTGAAGTGCGTGGTTCGGTCCATCGTAAGTGAAGACGTGATCAAACCAGTCTGGGACCATGGTAGCGCCGAAGCCCAGGGTAAATCCTGCAGTGAGGATAAAACGGTTGCGGCGAGTGAAGGACATCGTGCTGATGATCCTAATACCACTAACAGCGACGGCACTGAAGAGGAAGGTTGTCATTCCGCCGAGAACTGCTGAAGGAATGGCAACAAGGGCCGCCGCAAACTTGGCGAAGATGCCCATGACAATGAGCCAGAAGCAGCAAGCATAGCCGGCCTTTCGGTTCGCACAGCGCGTCAGAGCAATGACACCTAAAGAGGGGCGTACGAAGTCAGTGTTTGTCTCACATGCAGTTCGTACATCGGGCACTAACCGTTATTCTGAGCGAAGGTGGACATGGGAGTGATGGTGCACAGAGCTGCAATCATGCCGTTCAGACCATCTGCGAGGACACCACCTTGAATTCGGGAATCGAACATCTCGCCGTCGACTTCAAGGCGCGAAACATCGCAGGTAGCGGTGATATCACCAATGGCCTCCATAGCGACAACCATGTAGACTGCTAGCAGAGGGAGCACTATTGGTCCGTATACAGAAAGCTTGAATGTGTGGACCCAGATAAAGGATACAGCCGGTGCGGCATCGATGGTGGACTTGTCAAAGTAGCCTGTTGCGCCTGCGATGATGCATCCGACCAGGAGTCCAACGACGACAGCGGTAGACTTCATGATAGGCGCGCCAAAACGCTCGCAGATGATGATGGTGATGAAGACACTGAAACCGAGACCGATGAACTCAGCGCTACCCCATGGAAGAGGGCGCGGTGCATTGATGTTGGGGCACAGCTGAAAGAGTCCAGTTTCGGGACGAGATTGGCAATCACCCGAGCCACCAGCCCAGTTTTGAAGTCCAGTCTCGATGAGATGAACGCCAATGAGCAGTACAGTTGGACCGGTAACCAGGGGCGGGAAGACCTTCTTAAGGATACGCGGACTGGTGAAGGACATGCCGATTTCGAGCAAAGCGCATACAGCGCACGTACCGAGAATAGCTCCGTAGCCATCTGGGCAAGGGAGTCTTGTGCCATCCGCAGCAGTCGGGCAAAATCCGGTCGCGTACATCTGGCTGAGGGCACCGGTCGCCACGGGAATAGTCGCAAAAGAAGTTCCGACGACGGAAATCAGGCCGGTTCCGATATAGTAGGGGGTCTTCCAGATATGGAAGCGCGTGATCTGAATCGAGGACAGGATTCCGCAAACTACGAGCGAAGTGGAGACGAGGTAGCGTTGCTCTTCCGAACTTAGCTGTGCGGCATTTGCGAGGATAATTGGTGGTGTTATGACACCTGCTAACATGGCGAGTGCGTGTTGAAATCCGAGGAGAAGAGCTAGTAGCACTGGCATACGGTCATGGAGACCGAAGAAGGGTGCAGCTCTTCGCTCCTTCTTCATGAATGGCAGGTTTGGACGGAACAGAAAGGCGTAGTCATAAGTACCAACCAGACCATCTCTGTTGACTATGTTAGATAAGATTTTGATTGTGACAAAAGATCGTACTTGGTTGTAAAGGCCTTGATGGCGCGTCTTGCTTGCTCTCCAAAGCTTCGCTTTGGCGTATGGTCGGGACCGATCATGTCTGCCATGGCTGCTCAGAGACTGCAATCCGGATGCGCGTGTCCGAACAGAAGCAGAGATGTCGAGATTGAGCCGGATCTTTGTATTCGGCGGTTCAACCTCCGATAAGGAAGATCTTGATAAGATTGGCGAGGTGGCTGAAGATACCCAGTTGTACGGCCAGTCGCAGGATCAGACGTGCCTCTTGGTCGACTAAGGGCTGTCGCGTGCAGTGTAACGCGCTACCGATGACAGGCTCTTGAAATGCTCGGATGGTGGTCTTGAAGTTCGATATGCGGGGAAGTGACGTGAAGATGGCGGATCTTAGTTCGAGTGGGAACGTTAGTCGCTGTGCAGTAGAGTGACGGCGTGAACCCAACGAGCTACTTCCTCATCTATATAGAACATGTGGAGAAAGAGTATTATCTCCTGCACCAACCTTCACGATACACAATTGTTCATCCACAACGTCTTAGCCCCGAATCCAAGGCCACTCACGGACCGCCAAAGATTGGAGCTGGCCGAAGATAGTCGTGAGCCGCCGCAAATAATTACTCTTCTCCACGGCAGATTCGTCGCTACGGCGCGCATTTCGCAGTGGCAGAGGGGCGACACCCGCGTATGTGCTAAAACGATCGCCTGTACTGATAGGTAGGAAAACGGTGATTGGCTGTTGGGCGAATGTGTCCACTTGGCGGGCGGACCACTCCGACGATAGAGGATGGGAGATATTGCAGGAGAGGCCTCCCACACTGTACTGGAGGAATGTGCATCTAGATCTGAGTCCGATTGCTGTCAGAAGATCCTGTTCGCCGGTTACCGATGCAGCGGTGCTGAGCGCGTCCATGCTGGGCGACTTGGTGTTCTGGTTGGCAGCAGCCGGTGATCGGAGCCTCGCTGAGACCTACCAAGAGAGACTGCACAGGACTACGTTGATTCCCTCCACAGCTTTCCAATTTACAATTCCAGCAACTATGTACAGTACCATCGTAGGTCATTGTACTTCCTTGTGTAGAGCAAGTGAGTACGTTCTAGGTAGAATTTCTGGTTTTTGTAAGTCTCAAGAGTTGGTCTCTGGCTGATCGTGTTTCGGTTGCAGATGACAGAACATGAAAGCACTGCTAGATGGAAAAACATGTACTGTGCCGACGTGGTAGGACGTAGAAGACAGCGAAGAAGCAGTTATTTCATCAACGAAACGCAGCGCAAGTTCTGCCACAGACTGCGCCTTGGCAAGGGTCAACGAGGGCTACGCAGTCAGGGTGCCGCAACCAGCTTTTGCAAGAATGGCTCGTCATAGCTTGAGCGCACGCCAGCAGTTTGCCTTCAGCCCTACCCGTTAGGACGTTGGGACGACCGTTGACCTTGTGGCATGAGGATAGGACCACACGAAGAGTGCAGCGGGTGTGACGCAACAGATTCCGGGAGCCGAGGTGAGCAAACGCACGTTGATTCGTAGGCTGTTGCATGCTATCGACATCGCGATGGTGGGCGCGCGTCTTGACTGATATGGACGTGTGTCTGTATGGGCTGGAGACAGGCAGAGCAGGTGTTGAGGAGGGCCGTTTCCCAATCGAGCAGAGCTTGCGATGGCGCACCAGCACCCAGCACCCGAGCTTGGAGCGTGCCGGGGAATTTGCGCCAGCGGAAGAAGACCCTTCACGGTTTCCACAACGTTGTGAAGCACTGACGATTTTCTCCAAGCACAAGCGCCATCGAAAAAGTCATGGACGTCTGAGACCCACTGGGTATCCAAGCCGAGCACTTTGCCACTGCATGAAACATGTCGTCGCGGCCATGCTCTCCAGACACTTGGGGCTGGCGAGCGGCCGCCTACGTAAGGCTGCAGAAGACTTGGGTAGGGCGGATGCAGAGCGATATCAACAGTTTCCCAACGAACGTGGTGTCGCGTCTGCATCCGGCTCACCCTTCCTCGACTGCAGGCGTGGCCCAGCGGGGCATCAAGCGGAGAGGACAGCTAGCGAGCTAGCGATGACGAGACGTGTGGCCTCACCACGGCGTGAGGTTCTATGCCCACCTGGGCAGTGAGGCATCCTTCTCGCCGGCTCGCGCTGCCGGTCGTCTGCACCAGACCGCTCTTTGCGATCGTCTTCGCGACGTCGCGGCTAGAAGCAGCAGCCGGGCCATGTGTAGGAAATAGGGCCGCCGCGTGTGGGATTAATCAGAATCTGGGGAAGGTGGCGGCCTGGGATTGCTGGATATTCTGCACGTCTGCGCGCGCACCGCCACCCAGCGACTGTCTCGATGCCGAGATCAGCACGACGTGCCAGTTAGGCCCGAAATTTTCTCGCGCTGTTGCAGCCAGCGCCGTCCCTCGTCCTGTGCGGGACCCTGAGACAGCGGCTAGTGCGGCGCGCTAGGCTGGCTATGACCAAAGTTGCGGCGATTGCTGGATCTCGAGCGACAATGCAAGGTCCCAGTCTTTCGCTTACACGCCCGCAGAGTGTTGGGATTCAAGACTGTCCCGCCGCCTTATTAACACGCTCGGCCGCCCGCTGTCTCTGCCTCCCCTCATCCTCCCTCCACTGCTCCTTCCCTCACATCTTCTACCCCGTCATTCACTTGATCGTGGTGAAGCTTTCCATCGTTGCTGGAGCTTTGTACTCACACCGGAGGCTGACCGGAGCTCAACTTTTTTGAGCCGCTAGTTGCTTCCCGTCGAATTTCTTCGACCGCCCTCGCTTTACCTACAACCACCCTACCCACCTCCTCACCATGCCTTCCCACCAGCCTACCGCCGGCATGATGGCCGTCGACCCCGAATACGTCAAGCAGCCGTCTCCCATGGCGAGCACCTCGGAGCCGAACCGCAACCCCAAGTACGACCCTAAGAAGCCACACATCACCGAAATACCCATCACCAAGGCCAACTGGTACAAGCACGTCAACTGGCTCAACGTAGGTTTGCTCTTGCCCCCCAAATCAGAGCCATTGGGCTAACACTGGATCAGGTTACCTTCATCATCGGCATCCCTCTCGCCGGCTGCGTCGCGGCTTTCTGGACCCCTCTCAAATGGCAGACCGCCCTCTGGGCCGTCGTGTACTACTTCTGGACTGGTCTCGGCATCACCGCCGGCTACCATCGTCTCTGGGCACACAAGTCCTACAACGCCTCCCTCCCACTGAGCGTCTTCCTCGCCCTCGTTGGCGGCGGTGCTGTTGAAGGCTCCATCCGCTGGTGGAGCCGCGACCACCGTGCCCACCACCGCTACACCGACACCAACAAGGACCCCTACAGCGTCCGCAAGGGTCTTCTCTACAGCCATCTTGGCTGGATGGTCATGAAGCAGAACCCCAAGCGCATCGGCCGCACCGACATCACCGACTTGAACGAGGACCCCGTCGTCGTTTGGCAGCACAAGCACTACATCAAGGTCGTCATCTTCATGGGTTTGATCTTCCCTTCGGCTGTCGCTGGTCTCCTCTGGAACGACTGGAAGGGTGGCTTCATCTACGCCGGTATCCTCCGCATTTTCTTCGTCCAGCAGGCTACCTTCTGCGTCAACTCCCTTGCCCACTGGCTCGGCGACCAGCCCTTCGACGACCGCAACAGCCCCAGGGACCACGTCATCACCGCCCTTGTCACTCTCGGTGAGGGCTACCACAACTTCCACCACGAGTTCCCCTCCGACTACCGTAACGCTATCGAGTGGCACCAGTACGACCCCACCAAGTGGTCCATCTGGCTGTGGAGCAAGCTCGGCCTCGCCTCCAACCTCAAGCAGTTCCGTGCCAACGAGATCGAGAAGGGTCGCGTCCAGCAGCTACAGAAGAAGATTGACCAGAAGCGCGCCAAGCTCGACTGGGGTGTTCCTCTTGAGCAGCTTCCCGTCATCGAGTGGGACGACTACGTTGAGCAGGCTAAGAACGGTCGCGGTCTGATCGCTGTCGCCGGTGTTGTCCACGACGTCACCGACTTCATCAACGAGCACCCCGGTGGCAAGACCCTCATCAAGAGCGGCATCGGCAAGGACGCTACCGCCATGTTCAACGGTGGTGTCTACTTCCACTCCAACGCCGCCCACAACCTGCTCTCTACAATGAGGGTGGGTGTCATCCGCGGTGGATGCGAGGTTGAGATCTGGAAGCGTGCCCAGAAGGAGAACAAGGAGGTCAACATCGTCAAGGACGAACAAGGCAACCCAATAATCCGGGCGGGTAACCAAGTTACCAAGGTCGCACAACCTATGCTCAGCGCCAGCGCGGCCTAGAGTATTCTTCATTTCCATTTAGCGATGCCCGGCGTTTGGGATGCCTTTTCGTTTTGTGTAGGCATAATTATGTTTTCATTTCACAGCGTTCGCTAGCAAGCATCATGGAGACGATGCTCAAACACTATTAGACGGCGTATGTTTGTAGCCTTTGATGAGCACAAGCTTTGAAAAGTGAGCTTTACGGTCTAAATCAAGAATGATATCCATTTACACTTCACATTCCATCATTTGCTGTCGTGACTGCTCTTTTGTGATGTCTGATCGTTATCGATGTTTCCTTACACCACAGCTATGTGTTCTTTCCTGATCTATTTGACACCAGTGACTGCCTGCTATGGTCAAGTGGACCGTGCCTCCGCCGTGTCAACAAGATGCAACGCGATTCCTGACACCCAACTCTACACAGCGCCGAGCTACGATTGATCGCGACTGCATTGCCGTCATCGCGCCGTGACCGTAATGGCGTCCCAACAACCTAGCGATGCCCCGCCATCAAAACGCCGCAAGCTTGATGACGACTCCCCGAGCAGAGAAGTCACGAAGTCCGACCATCATGCAGGACTCAACAAGCCAATCAGCCCACCATTACCGCGGCGCAAAAGCCCCGAGCCACCGTCATTTACGCCGACTTGGAGTTTCGATGGAGTACCGAAACCAGCATTGGCGTCGGGACCAGCCAAACCAGCTACACCACATCATGATAGCGACAGGACCGGGGAACCACGATATTGCCCTTCGCCAATACAGCTGACGAAAATCGAGAAGCTGCCGGCACATCAGAATGTCGATGCTGTGTGCTTGTCGGACTTGCTCGGTGATCCGTTGATTAAGGAATGCTGGAACTTTAACTTTCTGTTCGATTTAGACTTTGTCATGTAAGTCCCGTAGCTATCGCCGAGACTAAACGCAGCTCCCGGCTCGAGTCCTGATGCTAACCATATTCAGGCAGCACTTCGACAGCGATGTGAGAGACATGATCAAAGTCAAGATCGTGCATGGTTTCTGGAAGCGGGATGATGGTAATAGGATCGCCCTACTCGTGAATACTCTTGCCCGCACAGTGTTGATAGGAGTTGACAATGATCCAGGAAACAGCGGAGCGGTATCCGAATATCGAGCTTCTGAGCGCCTACATTCCGGATCCGTTCGGAACTCACCACACGAAGATGCTTATCCTCTTTCGCCATGATGACACTGCACAAATCATTATCCATACAGCTAATATGATTTATCGCGACTGGGCCAACATGACTCAAGCAGTATGGAAGTCGCCTTTGTTACCTGTTTTGGTTCAAGCAACGCCATCCCAGCCAGACTCTCCTCAAGTTCACCCTATTGGGAGCGGCGAGCGCTTCAAAGTTGATATCCTCCGATATTTGAGTGCATACGAGAAACGATTGAGAGGACTGACTACGCAACTTCGGGACTATGATTTCTCAAGTATCAGAGCCGCGTTCATTGGAAGTGCACCATCACGACAGAAGCCCGCTGCAGTTAGCCCTTCGGTAACCTCCTTTGGGTGGCTAGGATTGAGGGAGGTGCTTTCTAGTGTTCCTGTTACAGGATCCAGAGACTCTGTGCGCCCTCATATCGTGACGCAAATCTCCTCTATAGCGACACTGGGTGCGGCGCCCACATGGCTCTCGAACTTCCAGTCAGTGCTTGCATCCCATTCGGCAACAGCGGTAGCCAACTCCGGTGAACAGTCACCCTCCTCGACGCAAGCCTCATCTTTCTTCGCCAAACGTGAGTCCAACGTAGGAAAGTCGCGAACTCCTAAGTACAGTGTCATCTTCCCAACTCCAGAGGAAATCCGGGGTTCTCTTGACGGCTACGCATCTGGTGGGTCAATTCATTGGAAACTTCAATCAGCGCAGCAGCAGAAACAACTGGAGTATATGCATCCGATGCTATGCCACTGGAGTCACGCGTCTTCTTCGTCCTCGAACGGTCCAGCAAGACAGGAAGCGCATCGTGGCTCTGCGGCGCCACATATCAAAACATACATACGTTTCAGTGACGAAGAGCACAAGACTATCGACTGGGCAATGGTGACGAGCGCAAACCTGAGCAAGCAAGCGTGGGGCGATGTGGTGAACAAGAAGGATGAGATCTGGATACAGTCGTGGGAGGCAGGGGTTGTTGTCTGGCCTGCTTTGTGTGCTCAGACACAGGAGGAAGTCATCATGGTTCCTGTTTTTGGGGAGGATATGCCTGGTCCTGAGAGTCTCAATGCTCTTGATGATAGTAGCAGCGGAACGGCAGCTGAAGAGAAGAAGATGACAGTCGTGGGTTGCCGCATGGCATACGACTTACCACTTCGTTCTTATACGGCTGATGAGAGGCCTTGGTGTGCTACTATGCAATACATGGAGCCAGACAGAGAGGGGCACGCCTGGGCCGGCTATGGACGTTGAGCTCCGGTACTCAGATTCCGTACCGAGCGCATGCAGGCCCTTGCATTTCCGAAGCACATGTACTACACATATGTCGATGAGGCACTTCTTATCGTTGATCCTTATAACAATATATAGGCGATGGTATAACCATAGCAATACTTAAATCGCACATGAGTCTTGCCTTGATGATCCACCCGCACTTAGTTGTCGTGCTTGGCCAATAGCTGCTCGCCCAACTCGACGTACTTGTCCTCGGCCTCCTTCTGGGTGGTACCGGCGTCAACAACCTCCTTCCACTTGTTGTACTTGGCCTTGCCCTAATCATATTATCAGTTATTGTCCTCGTACGTTTGTTGGGATTGGACCGGTATGTATGGCTGGCAGGCGGTACGTCGTGAAGGAGGATACGAAGGTATAGGAAAGGTATGCATAAACGTACAGCAAGATCGAACATGCCAGGCTTCTTGGCCTCGCTGAAGTCCTTGCCCTCTGCTACCTTGGCGTACGCGTACAACTAGAATTCACAACCGACTGTCAGCATCTGGACTTCGTGTGGTAGATAGTGGGTATACGAGAAGGGGAGAGAATGGGAGGGTGGGGAAATAAGGAAGTACGTACGTGTAGCTGCTCGTCGTTGCTAGGTCCCTGCTTTCCAGCCGCCTTGAGCTTCTCGCCCATGGCGCTGACCTTTTTGTAGGTCTCGGTGTACTTGGCTCCAGGCATATTGTTCTGGAGTCCTGCTGTTAGCTTCTTGTCTGTTACTCCTGTATCCAGACCGTGGGGTAATCTTACGGTGGTAGATGTGTTTAGGGAGGTAGGTGGTGGTGATTGTTTGTCGGTGAACTAGTTGAAGGAGAGCTTGGGGGCTTGCTGCCGAGTGGTAGTAGCGCGGGGTCGAGATCAGGTTCGCACGATCATGGTGGGGCAGGGCAGCATCCGCGGCATGACGTTTTTAGCGGGACACAGCACATGGTGCGGTTGCTCACTAGGCCATGCGCACAGTATGTGATACAGTTGAGATTGAACGTGTATTCGAGAAAAGATAATGTAATGCACTGTTATGCCTGCCAACGCCGCTGCAGCACTCCGCTTTATGCAACTTTCTACGTTTATCGTGTATCGTGTATCGTCTTCTTGGGTATCTACTCTCCCATCTCCAATAGCTCGTGCACTTAGTATGTGACCAGCCAGGCTCTGTGTCGACTGGCCTATGTGCATGTGAAAGCAAAATTGAATAACAAGTACGTGCCGGGTCTCTAGTGGTCCCCGTTTACGCCGTTGGTGTCTGGCGAAGATGCGAGGTTCTTGCGGTAAAGCTCACCGTCGCACGCCCTAAGACGCTCTGCAGCCTGCTCTGGGGTGATGTCGCGCTGAGGCTCGGCCATCATCTCGTAGCCAACCTGGAACTTGCGAACGGTGGCGCTTCGCAGTAGTGGGGGGTAGAAGTGAATGTGGAAATGACTGGACTCAATCTCATCGGCTGTGCCAGTAAGGGGAGCCTGATGAAGACCCATGCCTTCAACCTCGTTAGCCATGTCTCTCTATTATGACTGTTTTGGACTTACTGTAGGGGAACTGGGTCTCGAACAGGTTGTCGTAGCGCCTCGTAATTTCCGCTATGCACTCAGCCAACTCCGCTCGCTCCTCCTTAGAGAAGTCTACCAGCGAGCGCTTGTGTTGCTTAGGAACAATCATTATCTCGAACGGCCAGACTGCCCAGTAAGGTACACCAGCCCAGAAACTCGCGTTTTCATACACAGTGCGGGTCTTTTGTGTTGACTCCAGCTCTGCATAATCGACGAGCATATGAGCGCCTCCATTCTCTTTGCGATATTTGCTCAACTGCACCAGCTCCAAGGCGGGCTCTTCCGGTAGGGATGTGGTCGTCCAGACCTGGCCGTGTGGGTGGGGATTTGAGCAGCCCATGGCCGAGCCTTTGTTCTCAAAGATCTGCATATACCGATACTGAGCATTTGGAACTGCGAGAGTGCCTTGTGATAGTGGTGGTATAGTAGTGGCAGACGCAAGCTTGGCCAGAGGCGACTTTGGGTCCAGATGTGCAACGTAAATGTTCGTCCAGGTCTCTATTATGGGGACGATCTCCGCCGGCGACATGTCGGCAAGAGTGAGGTTGTGAGACGGAGAAAAGCAAATGACATAGCACTTTCCAGTGACGGCCTCGGCACGGAGTAATCTAGAAGCGAGAGATCCGTCCTTGTTGTCAGGGTTGTACTCTTGCTGCTCTTCCATAACGGCACTGTAGTCGTTGACGAAGACAAAAGTGTTGTCGAACTTGGGGTTGTGTTCGCCATTTGCCCGCGTGTTTGAAGGGCATAGATAACACTGTGGTTGATTAATTTCGGAATGATATTATGCATGGTCCGGGCGAAGGGATACCTTTGGGTCATAGTCTGGGAGGGTTGTCTTGGACGGCGACTCTTGCATGCCTCTGTGGGGTTTCAGTATGTCGTCCCGTGAACAGAATCACTGATATGCTTACTGCCATGGTCGCTTGGTGCGGTGGGGCGAGACTAGTATCCAGCTTCCTCGCAGGAGGTTGAAGCGCCTGTGGGAGATGTCGTTCAAAACGGGGTCCGTCATGATGGCCGGAATGTGCGTGGAGTGTGTCTAGGGCGGACGATGGTGGTTAGGTGTATATATACCGCGTGCGAAATACGGCGAAACGGCCGCAGGGGCAGTATGCATGGCCGCGAGCTAGACGGTGGGAGTGACGCCCGGCCAGTGAAGGGCTGCGCGCTAAGCCGCTCAAGCTTTCCCCGTTGGCGGGATGCTAGCCGAGTCGAGTAGCGCACCCTCAGGCGTGAGGCCCCGAGAGCTTGCGCGTAGGCTTGAGGACAGCAGAGCCTCTCCAACAACCCACGATAGCTGCCGATTGGAGCATTAGCCCGCGACCCGTGAACGCAGGGTTTTCAGTTTTCCACCATGGCGGCAATGATGCCAAGTGCCGCAACTAGCAACCCCTATGACAGCGACGCCGTGGAGCGTGACCTGATTGACCCGGACGATGGTGCGTCGCATCCACACCTGCCTGCGCGACGAGACGGGCGACGAGGCTAACCATCACCAGCTACCCTCGATGACCTCGACGATCCTCTCCAGGGCACGTCGGACCGCGCGCCGCTGACGGGCAACATCCAGCGCGACCCTGCGCAGACGCAGTCGTACCTGACGTCGAGCATCCCCGGCGAAGACCGCCGTGCGCCCACAAACACCATCGACGAGACAGTATGGGACACGCTGTCCCGCGACATCTTCGCCATCTGGGAGAAGATGAAGCAGGTGCTGTACCCCAAGTACCTGCTGGGCGGCATCATGCAGCGCGGGGGAGGCATTGGCGCCGCAGAGCGCGGCGAGGCCGACGGCTTTGGCGGTGGGCTCAGGAACATTGCAGGGCGATGGCCGGACGCAGATGTTATTCTGCAGGGCGGCATGAGCGAGGGCCTGCGCGACTGGGACCTATGGGGCCCGCTCATCTTCTGTCTGCTGCTGAGCCTGTTCCTCTCGTGGGGAGCAAAGGGCGACCAGAAGGACCTGGTCTTCTCCGGCGTATTCGCCATGGTCTGGATAGGCGAGGCAGTCGTGACGCTGCAGATCAAGCTGCTGGGAGGCAACATGTACGTCCACTCTGCACACCTACCTTACGCCTTTGACATGCTAATCGTGTCCAGTGCCTTCTTCCAGTCCATCTCTATTATCGGCTACACGCTCTTCCCGCTCGTCATTGCCTCCATCCTCAGCGCCGTTGGCATACCCATGATAGTGCGCATCCCCGTCTACATCGTTCTCATCGCCTGGTCGCTAGCAGCGGGAGTGAGCATCATGGGCGGCTCTGGAGTCGTAAGGAACCGCGTCGGCATCGCAGTATACCCTTTGTTTGTATTTTATGTTGCTCTGGGCTGCCTGTGCTTCATCAGCTAGTGCAGCATTGTTGTGCATGCAAAAGTGTTTGGCTGGGTATCTGGCGTTACGGACAAGCTGTAGAAATAGCTATTCATGGGCGTCACAAATCCATTCCAATACAATCAGTAGCACTTAGTAGACGTCTACAGTAAACTTGATGTACATGTCCCAAGTAGCGGTAGACGCTGTTGTTGCTGCTACCCGTGTTCATGATTAGCCGTCTGTCTTCCCCACTTCGTCATTGGTCTTTGCAGCGACAACACACTCGACCACGACCGCCGACTGAAGCGCCAACACTCGGCCCCCTAACCGCTCAACACACACGGCGCGCCTTGTCTGCATTCCTCTCGTTGCAGTCGCGTTCTGGACTCGACGGTGTAATTAGACACTGTTGCATTCGGCGCATTGTAGTGGAAATTTGGTACTAGAGCGCATTGACCGACTCCACTAACCACAAGGCCCATCTGCTCTGCTTCCGTCCGCTCGACAATCCAAGCCTGCAGCTCATATCTGCACCTGTTTTCCGACATCGTCTGCCCGCCGCACACCCAACGAGCCATCACGCTGCATTGTCCACCTACAAGGTCGCCACTAGCCTCGCGGAGCACCACCTCTGCGATTGTCCCTGCCGTCGACCGCAACTTGGTCTTCACCGCGGAGCATAGTTACTATTGTCCTTATTCAAGCTTGCACTGTCTCAATTCACAACCTCAAACCACACAGACATTTCAGCGACCGCCCAAGGACCGCCTTCTCACGCACCAACGTCTGCGACTCCTACTACTACTCTGCTACACCATCCACCAAGCGCACTCCCATCATACCCCACGCCTGGAACACAACCCGTCCTGCACCATGACAGACGCGCCAGAGAAGCCGCAGGTGACAACTGCAGCTGCTGCCGCCTCCGACGACACCACCAAAGCTGCGCCCACGTCCCCAGCACGGAGCGATAAGAGCAGCGATAGCGAAGGAAAGAATGTTAGGGAAAAGCTCAAGGACACACAGATCGATGCGCAGGCCACATCGGATCCCGTCCCGAGTTCCGATCGGCCCATGAACGACGCACCCAACGGCAGCGTTAAAGCTGGCGAACACAGCGCTTCTGGCTCAGACAGCGAGCGCGGACGGTTACGACGCAAGCGCAGCCGGGAAGACTTTGAAGAGGAAGCCGAAGCGGACAAGCACCCAGAAAAGAAGGTTGAGCGACATGCGCGCAAGAGGTCAAGGGACATCACAGCCGACCTGGAGGCTGGTGTGCCCGGAAAGCCTTCTCCAAGTACTATCTCAAGTATCCAAGAGAACGACGGGGACGAGCAGATGACATCGCCCAACAAGAACACATCCACGACCACTGCGGCCGATAAGACCCCAGGAGCCGGAACAAGCCCCAAAAACAAGCGCACACGCGATCAAGTCGAGAAGGATACAGATGCTAGCGCAGAAGCGGCGGAAGACGCCTCGGCAAATGGCAAACCTGCAGAAAAGTCGGCAGGCGAGGAGCGAGACACCAAGCGGTTACGAGACAAGGAAGCAGCCGATTCAACAACGGACACAACAGAGTCGAAGACCAAGGTAAGCTAACTAGCGCTGCGTGAATGTCAAAGACTAACGCTCGAGCCAGATACCGCCAGGCAGTGGGTTTGCCAACACTTCCGCCGCATCGCCTTTTGCCGCTATGGCAGCCAAACCTCAACCGCCGAAGACTTCCGATAAGGCCGAATCATTACCTCAAACGTCGGACGAAAAGTTCAAGTCATCTGGCTTCGGCGGCTTTGCAACCTCAGCTGCGTCTCCATTCGGGGGCCTTGCTGGTTCTAAACCAAGTTCTAGCTCGCCTTTCGGTGGGGCAAGCGCGGCCAAACTGTCCTCTTTCGCAGGAAGCGCAGCCTCCTCAACGCCATCAATTGGTGGCTTCGGAGCACTGGGAAGCTCTGGTACATCCGGGTTTGGAGGCAGCTCTTTTGGTGGATCGCTGGGTGGGGGCTTTGGAGGCTTCGGCGGAGCCAAGCCCGTAGGCTCTTTCGCTGCTCCTGGTGGCAGTTTGGAGATTAAGGGTCTCAAGGAGAAAGAGAAGCCTTTTGGTGCTGCTGCAATCGGCGAGCCTTCTGATGATGAAGAGGGCGACGACGACGAAGACCCAGAAAAGAACGCAGACAAGGAAGAGCGACAATCAAGTCAGCCGCTCCTCTCGCAACAACGTAAGCCAATCACCGCCACCTCATGTCATCCTGTTAACCTTCCTGAAGCACACGAGACTGGTGAAGAAGGCGAAGAGACCATCTGGGCCGGCCGCGCAAAGCTTTACAACATGTCTGGCGAAGGATCAAATAGAGGGTGGAAAGAGCGTGGCGTGGGAACATTCAAGTTCAACATCACGGTCGATGAACCCAAGAAGGCTCGCTTTGTCCTCCGTGCTGAAGGTACCCACCGACTGCTGCTAAATGCTGCCGTCACAAAGAGCTTGGTATTTGGAGGCGATGCACAGGGTGACAAGCCGAAGGATACCCGGTTGCTCTTCAATTCGCCTAATCTGGAGGGTGAATTGGAGATGCACCTACTCAAGGTATGTACATTGTTTGGTCTGAAAGATAGAATGCAACTGACTGTCGACAGCTGAAAGCCGAAAACGCAAAGCAGCTCTGGGAGGAGGTCACTAGGGTAAAAGAAGAGCAGCTATAGGATGCCTTTTCTAAAACCCTGGGTAATTTCGGAGAGGAGAGCAGGTCCAGCCTTGACGTCTGGATATGAGTGTTAATATTGCCCTTGGGGCTGTATTGGTCTGGCAAGCATACTTTGACGACAAAGCCACGATGAGAGCATGAAGGGACAGCATCAGGAGGCACCTTGAGCGGCTTTCACTGTATTGTATACATTGGGAGGCTGCCGAAGTACAGGACTGCCCGAATAACATTTGTGGTTCGAAGTAGAATCGAATAAAGAAACCATCGTACATTATGACATGTCTCTTGCTCGTACAATGTACCTCGTGATACCTGCTTCGCAAGCCTTGTTTCTCTTTTGTTTTCCGCCATGTCCACTAACCGTTGCATCGGGTCAGTCATCTGCCGATATTGCTCCTCCTTGTTTTTTCTCCACATGCAGCATCGCGACATCGTCACAGCTGCCCCTGGACATCCAGCGCTATGCTTCACAAATCTCACGCGTCGCGCTTATTACCGCTAATGAGCAAGACCGCATGAGCTTATCAGCGCTCGTACTTGACAATTCTCCGACTGGTGCGGCTCTGTACAGGAGAGGGCCAAAAGACACGATAACCCTAGGTGTGTCTAAATTAGGATGCGGCGCAGAACCCTTGGCTGTAGAATGTCAGATTAGGAAGGGGGAGAACGCCATGTATGACGTTGTACGGTGGGATCTGTCTGCCTGCTGCTGCGCCGCCACTATACTTTGGGGCCAAGGCGTTTGGGTATATAGGAATGTGTCTCGCAGAACTCTGATCTTGGATGCTTAGGAGGTCTCTGGGTACGCTGAATCTCTTCATTTTCTGACCCCCTCAATCACCAGCCTCTCAACGTTCTTCGAAAACTTCCACTAGATCACATCGTCGGCTTGGGCTCGAGAAAAAGAGTCAGAACAGATGCTTGGTTTCCTCCTTCCTTCGTTATTCGCTTGTCAGTATTCGCATGCTGCGGTGGAGATGCCTATGTCTACATCGATCTCATCTTCGAGAACAACTTCATCTACATCTTCGCCCAGCAACATGGAGGACCAAACAACCCCTTCACACCAACGTCGATCGAGATGGCTCTACCGATCACTTCTTCTCACCATAGCAGAGTGGGCGCGAGAACCGTCGTCACACTTGTCTCCTACTGAAGTACGCACCCAACACTACGGAAAGGAAGAGGCGCAAGCGGACGTTATGAAGGATACGGTGCCAGCAACAGAAGATGAGATGGCTGGAAACCATAATACAGTGGGTATAGCCCATAGATGGATGCCGCCGGTGTATATCGCTGACTTGATGAACCCAGGGGACAGAAGTGCCTGACAGTAAGAGGGATTTGCAAGCGAGCTTTACGCATGCGCGATCACTAGAAGAAGGACGCTGATATCTGGCGCCATGGCCATCAGGATGTGTCGGTAGTATCCATTTTCTTATTTGTAGCGCTTTGCTCTTGGTTAGAAACAGTACATCAGACTTCCTCTCTGAACCCCTTCACCCCAGTCCCGCCTTAGCAACACCACTAGAGCATTGACCTTGCCGCTTTGGCTGGTTCCCAAGCAACTGCAACCTTCAATACATCATCTCGATAACGCATTTCGAACGATTTGATAAGCACTGATTGCTTCATGTTGCTAAAGGACGATAACCCTTGTGTCGCATTTGCTGCATACACGCTATTATATCTTATTGAATGAGAACATCCCAAGAATCATGTATACTTTCACCTTGGATTTGTCTAGGGGACATTCGAAATGCGAGACGAGTTTCGTGCCATAGAGACGTTAACGGATGATTGACATGGCATGCAATCGTCGTTGGAGGCAATAAGCCGTCCATAATCGGTACCAGAGCAGCAGGATGTGTTTTCGGTAGGCAAGTAACAACGCCCTCGGCCCTCAATCGTCCACATTCTCCTTCAATGGATGCCGCATTTCGACTCATAGCTTCTTATGTTGTCGGATACCTTGTGTGTCCGTCCTAAATGGCCCTAGGATCTTGTCCCATGCCTGCGGTGGTACCAACACAGCTCCTACAGACGCTCCTGCCTTCAATCTTTCCTTAGGCGATATTTGTTTTCCTTGTCGCCTTAAAGTCCTTCATGTTGAGCCTAAGGCGGATGCGCCATGATTTATAATCACAAAAACGAACGAGACGACGGAGAGGGTGGTGGAGAATCGACGCCGGCGCAACTCGGTTCGGGCATGAGTGGTGCTGTCGCCAGAATCTATTGCTGCGATTGCATTGTTAGTGGCGCATTGATATTTGTTGACATGTGCAGTCGCCAGCTTGTTTGGTAGCAACCGGAACGGGTGACGCGACTGGGTGCAGGTGCAGGTGCAGGACACGGTGCGGAGCCGGAGGACACAAGGCGGATGAAGTTGGTTATCGTTTGGGGGCAACAGGCAGGCTCCGCGTCGACGACATATAGATAGCAGGCGGCGACGGTGGACCCCAGCCGTTGATGACGTTTGGGGTGGCGAAGCAATGCAGCATGTTTCATCGCGTTCCAGGCGGGGCCCTTATCGTTGTTTATTCGCTTCAGCGCATGCGTGCGCCTGCCCCGACCAGCCGCTCGCGCTCGCGCCTTCCGTGCCAGCACCGCTCACACAGACACAGCACGCCATGCTGATGCGACTCAAGAGACGTGGAATGAAGCACAGAAGAACGTTGGGCCTGCATTTGCTCGCAGCCTTGGGGCCTGGCACGGCGCTCGGCCCTCCGAACTTGATCTGCGCGCGACAGTCTGACCAGCGCCATCTGCATCGGGCCTGGCGCGCCTGCAGGCTTCGTGCCGGCCGCGCTCTCATTCGCCCGCCGCCTTAGCCTGCCTCCAGGATTCCGCCGCTTTCTCTCGTCACATCCATTGCCCAAACCACCAGGCCGTGACATGTTTTTGCATTTTCATCATCCTCTTGATGCTGCCCCAGAGGCCATCTCGCATGTCCCAGCCACGGGATATCCGTCTAGGCGGCGCCTCTGCTCGGGCGTCGACATGGCCCCTCGCGCCACGAATTTGATCTCGCACTTGCTGTAACCCCTCGTTCACTAATTACATCTAGCGTTCACTCCTGGCCATGTCCTTGGTGGTGCACGGGCCTCGCAAGCTAAGCCCTTCTCGCTCGCGAGAGTTGGGGCCATTCATTCTCAGGACATTCGCACGCTCGATTCTCCACTGCCGTTCTGACTCCCCAACCGCCTGATGCCGTCGTTGCCCTGCCGTCGCCATCTGGAGTACTAACCGCACAGTCGCACCGACTGTCGACGCCCTCGCCTCTCGTTGTGCGCGCGCCGCTTCCTTTGTGACAGCACGCCTCAGCCAACTCCTCCCTCCGAAGCCGCCTCGAGCCCTCCACCCTCACCACCCTGCCTCACCTGCCGGCGCATCGCTCCAACTCGAACACACGCAGTCTCAATACCCTCTCTTCATGATAGGCGTTCGATTCCACGCCCACAGTGACGTTCCTGAGCCCTCATCGCCCTCCTGCTCCCTATCCGCACACGCTGCGCTCCGACACGCAACCCTCTTCCCCTTAGCCACACCCTCTGTGTAGCTCGACCACTCGTCACAAAGCCCGGCACTCCGTTGACGGCGGTCACTTGATCCGTCTCGAGTCGCCGTCGGTCGCCCTGCTCTCTCTCGTCGCGCGTTGGGCGTCATGCGATCCCACGAACACAGAGCCTGAGCACCCACTACATGACACCACATACAAGCGAGCGTCATTGCCAGATTATGACAGACGTCTCGTCGGTTCAGGCGTATGCTGATCATCAGCCGGCTCCTCTCGCCCTCTACGCTGGCCCACCACCACCCACCTTCGCGACCGCCTCGCCTCCACTCGAACCCACCGTTGAGGACGAAGAGTCATCCACGATAAAATGCATCTGCGGATACTCAGATGACGACGGCAACACAGTCTTGTGCGAGAAGTGCGATACGTGGCAGCACATCGTGTGTTACTACGAGTCTGCCCAACACGTCCCCGACGTACACGAGTGCGCCGACTGCCTTCCCAGAGCTATCGACGCAAAAAGCGCTTCCGAGAAGCAACGCATCCGAAGGGAAGTACACAGCATCGGCGAGCGCAAGGGCAGACCGAAAGCCTCCGCCAAGAACCCCAAGAAGCGAAACAAGGACGCCCATGGCCCTGGACAACCCAATGGGTGGCCAGTGCAAACCAATGGGGACCTGCACTATACCCCCGACCGCAAAAGTGGTAGCCCACGAGATCAGCCACCGCCAAATAAGCGTCCAAAGACAAACCATCGTCCATCGGGTTCTGTAGGCGTCGTTAGTCAAGCGCCAGCTCTCGTGCCAACATCACGGAAACGAGGCGCTTCAGTTATGCTCAATGGCCACAGTCCTATGAAGTCACCCACTAACCCAGAGGCTTCTACCGAGGATTACTCAACCGAGTTCATACATCTCTATCGGCAACAAGAACCACCCTCCGCTGAGTCCAACTCTTACACCCGAATCGATGTCGCAAACGACATTGCTATGTGGCTACAAGACCCCGAAGCACTGGCCGAAGCAAGCGGAGGCAAGAAGCCACAGGACATCTTCTCACGCATTGACATGACCATCCAGGAACTCGAAACAACAACTGCGCCAGAGATTGTGAAACAGACAGATGTCGACTCGGGTGTACTAGCGCATGGTCTGCACCCACAATGGCACTTCATTACCGCCGAGACTCCGGTACCAGATGGTGGCTATGTTGGAGAGCTCAAAGGTCTCATCGGTCGAAAGGCAGATTACTACTCCGATGCATCCAACAGATGGGACTTGCTGCGACATCCTGAACCCTTCGTCTTCTTCCCACCCCATCTGCCAATATACATCGACACACGGCGAGAAGGCAACATCCTCCGATACGCCCGGAGAAGTTGCAACCCCAACATGTCTATGAAGATCTTGATTGACTCCAGCAACGACTACCACTTCTCTTTCCTAGCGACGCGCGAGATCAGCCCCGGCGAAGAACTCACAGTCGGCTGGGATATCGATTCTGAGGTCAAGAAACAGCTTCTCAGGGTCGTAACCAACGGTGCCAAAGAAGGGTTTAGGAGGATACAACCGTGGGTGTCTTGTGTCTTGGCCAACTTTGGAGGCTGCGCTTGCGATACATCCAGCGGCAACGAGTGCCTCTTGGAACGCGCTCGTCGCAATACGATTACAGAGCCGGCTACACTGAAGACCAAGGGCAAGAAGGTCAAAAAGTCACAGATCTCTCCAATGAGTACAGGCCACGCAACCAACAGCCGTGCTGGTAGCGAAACAGTCAACCGCGAGGCTGTCGACGAAGATCAAATGGACGCTCGCTCTACGTCTGGCTCACACAAATCCAGCAGTCGTGACATCACACCAGCAACTCACTTCTCATTGGAAGGCGACAAACTTTCCGAGCGCGAAAAGAGAAAGATCCAGCACCAAGAACTCCTGTTCCAGAAGCTTGATCACGATGAGCACAAAGGCAAAAGGAAACGGACTAGTGCTGGATCGAACCTGAACACGCCGAGCATCTCTTCCTCGGTAAGACGATTGTCCACCTATTCGCTTCCTACTGCTAATGCAGATACACAGAGACGACTCGGACACCCCGAACCTTCGCCGTCGGCACGGCACCGCGAACACAGTCACGGTGTAGCACGTAAAACGTCAGGTAGCTCTACAAAGACAAATGGCCGTCCTCCACCCCGTCCGAAGCCTGTCTATGTCGATGCGTCGACGCAAACGATGGAAGACAACGCAAAATCCCAGATCTGCATCAAGCCACGCCAAATGAAACCACCACTTTCATTCAAGCGTAAGCTTTTGCAGCAAGCGCAAGAAGACAAGTTGCAGCGCGAGCGAATGCGGTCGACGTCCGTTAAAGTGGAGGCCAAATCACCAGCTTTGAAGGACGTATCGTCGAACAAGCCGTCGCCGCTGCCCCCATCTCCACCGCTCGAGGAGCCCACAGCGATGGACATTTCTACCGACCCCGTACCCGATACAAGACACAAAGAGCTCACACCAGCAAAGGAGCCTACACCGCAGCCTACGGTCGACGTGGAGATGACCGAACCCGAGGACACAAGTCCCAAGGCCTCCGACCCAAAACAAGAGGAAGCACCTGAGATGACTGCACCAGAGCCTCCCAAGGAAGCTCCACAACCATCGATACAACCGCCCGATCCTCCGTGGTCAGCTTCGACGCCCGCTGAACCATCGCCCAAGTCCACCACCGGTCTCACACCAAAGACTGCAGACCTACACGTCGAAATGCCCTCGAAGCTTGATTTTGGCAACACTAGCAGCAACCGCGCCGTTACACCTGGATCGACTTCGTCTGTTCTCAACGAGAGCGCAGTCGCGCAATCACCAGGCATCTCAATGATTGCATCGCCTTTCTCGCCTGCCGTTAACAACGCCGTCAAGCCTGCGCCGGCACGCAAGAAGCTCAGTCTAAGTGACTACACCAACCGCAACCGAAAAACCAAGCTGGCGCAAACGCAGTCGACTGGCTCGAACGCTACCCCTCCACTGGCCCAATCGCAATCAACCAGCTCACCCACGTTATCGACGGCTAGCCTGCCCAATACCAACTCACCACCACCCAAGGCTGTCGAACCGATCCTCCCACCAGTTGCCGAGGAGGCGAAGCCGTCTGAGGTATCCGTCGCGCCTACTATGACGACTACCTCCACTTCGACATGAGCGCTATGATTCACGATACCTTTGCTCCTTTTCAGAACCAACTTGCGGGCCGCAGGGCGACCCGTGGTTCTTCGATTCTACCTTTTGGAGTGTAACAACATGTAATGATTACAAGTCAAACGATCCTTTGTTTTCTCACTTTTCCCTATCTATCTTTCTTCTTTCTTATCTTTTACTTCCAACGACTTGAAGTGTTCGGTCGGGTTTACTATACATTGATTTGATGGGGATTTTCAAAAAAGCGGGATACTTCCAATGGGCTTTCTACTACATGCAAACACACATTACCTATCTACGTACGGAAGGATCTGGCGTGGCATTGGTTGGCTCTCGCGCTGGGCATCTAAGAAACGAGGAAAATGAGAGTTGAGAAGACGGGCAGCCCCGTCCTCCTCTACCGTGCGGGTTGGAGATTAGTAGCGAAGCCATATCCTCTACTGCTGAGCGTCTGTGTTTAGCTGAGATGAAATGAAAACAAGAACTCAAATCAATATACTCTGAGGTTCACCCTCGTATCAAGCGCCACTGTGTGAAAGAAGAGGCTGTGTTCATAATCTAACCTATACCACGCAAAGAAAAAGAAGAAGAAGAAGCAGAAGTACACCAGCAGCATAAGAACACAATCACTCATGCCCTCTAAGTCCCTCCACTGCCAACAGCCTTCTCCCCAACCTCCTCCCACTTCGCCGCCACCATTCTCACCGGCGTGACATTCCCCGCCAAAGCCCTTCCGTCCATCTCTATAGGGCTTGTCCCCATGCCATTAATATGCTTGGGATCGGGCCTGTACACCGTTTCGTAGTAACTTGGTATCGTCTCGTCAAGGACGCGGAGCGGCGGTGGTGGTGATGCGTAGCGATGAACGGAAGGAGCCGGAGATATAACGTCAGTGTCACCGGCAACGTTCGAGTCAAGGCTGTAGTCGTGATTGTCGTGGTGACGGTCGTTTGGAGGACTGCGCATGCAATCTCCCAATGGTGAGAGTTCGTATGGTCTGCCTACGGAGCGGTGGGCGAGTGCATCGTGGATGTCGAGTGGGGATTGCTGTGGGATGGGAGGTAACGTATGCATACGGTGGTCGATGAGTGCGTTAATGTCATATTTGTACTGATGGGGATGGTACTGCTGTGGCGGTGGCGGTGGCGGCGAATGCGAAGGAGGGGGCTGTGGCATGTAGTAAGATGGTGCTGCCGATTTGTAGGGTTGGTTGTAGTTGTACTGTGGATAGGCGGGATCTGCCATGGGCGACGATAGCATAGATCTCTGCGGGTATTGATGATAAAAGTCACCTCCGTTGCCGGCCATGGCAGTAGAACGGTTGGGACCTCTTTCCACCATGGCTGGTGGACCCCTGTTATTTGGATCTAGACGGGGAGCTCCAGCTACTTCTGCTTTTCCGTCGACTTCGTCTTTCAGGCTCTTTGTGCGGCACCAAAAGAAGTACAGGAGGGCCACGATGACGAAGACAGAGACGCCTGCAATCGAGATGCCTGCGATAGCGCCCGCTGAAAGATCAATTTGGGTGTCGTTGTTCGTGAGGCCAGAATTGGGTGTCTTGTGAGTACTCTCCGGTGGGAAGGGCTCGCCAGGGTTGAGCATGTAACTGCTGTCAAGCGCCATTTTATGTCTGAATAAGGGTGTACTAAGTCAGTATATGTCTCACATGCAGTGCGTACCGATAAACTTACTGTTGATCGATGCTCGTCGTGGCATTCGGATTGATAACGCCCACCATGCCATAGCCTATGCAAGACCCTGGTGCTGAGCAGTAGAAAAAAATGGGATCAGTGTTTTTGATCTCGATGCTGTAGGTGGGTGGGAAATCAAGGACAGTGTCGACGGGCTCGAAACCGCTGAAGAAACCAGTTTTACCCTGCCCCGTCATTTCGTATGGGATGCATGGGTAGCCGTATTCTGCGCGGACGACACTGTGATTTAGTGGATAGAAGGCAAACTCTATTATCTTTAGCAAGTTAGTATTTCCTCATCTGTTGATATGTGTACGGAGGCCCGATCGAGATGATGAATGAAACTTCTACTTACATCGCCTACACTGGCATTTGTCGACTCGGGTCTGAATTTGTGATCCGCTAGACCGACTGAAATAGTGTGTGTCTGCGCAGCTGCAGAACTCGTCGAGGTTGACGCGCTTGCTGTGCTCAACGGGGCTGTAGGACTGTCACTGCTGAGGCCATCGTTGCCTTGCGCTAGACATATCGAAGGAAGCAGACTGAACAGCAAAGACAAGATGGAGAATACAGAAACTCGGGACAACATCATCAGTGCTGCGATCGTCAAGATAGCAGTATGAAATCTGAGAAGGCTTGCGATCGTGCAGAGAGGACGACGGAAGCTTCAAGAGAAAAGAGGACCGTGGGACTGACGAAGACACCAGAGTGGAAATCAATATTCAAAGACGCAATACGCCAGCCTATCATGGCAGGGGCGCTACAAACAAGGGATCGTAAACAGACCAAGCGGCCAAATTGACGAAAAGAACGGCACAGGATGAGACATGTACGCCATAATCATGGTGGTACGTTTCTGTGGCTGTGGCGTAGACATGAGATTGCTATTCGCTGAAAGGCGGCTAGAAGTCGGCCTCAAGGGATGCTACGACAAAGAGTTGTGTCTTTTGCAAGGGTTCGGTGACCTCATGTGATGATCGCAAGGGCGACAAAGGTCAACAAAGCTCATCTGTCTTGTATCTCCACTAGCTATGCATCTGGGAATGTGGCCACCGTACAATCTGCTTGTGAAACGGACCAGGCATCTGCTTTTGCATGTGCCCACTCGGACGCGTAATTTGAAGTTTGGCAATGGCTAAGGATGCGACTGCCCCGCCGCGTCGCAAGACCAAGGACTACGTGCATGTAAGCAGAACAACATCACTCATAGTCAATGGCACAACTCGAGGCGTTCATTCCCGCATCAGTAAAGGATGACGGAACGCGTTCCTTACTCGCACGACATGTAGGAGAAAAAGACCCAGAACGGAAAAGCACATGAAGGTATTGAGTTTTTTAACTGCTATTCACAGCTGAGATATAAGGAGAGGAGAGGTCCAAAAAATCGTACCATATGGTGATAACATAGCCCAATATGGCTTGGTATATTCCGCGCTGTTCGCTCGCATTAAATCATAAGCTGTCTACAGCGTCCATCATCAAAGTCGTATGCTGTGGCAGCCTGGGGTCATCGAGAAGGTTGCGCTCGTCAGTGTCGCTAACGACACCGCGTCGCACGCGACCTACTCTGTGTTATGTTGGCCAGATGCAAAAGTGCAAAGCTGAGCTCTCAGCGGAGACCCGGGTCGCCAAAACCAAATGGATCGTTGCTGGAGGAGCTATTGGACCCCGAAACATAGCCCGACGGTGCCGCAGATGCTTGTTTGCCAAACCCAGGGTCTGGCAAAGGATTCCAGACCGGAAAACCCTCAGGTGGCTGACTCTCTCCTAGTGGTTTACCACGAGCATAGTCCACGAGACTGCCGTTGATGCCAGTAAGTGCCCAAGCAAAGACGGCGACATCGCGAATGCTCTGCATGAAGTTGTTCTGGAATTCCATAGACGGCCCTGCCTGCACCATAGCCGGGTGCCGAGCGCCAAGAGGGTATTGGGGCATTTGCTGTGGAGCAGGATGGAACACGGGTTGTGTTGCCCATGGCGCGGCGTAGATACCATTGTATTGCTGTGCTGGCTGGGCCACCGGCATGGTGCCTGGCAACATTGGGCGGGCACGACGTAGACACACAACCAAGCCATCTGAGGTGCAGGATATGACAGCCTCGAGTTCGATGGGATCGTCGCGGATTTCGGAGCGAGGCGAACTCACGGACGATAACGACGAGCGGGCAGCGGATCCACCGAACATGGCTTGATGGGTATTGTTGGGGTCATTGTTCCCGCCAGAGTTGGTGCGCGACGCAGACCGCTCCTCACTGTTATCCGTGGTGCGGTTTGAGTCTGACGGATGTCTTGTGCCGTTGGACGTGGAATGGCCGTCAAGGTCCACTCCGCCTTCAGATTCATCGTCGGAGCCCGTAACATCCGTCATGATGTCATCTTCGCTCTCAGACGAGGAAGCTTCAGGCGCATCGTCCTGGCGCGGGTCCCGGAAGAAAAAGCGCATGTATGCAATGGAATCGTTGCCTTTGGCCGACTCGAGACAGCGGACTGCATCTTCAAGACAATTGGGAGCAATGCAGTAATAGAAGCTGCGTCCCTTCATAGCCTCTCCGGAGATGCCAATGATTTGCTCGATCCCACTGGTTGCGTACATGACGGTCAGGGTACGCGTGAACCTGTTAAGGAACAAGGCAGCTCGCGGCTCATGAGTCTGATCATCGGGGCCGAGGTCAAACTTGCTGGACAGGTGAGATAACATGTGGTAGCGCGGGTCCTTTGGTGACGAGGCGAATAGCTTGCGCACTATAGGAGCCTCGACTGCGCGTTCTGATTGGCTGGAATCAGCATGACGCAGGGCCCAAACGGGTTGAAAGACTTACTTTGGCTCTGCATGCCATGTCTGTAGATGCTGGTGCAGCAAACGAGGACATCGTAGACGACGGAGAAGCAGCATTCACAACCGACCCATTCGCCCTGGCGGTTCTTCAGGCGGCAATAGGACAAGACAGCAGCCTTGTCCAGTCTCACGCCGCGGCTGTGGTGAGCTCTGGCCAGCGGGAGTTCCTCTGGATGAAAAAATTGCCACACGGACCGATTGACTACCTCGTCAGGTGTATGACCGAGGATGTCGACAATGGAGTCGGAAGAGTACAATATGTGGGCGTCATCGGAGAGGTCTGTCTTGGGTGAGAATTGGCAGGCAAAAGGCAGGGTCGACGTGACAAACCGTGAATGGTGATGAAGGTGGTATCCATGGTAGCAAGAACGGGGGTGGTGGTCGTTCCTGCTCTACCGCACGCGCCCTGGTCTGTCGAATCTAATAACTCGGTCTGGGACGGGCGGTGGAAATAAGAGCAAGTCGGGCAGTAGAGGCGAGGGACTGTCGGCGGGTCAAATAGGCAGGGTCCAGGTGGCACAGAGGCGCACAGGTGCGGGTAAGGTGTCTAGAGGCCGTTCAGGCGGTGCGACCAGAGCACGGGGTGGGGATGGGATGGGATGGGATGCAGATGGCAGGTCGAAACGTATACGAGTCAGGAGCTATGATGTAATGGGCGATCACGAAGCAGCAGGCGCCCCTCACCCGCGACAGGGCAGGCGCGGGCAGCAGCGAGGAAATATATGAGAAAGCTCGCGGACTTGGGCTGCCGGAAGGGGCTAGCAGCGAGCAGTTGGGTCGGGTGCATAAATAAATCAGCGGAGAAGGAGCGGAAGCGTGACGACGGCCAGAATGGCGGGACCGGAGGAGCGCCAACGGGCTCAGCAGCGTCTGTGTCGGCAGGCGGGCCAAAGAGAGGGCTGGGAGTAAGTAAGAGGACGGTTGCGACAGGTGGATGTAGTGGAGGATGCGACAGGCGGCGTGGCATGCAAGAGAGGTGCAGAAAGTGAGCTGACGAACTGCTCACCCTTGCCGCGCCCAAGGATCGACGCGAGACGTGTGCGCAACGGCGGTTAGCAGCTCGTCGGCAGCGGCGCGGGGCACCGGCAGTCGCCCTGCACCTCTGGTCGAAGGAGTGCGCATCAGGCCACTCGGGTCAGGACTGCCTCGAGTCGTGCCTCCAACTGTCCGCGCGTTGCACACGCCGGGTGTGCTGAAGAGCCCAACTGTCAATCCATGCGACTGGCCTTGGCGCACCCGACGTCGATGATGCATATCCATATCCATTCCATGGCCGCCCAGGTGCCTGCATGCAAACTTTAGCCTAGCGCCACCAGCACAACCACGGCCAGCCTGCGAACTGCGAGCGGATGCCCCTCCGCCAGCGCTCTGGCAAACCTACCCAGGCGATTGCCGCTGCCCACAGCATCGCCCGGCCTGCGCGTCTCCTGCCTTGGTCGTCCCTGCCTTGGTCGTCCCTGCCTTGGTCGTCCCTGCCTTGGTCGCCCGGCACTGGGTCTAGCGGCGCGTGGTACGGACCTGTTACTTGTCATCCCAAGCCCTCAACCGAACAACATCATCGACGATCCTCCCCAAACTACGCCACAAGCCACATGCAAGACCCTCAAGGCCTCTTTCCACTGCTTCACCGTCTCTGCCTGCGGGCCCCCGCCTGATTGGCGGCACCACCTCCGTCCGCCTGCTGCTCGCCGCATGTCTCTCATTCACCTGTTTGCTGCAAGTGATAGCTTAATTTCCATGACACTAAAAGCCCTGTCCCTCGCCCTCGCTTCTTTCTAACCCCCGATTGGCACACACAACCTTGCACTTACCTTGCACTTGGGCTACCTCACGAGACCCGCGCCCTGCATATCAGCCATTACGGCTGTGCTTTCCGAGCTTTCCCATGGTATGCACGCCAAGATGGACTGCAACTTTGAACTGCCTTCGCTGAGGGCCACTTTGAGACTAGGCGTAACCCATGCCTCTCGTCCTGCGCGTAGCCACCACTAACTCCTCGACAGGCCCCAACCAAGTCTAGGCTGAGCTCTAGTGAGTCAGGAAGCATGCGCGTCACCCGTCACTCCATGCAATACTCATCACGTTGCAGCTCAGTTCTACGATGTAGACTTCTATCCCTATACCGCTCCCGGCCAGGTCCCTGTTTTCGCCGTGTGCGGAGGTCCATTTGTATGTATCACGCTGTGTGCAGTCTGCCGTCTACTGATTGGCCAAGACCGTCATATGTCGGTGTAAACTTGACAGCAACGGGTCCGTCGAGATCCTGCGGTGGTTTGAAGATGACGAGGCCACTACTGAACACGGCACGTCCGACGATAAAGTAGACACGGACCCTCTGTGCGCGACCTGTCTAACCATCACCAGGTCAACTACAACAGCATCGTATGGTCTCAGGCTGAAAATGGCGACCCGCTCGTCTGCGTCACGGGAGACTCTCGCATCAAGGTCTTGAATGTCCGGACCGGGGAGCTCACAGCAGTACGGGCCATATCACTGATTGTATTGCATCCACTGACCTTGCACCCAGACGCTGATAGGCCATGGCGATGTATGGTTATCATCTGTCGTATGCGGCGAGCTGCCTTCCTAACATCCTACAGTCAGTGAACGATCTCGCCATATCGCCGATAGACCCGACCATTCTCGCCTCCGTGAGCATTGACCATAGTCTCCGAATATGGAGCCTCCACCCCGATCACGAAAAGCAGCCCCTCGGAGCCATTTGTTACGGGCAAGGCCATAAGGACCAGGTGCTTACCATTGTGTGTGACCTGCAAATATACCCAATTAATATACTGATATTGCCAGGCATACCACCCGAAAGGCCAGTACATCCTAACAGCGGGTATGGATACCAGGATCAATTTGGTAGGATGCACCACCCCGGCCTACTGCTTGACAAAGCTCTGACAAGTCTAGTGGGCAGTACCCGAAGACCTCAAGGAACACGCTGGCACCGACAAGCCGGCCATAGTGCACTATCCGCACTTTTCCACTACCGAGATACACACTGACTTCATCGACTGGTAATGATCCCCTTCTGAAACCGACCTACAATTGCTTACTTCATGCAGTGTCCAATGGTATGGTGACTTGATCCTCAGTCATGCCTGTCGCGAGAACAAGATCATACTTTGGGGTATCGATCGATTCAATTCCAATCGGTCTACGCCTCCTCCGCCAGTCCCCACATCAAGCGCGGTCCACAGTAGAACCCCTGTGACAATTCCAGCGAACTCGACCTCAAATACACGGTCGGCATGGGGCGGGCGCTTCCAGAGACTTCTGCAATTCGACTTGCCGCACACGAACCAGTTCTACATTCGCTTCTCCATCTTTCACGAGCTTGGTCGCCATCCGGTTTTGGTTGCGGGCAACGAGAGAAGCAAGACCTTCTTTTGGGACTTACAACGCCTAGAGAAATCGGGTACCGGAGAAGATGACTCCCTGACTTCGAAAGGCTTACCGCTCAGTCTACCTAGACACGTGCGCGAAGGAAGCTCGGCATCTACTGCCTCATCTGCTATCAGTACAGGCTCGGGTAATACCAAGACCAAACAGAAGCGGCTGAATGAGCATTCTCACGATCGAGGCATATCCGACCCCTTTCGCTCGATCAAAGCACACAAGATCGTCGAGACTCCAAAGTACAAAGCCTTCGCGTTTCGTCACTTCTCCTGGAGTCGTGATGGTCAATGGTGCGTCGGCGCCGGTGACTGTGGGACTATCAATATATTCAGCCGTTGGGATTCCCTTCCTCCAATCGATACAGACAGGGAATTACCTACACAGGAGGGTGACGGCCCACAGATCAGTCAGTCCAACCGCACACCAACATCAGCCGCGCGCACGAACGATGTCGGACTCAGCACGAGCATTAACTGACATAGTACGAGTAGACAAAGACATGATCACGGACTCGCTGGACGGCCTATGTGAGGCACATGCACTCCGGCAGCAGATGGCCGCGGATCAAGGGGAACCTTTCGACGAAGACCTGCGACCTCTTCTGGATGAATATGTGTCCAGCTTGCCAAGTCACGAGAGAGATTTCGCACGTTCAATGTACGAGCGGTGATTCAGACTGGGAAGTAAACAGCTGAACACGTGTGGATAGCTGGGTGCGCGGCCCCATAACACAACCACAAATATTCGAACGCGACCGTTAACCTTACTCGTCGGCACGGTCTCAGCTATTGTGACTCACGATAATGGCATAATACACAGTGAATACAATCAATCTATTGTCATTGAGTTACAATAGCTAATCCAAATTACCGAATTTGCGTTTCGGAGGTGACAATAGGAAAGATGTGGAGACGAGATGCTGGTGGGAGTAAGATCATATTAGGGTCGCAGGCAGCCAACCACGTACTAGTGGTTCGTCACCCCAACAATACCAAACAAAAGTTGCCCGTCATGAAAGCTGTCCCATTTCTCAAATATTCTTTCATCTCTAACACCATTTCCCAAACATTGCGTCGTCTGCCAACTCCATCACAACGTACCGAAACCTTTCGTACAGTACCGACACCCCTCCCAGCGCTATCACAGAAAAGCAATACCATTACTCGCAGTTTTCGGCAAGTCACTACGCCCAGGCAGACTTAAACTAATCATGCACGCTTGCAACACGCAAAACTCACCCGATTCCGCATCTTCCACCATGTCGACTCCCACCACCGCGTCTCCAGACCACGTCGCGGCCACTCCCTCAACAGTCGCAGAGCCCGTACCGCGCGAGAACTCCGTTCTCTGTGGGCACACAGGCTGCACGCGTAGCTTTCCAAGGGATTCAAACATAGCTGCAGGCCACAACGGCGATTACCTCTGCGCTCTACACTGGCTCGATTTATTCGATGCATGCCATGAGTTCTACAATGACTGGTGGAACTATGGTAATGTCCAACGGGGAGCCTCGCCAAATTACACGCCTGAAGGATGATTGCGGGATTGAGGTGGAGAGGAAGAGAGCAGGAGACCAGCGACGCGGTTCTAGGGGCCCGCACAAAATCTCATCAGCAACAGTCACACCCTCTACGCTCATTGTTAGTCTACTGTTGCCACGAGTACTTGCCATGGTCATGGAGAACTCGAAAATCTAGACAAAAAGAAAAGCTCCAATTCCCACACTGTCGCGAGTGCGCAGCGCCTCCTCGTCGAGCACATCGGTGAGTGCAGAAACCCCCCACGCAAGCCAGCCCCAAAAAGGGTCTGCAATGTGCGCAGCGCTTGCCGCAAACGCGACCAAAGATACGGCACAGCTGCAGCCCGCGCCAAAATCGATCCCGGTAGCTCTGCCGGAGAAAGAAACAAAAACACAGGAACGCGTTGGCCTTGCGCAGGGACAGCAAGGCTTGCCGGGCATGTATTGTTTGGTACTACTTGCTTTTTTTCGCAACACGTGGGCGCTACCGAAATGTTTTATTTGCACTACACCATACTGCGCTTGCTGCACGGCAACCATGCATCGTCTTTTTGTTTTCGAAGGACGTACAGTACTCGTATCGAGGGAAGCTGCAGGACAGCCATAGATGACCAGGCGAGCGAACAAAGCGACAAGTAGCCCGAAAACACGGAGTACAGTCTGTTTGCTCGCCCATACCACGAGCAGGGGCTTTGTCTGCGTCGAGACTTCAAGCGACGAACAAAGGAGGCAAGACAGTAGGAGAGAGAGGGAGATGGTGTCTTTGAAACACGTTTGTCTCTTAGGAACTCTACGATAAGGACGTTGCCATATACAAAAACGAAAAAAAATACATTGTACTGAGTCGGAAGATGATCAGTCCGAAGTAGCAGACATGTCTTCTCCATCATCTGTATCGTCATCATCAGCAGCAGCAGCAGAACTGAATATCGCGTGTTCATGCGAGGAATGTACAAGTTTCCTTCGTCCAATCTTCCCTTCGGACTCACACTACCCGCGAGACTTCTCACAATTCATCTTTCCACCCGCTTCTACCTCCCAGGAGCCGCCGTCGATATGGATCGACAAGCTATCGTTAGCAGCATACGACATGCTGATAACCGCCCCAACACCAGCATCGCAAAACTCCGATAATACCAGTCACCGCAAGCGACGCAGCCTCGCTATTTCCACACAAGATCCCGACACCGACATACGCAGTGCTTTTCCAAAGACACCGGGGACCTTGCGCTGCTCGAATGTCCATTGCAGCACCCGTCTTCCAATTAGCTCAATGTTGGCTGCTACAGCACGGTTTCCTGCAGATCCTTTGTGTGCAGAGCACGAGGAGCAAGCTGTTCGAGAAGGACGGGATGCGGCTCCCCTCGAAAGCGTTCTCATGTTGGACCAAGCCTGCAGAAGCAACTACGGGAACAGAACTAGTCGGTCGGGCTTGGGTAGCAGGAGTAATAGTTCAGCTTCCTGGAGCAGTTTGGCTTCTTGGGAAGGTGACGATGTGGAGTTTGAATGGGGTGCAAAGGCATTTGATTCGAAGCTTTGCTGGTGAATTGCAGTTATCATCGCTGTCACTATTGAGCAATGGGAACTTTTTGGCATCGATTGCGTCGCTGGTATTGCGGAAGTCGTAAGTGACTCGTCGTATATGAGTTGTTGGTGAGCTATCGCAGCACTGTAGGATGGCCATGGTACTAGAGTTTGAAATTGCGCACGCAGAATCTGCTTTGCCATGGAGGAAGGGTTATCGAGCTTTGCCTCGTTTTGAGGAGATTGTAAATGGCATTATTAGCAGTGAAATCAAATAGCAAAGAAGATCTATTTTCTCAAAAGACGTATGCACACCATATGGCGTGAAAAGCGAACTAACAACTTGGATGAATGAATGAATCCGCACTTTCCCATCGAATGCTGGTATATAGCATGAGCTGAAGCTGCCCCGAGTAGGAAGCGTTTCATCGACATAAGCCACGTTGATGTCTTGAGCACCTGAACTTCGCATTCATGTATCAAACGAGATAGTCGAACTCGTCGTATACATCGTATTGGGTCTCACTACCCATCTCATGCATCCACTGCATGTGTTCAGCGACCATTTCGTCGAACAAATAATCCGGGAGTGAGTCTTCAAGCCATGCTTGCTGCATTGACGCATCGCAAAGGTACAGGTGCCGATATAGCTCCAGTTCATAGGCCTCGTCTTCATCCTCATCGGGCGCCATGATCCAGCCATCGCCTACTCCGGTCGCAGCCAGCTCATCCCTCTCGTCAGTTAGCGCTGTGATCCAGACATCTTCCCTCTCGAAATAGGATCTAGAGTTCTTGCCGTGGCCATAGCGGCGACCTGTCTGGGCATGGCGATAAGGCTGCCTGGCGTATTGTGGGGGAGCTGAGAGAGAGCCACCCAAACGGGTGTGGAAGGAGCGGTGTGCGGCTGTGCTGCTGCGAGTCGCAGGAACGCCTAGCCCATCGATTGCGATTCGTTCCCCTGGAAAATCTGGAACAAACGAAAATGTGGAAATGTGACCCGAAGAGGTCCCGAGGTGCTGGTTTGCTGACTCAGTCTCGCTTATCCATAGATCGTATTCGTCGTCGTTGTGGTCAAACTCAATATCAAAGAACTCAAATCGGCAGAGGGGGCATGTTCGCTTGGTTTGCATCCACTCCGCAATGCAAGCGTCACCGAAAACATGCCCACAAGGGAGCTGGAGTGGCACCTCGGCATATTCGCCTCTGGTGGACGTGTAGTAAGGGTCTAAACATATGCAACACCGCTGTGGCTCGTCTGGGCCCACTCTCACCGGTGCATACGCTTGACGTCTTTTTTGGTGTCTGTGGCTGGGCATGTCTGAGTAGGAAGCTGGGGTCCAATAAGGCTGGCTGATTCATGAGGTTTCCACTTGGCGTGAACGCGATCGTCTGGTACCAGCCTAAAGGTACCAGAGGAACAAAGGCGGGGGTGAAGTAAGACCCTAACGCCGGTCATTGTACATGGAGCTTCGCGTTCCATACCAGACAATCTCTAGAGGACGAGTACCATGGTACACTGTGCGGAGCACAACGTGCCGCACTTTCCGATCGAACGTCTCTTAGTCAACCGCGAACAGTGCTCTTTCTTTACTGGCATGTGTCATTGTAAGGCCATTGTTTGAGACCAGCCTCGCATCAGTGATCTCGGCAGTTACACGTGGACATTTGCTCGCTTCTGAGCCTCCACAAAAGACTAGCATCATGCAAGTGACGCTGTTTGGTCGTGCATGCATGACAGCCAGCATCGGCTTCACCGTCGACTTCATCCTCGCTGTTTTGCTGTTGTGGAGTAGCTCCGCATCTCAGCTCGCCTCTAGAAAAAGCCATCGCGACAGGCTTTAGGGTCTAGTCGGACATTTTGCGTCGTGGGCGCGGCGTCTAGATCCGCGGAGTAATGTGTGCCAAGTCTGTACAACACGCGGCGCTGGGCGAGGACTTGTGTCGGGTTTAACTCAGGATACCGAAAAAACGTCTTCAGGGTAATGGCATTGTTAGAAATCATGTGGGGTGGCTAATGTCTCCGACTGCAAGGTTGGCAGCTAAGCTCTGATGTTTCCATGGTTCTGAAAATCCGCGAGCCAGTTAGTTGGTGCAAGCGGAGCCGGCAGCAATTTGAAAACGCGGTATCGGTAACAAGTCCTGTCGATGACCCCGAACTGGCAGGTCAAATGACTAGGAAGATAGCGTTTGCCATGGAGAAGGGCTGCGAAATCTGTGCACTAACGGGGGTGAGCACCGCAGACCAATATTGACAGCTCTACGCCAGCCTCGTGGCGTGGCAGGCGTGGGCTCACCGGCCGTTTTTGGGTTCGACGCCTTGCCAGAAACGCCGCAATTGGCATCCGCATACTGGGGCATTATCAGTGTGCCGAATATAGCGCATCTTAGCGTAGGTGGTGAAGGTTTGGTAGACATTATACTTCCCTCGCCGTTGGCAGGCGTCAATATCGCCAACCGACTCTCTGGAACGATTTCGATGATCGACTCAGATGAAGACAGAGCTGTCGTCATGTAAGGGTGTTGTTGAGGATTTCTCGAAACTGCAGAAGCCAGCGTGCTAGCGTTATCGAGAGTGGGGCCCGCTTGGCCGCTCCGGTCGCGCTAGCCAATCTTGCTGTTGGTGGTGCGGGAACGGTGCCTGAATGCCAACACGTTTGTGGAAATTGGCTTGATCTATCTCCCGTCTCATCCAGACTTCGCTAAAGGAGATCAGCACGGCGACGCAACTGACAAGGGGCCCGCTCGTGCGTCAAGCTTTAGCCTCAGGCGCTCTCCCGTCACTATTTCGGGTTGTTTATGGACACCCGGCACTCTTCCTGGGCTCTTCGGTGGACGCGATCTATGCGGCGCTTCACCACACTTGTGGCTTGCGATCGTATCACTTCTCAATAACATCCCTTGCTCCACCCATGCTTACTGTGATACGGTGCTTTTCGGACACGATGAGGCTACAAGCCACCAGACAGCGGCGTACGGCTGGAACTTGCATCGTGGTACCAAAACGTCCATTCTGTTCCATGAGAGTCGACACGCTCGCGATTCTGGGCCCGATGTGGTCAAGTTCTCGAGCCTCACCACAACGCGCCCAGCTGGAAACGTTCCGCCAAGCGCTATCGAGCGGCGTTAGCAACAACAGCGGCTTGCAACTAACAATACAGGTCTCGGCTAAATCATGCCCCATGTATTCCATGATGATGTCCTGGCAATGTATAAGTAAGACGTCTCTGCTCGTCAATTGAAGATCCTCATCCACAGCAGCACTCAGCAAGCTTCACTGGCATCTCATCAGCACTATCCTTCTCCATCACCATCTCCTCCAACCAACCTTCAACATGCGTAACGTTCTTCTCGCTACTTCCGCCCTCAGTGGCCTAGCTGCTGCCCTACCCCAGATGATCAACATCGAGGCTGCTTTGGCCGTCCCCACTCCCACCGTTCTTGGACCCAAGGCCGAGGAGACTGCTGAGCTTCCAGTGTCTTACAACCAAGCTGCCGCTGCCGCGTCTGCTGCTGCAGTAGTTGCTACAAGTGGTGCAGAGCTCAAGAAGCGTGATGCCTGCCAGGCCCAGCCTGCTGGGTACGTTGTTGTGCTGAACACCTTTACTGCAGAGTGACTGACAATCGACACAGTGCCGGAGCCGAGTATGTTCCTGGACAGGGCTCCGTTGATGAATACCTGAACAAAGAGAACTCTCTCCGGAAAGCTGCCCAAACCGCAGGCACTCCCGAAGGTTACACCAAGGCCTTTACCAATCTTATCGGGTCCACCGAACAGATTGGCTACTTGACCTACAAGACTCTCGACACTTACAGCCCTGATGAGTGTGCCGCCTTCTGCAACAGCGAGAAGTACTGCCTTGGTTTCAACCTCTTCTTCGAGCGCGACCCCAGCGTCGACCCCGGTGAGGGATGCAGTGACCCAGCGCCCGTCACAAACATCAAGTGCTCAATCTACGGATACCCCGTGGCTGAGGCATCGGCCACCAACCAGGGCCAGTACCGTGGTGACTTCCATGTTGTTATCACTGGCAGCAACGGTAAGCTTTCTAACCCTGCTCATCGCCCTGAGTACTCCTTACTAACATATACTCAGGTTACTCCAAGGCCGGCAAAGGAGTCTGCAAGCCCGCCCCTACCGTCGAGGGCTTCAACGCTCCCGCCAACCTTCCCGCTGCCATCAACGCTCCCTTGATCAAGAAGCAAGGCAAGGACTACGACACCTACAACGGAATGCGTCTCTTCAACACCAACCCCTACGACCCCAGCCTGTGCGCTGCAGCTTGCGAGTCGCAGACCCAGTTCGACAAGGAGCACCTTGCTGACGCCAACGGCGAATACAAGCCTTGCAACTTCTTCACCTCTTACATCTTGACCAAGAACGGTGTTCCTCTTGGTACTTACTGCGCACTTTACACTCAGTACTGGGATGAAAGCTATGCCGTCAACACTGGCTACTACTACGGCGACGATGAATACTCCGTCATCTGCGCTGCTTCTTACACCGATAGCACACCTGACTCTGGAAAGAACGAGGCGTAAGCTCCTGCGGCTTCTTGTTAGGGGATAAAGCAAGTATGTGATGATCTGATGGAGGATAGAATGTCTTCAGCTTGTTCCTTGTTAGCTTAATGTTCTAATCTAATCGCTATGCCAACACATCTGCTTCCGTGCTTGCTTCGGCATCTGAACGAACTTTTTGTCACTGCTTTGACCAAGTCTATGTGATGATCTTTGATGCAAAACAGCTTTGGTGCGATTTGGTATATTGCTTGACAATAATGTCCCCGTCTACTTCCAGTCGCCCCGGAGCAACTCAGCAGACACGGAAAACCACAGGGAATACTTGATGTTCCTTGCTTAATAATCCTGATCGTCGCTGTGGCGACGGTTGGCTGGGTTTTTAGGCCCTTCCCACCCGGCACTAGTTTCTGACATCGTGCATGTCAGAACGTCAGAATGCACGACCACTCCGCAACTCTTTTCTGAACTTGTCAAGCCGTGATATACAGCTTTCTCCACATGTACGATGATGACAATTCATGAGATTGTAAAGCAGTTGCAATATTAGCACTGAATTCTGGCTAGTGCGTGGCTTTCGGCAGCCATCCTCTTAAATCGCGGTAGGGTGCAGGATCAGCGGCAACTCAGATGCCGAACAATAACCAGATTGTTAGTGGAAGGATGGTATAGGAAGTATATAAAGAGATGCGCCGCTGAAGAGGAAATATGTCAACCAGCCCTCGATCAACTTCGACTCTCAGCATCCACACGCACGCAGCACGATAGCTTACAATCACTCACTGATATCTCATTCCGACATCCATCTCTCTCCCACATTGTTCTATCAGTACAGTTTGAGAACATGTCCTCAAAACCAAGCGTCGTCATTGTTCCGGGCAGTTTCTGCCCTACAAGCATGTACGACCCTCTCGTAATGCCACTTCGTGCCAAAGGCTACGATATCCACGTTCTCGAACCACCCTGCTATCCTGCTGGCTACAAAGCCAACTCCGTTACTCAACCAAGCATGTATGACGACGCAGCTTATGTCAACGAGTTTGTGAGAAAGCTCGCAGACGGTGGAAAGGAAGTCATCCTACTTGCGCATAGCTATGGTGGTAAGTCCTAGATTTTTCATACCTTTTCTGATAGATGAAGGAATGACTAATGCTGATATCATATAGGTTGCCCAGCAACCGAGGGTATCAAAGACGTAACGAAGAAAGAGCGAGAGCATCAGGGCAGGACTGGTGGTGTGGTACGCCTTGCGTATCTCACGGCCGCCGTACCACGTGTCGGCGAATCCTGCGGTCAGGCCCTTGCACGCGAAGAGAGTGCCCCAATCGAGGTTGATACAAACGGATGGGTAACGCAGTCCGATCCTGCCGCTACAGCGTCACTTTGCTTCAACAACCTCACGCTGGAAGACGGCATCTCGTACGTTGCCAAGTTTGGCAAGCATCACGGTGCTTGTTTCGGTGACGTACTTACCCACGCTGGCTACAAAGATGTTCCTGTGTCTTGGTTATTCGCAGAAGAGGACCTTATCGTTGTACCAAGGGTACAGCAAACTGCCATCGATGTTATCGAGGGAAGTTGGGTCGGTACAGAGAGGGACGGGATGAAGGTGGATGTTACCAAGGTCGCCTGCGATCACTTTCCCCTCGTTCTTGATGAGAAGAGAGAGCAAGTGAGTGTTTGGATTGAGGGCCTTGTCGAGAAAGGAGGCCGCGAATAGTTACGCGTGGTGAGCCTTTACCGCAGTGGAAACGAATAAGTTCCAATGCTTGAGCAACTGGCTTCTGGACACGTCAATCGGATGTGCTTGTACAGTGCATATATAGCGTAGCATGTTATCTCAAAGAAAGTTCTTGCCCCATCTTCCTCTCTATCAATGATCTCTTCTGAATGCCACAGACGGGCGCACCAAGGTGCTGAGACGGTGCCTCAAACATCTAATCCCAATCTCCATGGTCCTTGAACTGCAAGTATACTCAACTTGCCACAAGTACCGTGAGAAAGATTGCTCGTCGTTCTCCTGGCGATGTATGCACAGGCTCTCCTACAGACGAAGCAGCTAGACTGAGTGGCTGTGTGACGGAGTTATGTGAAGCTGAAACGGGCTCACGGAAATCTGCCTCGATGCGGTATGGGGGTAAGATAGCATTAGTATGGTGTTGAGTATACCCAAGACACGGGATATTTTGTCGCTCGCATGTCTATGCAAAGATTAAGCAGAACTGGAAACTGACGACCGTTCCGAATATCTGGGGCGCTTCTAAGACACTCTTTAGGGAATGTTCATTTGCGTAGAGCGTGAGGATTAAACAAGTAGCCCCAAAATTTGCACGCACCTGACCTCTTTTCGACTTTCATTGCCGCTAGCTTTTGTCACCAATACGCACTGTCGCAGAGCGGTTATCAGGTAGGGCTGAGACGTAAGCGCCTGCTTGATGGGGATGCCTTGAAGAGTGCAATGTTCCGAGGCAACAAGGCGGAGCCAGGCGTTTGATCTGAGAACCAACAAGGCATGAACGCATATAACTGAAACAAAGAATCGATGCCTTGGGATGGATATGCAACAAAACAAGGTGCTGAGCGTACTGAAGATGCGAAAACAAGATCTGGAACTTTGCGGCGTATTCTGGAAGGTTGACTTAATGCGTTTCTATCGTGTTGAGTGTGATAAGAAACAACCTGCTGTCCTCCATTGGTAAAGACCTTGACTTCGCAACGTGAGAATGATTTGCGCGACGATACGAGTCGCCGTTCCAAACCTCAGTGTATAGCTATCGCAACATGCTCGTTCGAGATGGACGAAGAACCACGCATTTCCGCTATCCGCGCCACACTAAGCAAACGATTCTGAGTTCCGTCTCGTCCCTGTTTTCGTGAACTCTAGCAAGCGGGATGTCGGAATCTGGGTGTCGTTTCAACACCAACTTGTAACCGATGGTGCGGCAGAAATGCGAAACAAGCCCGCATTAACACCATCGCCTTGGGCCACCCACCTAATTAATACACGGTCAACGCTGTCGAATTCATATAAGGAACTTGTGTAGTTAGCAGGCTTGAAGTTGCATGACTATCGCATTGCTCAATCAATTCGAATCCAATCAACAAAAAACCAATCATTCACCTTCTTTGTGCTTGTAAAAGGCCCCACGATCGTTACTGCTAAGCCTCCCTTACTCTAAACATGCGCGTCAGTATTGCAATTGTCGGTGCTGTGGTAGCTTCCGTTGCTGTTGCGTCACCCATCACATCGTCTTCGCCTGTGTCGCGGAGACAAGGTCCTCCAGGGCCCAAGGGATCCATGGGAGGACCTATGGGACCGGGCGCTGGTGTCGCTGGAGCAGGACCTTGCCCGGTATGTCGCACACTCACCATTATATGTCATGGAGAGAATGTGTGCTGATTGCGTGCGCAGATGAACTGTTGGAACGAAGCCGCAGTGGTAGCAGGCTGCGATCCCAACGCAGACGACAGCTGTCTGTGCGGACCTTTCTTCGATGCCGTAACGTCGTGTTCAGCGGCGACATGTAGTATGGGCGAGAACCTTGGTACGTTTCCCTTATTCCTGCCCACACCTTTGGATGCGAAAGTGCTAACATGTGCAACAGCAGCGTTGAGCTTTCTGAACCCTGCTTGCGAGTAATGAGGAGGAACAGTTCGCCGCAGATGACGATGTGTATGATAATGAGCGTATCGTGGGCTCTGAATATATCCAACAGAAATGGACAGACTGTCGATTACGTGTGACGTTGAGGCCAGGTGTATGCCGTACGCAAGAGGACGGAGAACTAAGAACCAGTCGCTTTCTTTCTTACAGTCCTCCAATGAACGATTTCATGACAGAACGAAAATATGTTTCCACCCCAAGGTGCAGCGATAATCAACAGGTGTTGTGGTTTCTGTGCAAGAATTCATCCTGCTCCTGAGAACCCTCAGCTGGGTCTTTGGCCAGAGTGAAGGGAAGGCGATGGTACATAGGCCGACCCAAGCCGAGTTGCCTCGAAGATCTTCCTCTTTCTGCATATCTCAACATGTTGTCCCAGTGTCTGGCAAAGCGCCGACAAAGCAATCCGAAAGACCAGCATCAGAAGTGGATGACGCGTCTATCTGCGCTTGGCAAATACTAAACTCGAGACAGTCAAGCCTTGCCGAGATCATCAGCTCAAATCACTTCACAAAAGCGTGATATTGGGGATTCTCGCATTGCATCGTGAGTTTCGGAAAAACTTCGCAATCGTCTCCCGGGCATCCAGAAAGAGGAATCCTTCCTCATCTCTCTCCGATACGACTTGAGTCAGCGTCACTTTATCGTCTCCACATCTTCTGTATCGACTTTCCTTTTCAGCCACCGGAACTTCATTTTCGCGCAATACACATCGCTTGCAGCTCACATATATCCTGGAGACGAGATCGCCGAGACAGATGCAGCGCCGTTATCGTCCCCACAGACCCTGAAAGTCCTGCACGTGGGTGCCATTTGAGCCGCAACGCAATATTTGACCCATGCTCAACCCTGGTCGCCGTGTCCGCACTACTTTCTTGGGTCAAAAGTGTTCCGAAAAGGATGAATTCGACGCGGTACATGTCGAGGAGGTATTTCACCCGCAAAATGTTGGTGGCGTTGTACTTAGCCCGAGGTACAGTCACATCCTTAGTTTTTCCGGCCAGTCTCAAAAACAGAGAGAAGAAAGGTAGAATTCTTCCGCGTTTGGACCCGCGGTATCTCGGACCGGCATAATTACGCGTCTTAACTTGTCTGGGGAAGCCCCTTGCTTGAACGGCTGGAGAGCTGGAGAGGTTCGAGGCCTCGACATTGGCGGCGTGGGGGTCATTTTCACATGTCGGGGGGCTGTAAGCTCTGAAGACGCTGTTGAGCTCCGAGATGGTGATGCCTATACTAGTGATGATGATCTGACGACATGCAGGTATCTCAACAATATGCCTTGCCTTACCTGTACACCTCACGGTATCGTAGCAGTAGATTGCATGTGCAGCGAGGCACGCCGCTATCATGTCACGGTCGGACCATCTCGAACCACCGACGTGTCGTCCAGAAATACTTTGGTACATTGCCCCTCCTCAATTAATTTGAAGGAGTAGTAGCTTGGGCGTTTGGTACATGCGTTGAGCAATCTATCCCAATGTACACCCATTCTCTCGGGTATCCGCGACATTGGTCGGGTAAATACGAATCTAGATTAAACGAGTATATGTAGCGTTGCGCCTTGATGCGCCGCAGAAGTCGGTTATTGAGATAAGAACAGCGGTAAGAGGTGATCGGACGTATATGGTCCGCGATGCACATGCGATGCGCGGTCGCTTAGAGCAGCGTGCATGTAATTGCAAGACTCCGGAGACAGCTGTCAGACTGTTGCCTTGATTGTTGACGGTATTCTCAGGTGTGAGAATCAGGCTGCGTCATCATGAAGTGAGACCAAGACTTGCGATCCTGGAATCTAGCGTGTCATGATAGTTGCATAGTGTCCTTCTGTGCGGCTTGGTAGGCGGTACAAACGGCTGTCACGGGACCACACATCCGCGATATGGAGTGCAGAAGCCCTCCATCGTTATGCCGGAGATGTAACCTCGACTCGTATGTGAAGGCATTGGATGGTTGGCGAACGAGCGGCCCAAGCTGCAAAGCATCTGTGCATCGCCCTTGCGCAGGGCACCGGAAGCAATATATATTACCGTCTAGATAGAACCGATCTGCGGAATAAAGTGTTTGCGTGGACCTGGTTGCGGTCGCTTAAGTGCAGTACCAACAGCCTGGTACGGCACAGTGTTGGGTTTAGATGAGAGAGCGTTGTGCTAGATCCTGCATCTCGTATGCTGTGCAAGTGCGGCTGACCTCAACGAGCACTCTGGAAACCATATTTCAAACCTTTGAGGGTAATGTTGCCCCTGCATGGACGGAGGTTGAGTCAGAAAGGGTGAATCGAGGCAGAAAACGTGCGACGAGCTTTCGATACCCTCGGCTGACACGGAGCAAGGGCGGACGGAAGGATATTGGCGTGTGAGACCGACAATGAAACTCCCCCGGATGATTTCGATAGCGAGAACTGCGACTGAGCATTGTTCACTTGGCTCAGTTCTGCTTGGCTTTGAGCCGCATCGGATCGGAGAGGATGCCGGTTGTGACGATGCTAGTCAAGTGCTGCCTCCGACTGCACAATTGGCGGAAACCCAGCTGTATCGGGAAGTATATGCGATGATCGAGATGTAGAGAAGGGATCCTCTCCACAGTCCACGACACCTCGTCCTTCCCTCTGACTGGTGCATTTACTGTCGGCAGCATGCATTCCTCGACGCGAGTACGTTTGCACAAGTGATCCACCCCCAAGATACTATGTGTGTGACTCGCATGTCGCCAGCCTTAACCGCCGCGATTTCCTGCTCAGGCAGGTCCGGATTGCCAGTGTGGAGACCCCACAAGTAAGCGATTCTGGTACTTAGGATGGATTCGCGGCCTGGATGGGCGGCTCTAGAAGCTCGCTAGACGCCCTTTGCTATGCGGTCCCGAGTCAGCAAGCAAGGGGCGGAAGGCTTAGTAGAGTGTGGTATTTGTCCCGCCGGCTGTGTTCTCTGGGGTGAATGGAGAGTACCCTCGGAGCCCGGTTGCTGCTAACGTCGCGCGGCTGACTGAGACACTTTTGTGGGACAGAAGTTTGTCTTCCCCTTTGTCGTGCGTTATCTTTGCTTTTCTGGGCTGACAAGAAAGAGGGGCGGATCTAGCTGCCAAGTCGACATCGGGACAAGGCGTGCGAGCTAAGGGCCCACGATGGTCAGGTACGTGAGCAGATTGGCGTGCACTGCACTTCTGTAACGGGTAACCCACGGCGGAGCTACGTCGACAATTCAAAGCATGTGCCGGAGTCGCGTGGTAATGCTGAAGCTGCTTGCCAGCTCCATCCTCCTGCAAATGTCGCCGTCTGGTTGCGGCGTGCTGGTCTGGTGCGTCTCGCTGCTCGAAATGCAAGCCTACTGTTGGTCGTGTTGATAGGTGTTGTATACAGAGACGTATGTATCTTCGCTTCGCGCCCGCCGGCCCGACATTGTTCAAACGCCGCAATATCTAGCGCTCAGCCAGCGGAGAAGATCCCGCCAGACCTGCCGATTCGCACACTCGAGACTGTCACGATCGTCATCGCTGTGGAGTAATGACGGCGCTGCTGCACTCTGCAGTCCGGGGTGCATGCCCAGGTGTACCAGAGATGATCGCCTCAATCAACCGGCGGGAAATAAATGTGACGAGTGAAGATAGGCTGTGGGAGTTTCGCACTTGCAAATCCGAGACATACAATCTGACGAGTCGCTTGGAGGCTGTCGAATCGCATAGTCTCACATGGAAACGCGGCGTCTGCCGATAGCCAAGTCGCGATTCGTGCTGTGGTGAGGACCAGAGATAAGCCAGCACGATTCGATAGATCCCCGCAAGGATGTCACCCAGCCAAAGCATCTCGGAGATTGCCAACGTTGTTGATTCTGTCCATTTGGCACCAAGGCGCCTTCCGGTTTCGGACTGCGACAGTGAAGCATGGCAAGCGCCACTATTATTGCGTGTGCCACGTACTCCACAGTCTGACTCCTCCCATGTTCCGTCCTCTCCGCAAAAAAAAACTTTCAGGGCCCTCGTGTCATCGCTCTGCTAGCGCCAGTACCGCAAGGTGTGCGTGCCAGAGTCGTCATGGGTCGGAGCTTATCGCACAATGCGGAAAGGGACAAGAATAGCTATTAGCTGCTCACACAAGATGAGTGAGCAAATGAAACATGTCTGGATATGTTGGGTGGGAGGGTGGCTAGCCTGCCTCTCCTCACCGCACATTTGCCCTACCTGCTCCGGGGTAAGACACCATGCGTAGGAGAGGATCGTGTTCGGGACAGAGTGTGGTAGTACCAGACAGCGGAATGTGGGGAAATGCCGGTCTTGTTTGAGTGCTGTTGGTCCGACCCGTATCGTAAGATTTGTTTGTGGGTGTACCAGACAATCGACAAAACTTATCTGCGGGGAAACACTGGGCGTGGTGGTTGGGCAGTGTGGAGAGATTAGAAAGATAGGCTGGAAAATTCCACCTTTCCGGGTTGTGTATGCAAGTATGCTTGGTTCCCTGCTGATGATTCTCGTTACTTGCATCACCATGGTGCTAAATCACGTCACGCATAGCGACATGCTTCACCCTAACATAACCATCTCGTAATTACATGCTCAAATGCAGATAGAGTGACTAAGTGTGGATTGGTATTTCAATTAAGCGCCAAGCTGGGGGATACTGTCTAATCATCTCGGCACTGCGAATAAGCAGGCGCTTCCCTCACAACAGCCAGGCCGATGAAACAAGGCTGAGTGGAACTTATACAAGATTGCGAATCGCCAGATGCGGCTTCGCGGGGTATTGGATCCAACAAAACAAATAAGAAAGGTCTATCTGGGTGGTGGGGTCTGCGATGTAACAGAAATCGTGAAATGCCGCAAGCATTACTCCTCATGAAAGTTTGTCCATGTCTAATCTCATCGCTTGCTAACGTGAATGACGGAATGCGAAAATGCTGATAGAGAACGCCGATGCCATGCTAGTGGAGTGGAGTGGAGTTGAAAGTTTTAGTTGCGATGCGACAGGTCCTCACCGGCTAACGAAGCAGTCGCCGAGGAGTTGCCGGAGGAGAAGCCGCTATTGCTCGGGCCATTGAGGAGATCCTGGACGGCCACCTTGGGTACTTGTGGAACCGGCAGTTTTCGCTGGGCGCCCTCTGGTTTTGAGATGATGTCGCCTATGCGCAACCCGGAAGATTGACTGGGCACGTAAGGTTGTTCCCGATCTGTAGATGGCTCCATGGGCGCCAAAGCTGGTACGAAGTTCTGGTTTAAACTCAGATGACGTAGATGAGGAAGCTGGAGGTCATTGAAGCCGTGCGGGCGTAATCTGGGTGAGTGCGCAGGAGTTGCGAGTGGGGTGTGGTCAGGAGTGGGGCTGCAAGAATCGTGAGAGAAAGTCGGCGAGGGAGGAGCAGTCGACGTTGGCGAGCCTGGTCTCGACTTCTTTGTCATACGGTGCGAGTACGGGTCGTCATCCTCGTGTGAATGAGATCTTGACATTGGCTGCGACGAGTACGCGTACTGAGAGAGGCCAGGCAGACGGCTGGCGTAGGGATGGTAGCCGCTCGTGATGTGGTGTCTACTTGAGTGCGAGTAGTGACCAGGGCGCTGCTCTAGTCTTGAGGCTGCGTCTGCCAGCAGATCCATGGGGCGGGATAAGCCGCTGGGGCTGTTGCTGTTACTGCTGTTGAAGCCGCCCTGGTGGTACGCTGCCAAGTCGTTGCCCATGTTTGGCGAGTAGTTGGAGAATGAGTGAGGAGGTGACACATTCGGTGAGCCAAGCTGAGAGCCTGGAGCACTGCGGGAGATGGGCTTGGATGGAGGGGGCATCATGTGCGCAAGGCCAGAGCCAGGCTCCATAAGGCCAGCTTGAACGGCGGCAACAGCGGCCTGGTGGGCAGCGGCATGTTGCTGGCCCTTTCCCCGCCGTGAGTTGGGGTTGTTGTGTATCCTCGAGTGTCTATGGAGAGTTAGCTGGAAGTTGGCAGGACGTGGTTGCTGTGACATACCGAGTAAGTTCGTCGGAGCGAGAAAATCGCTTTGTGCAGCCGGGGAAAGTGCAGGCATGGGGCTTCTCTCCAGTGTGAGTGCGAATGTGGCGAGTCTGATGTTCCAGACGGTGGAATGCCTTGTCGCAGAGAGGGCACTTGTAGGGCCTGGGGAGATCCTGACGGGGCTCGTCCGACTGCTGCGGGGCGTTTTGCAGCAGAGGAGCCATGAGGCTCACGGTAGCAGTAGCCATAGAGTTGGAGTGTTGGGTGGTAGTGGGTAGTTGGTGCTGTTGTTGGGAGGACGTGTCGGGGTTCAGCAGGTTGGCGAAACCTGTCGAGGCAGAGTTGGATTGCATGTGACCGAGGGTGAAAGTTTGGGGAAGGGGGATGATGGGGGGCTCGGATATATGTATGGATCAACGAGGCGGGCGTGTGGGGGTCGACTGATGGCCGTCAGGGCTGTCTGTGCTGACGCGGGCGAGGATATGCCGGAGCAAGCGCAGAAAGAAACGCGGTGCGCCAGTGCGGCTTGGCTTCCTTCGGGGGGCGCTCGAGTCGTGGAGACGTATCAAGAAATGCGGGCCCTTGAACGCTTGCGTGATGGCTTGCGGAGAGGAGCGTGCAGCGGGTGCAGGGAGCTGCTGGAGCGAGTCCTGAGTGCGTCCGAGGCCTTTTTGGGCGGGCGCGGGTGAGATGGGGGATGGGATGCTATGGCGCAGTACCCAGCGGAACTTGCCTTGGGCCGACGCTGGTTTTGATGGCGCAGTCGCCGGTGGAGCTGCGACAGTTGGTTGAGCGCACGATGCAATTTGCAATCGTGAGAATTCTGCAGCTGAAATTTTGCAGCGGTGAGTGTCGGCGAGAGGTTGCAGAGGGCTACAGTACAGGTGTGCGCAGCAGACCGGGGCCCCCAAACTCTCGTGATGAGGCCAGGACACCGAGTGGGCGTACGTGGGCAGAGTGAGGCAGCAGGTCAGATGGTGCTACGTCGCTGCGGAGAGGTGGGCGGGCGCTGCGGTGCGAGTGATGGGCGCCGCGAAGCTGGGGCACAGAGATAAGGAGACGGCGGCCTTTGTATGGGGTGCTCGAGACGTCACACATCTGGGGTTTGTTTGTGCTCCCGCATCTCATGGATGCGCCTTCCTCAGCGGCCACAGGCGCTCCTTCCTCAGCCATAGGTGCACCTGCCCCTCGTGGCCCTGACTCCTCCGTGCCTGCCTACACCGCAGCACAACACCACGGAATTCACCTACCCTCAGGGATCCGGCCATGCATCCCCGCTGCTGTTACTTGTGCTGAGCGCTTCCGCAATCACCTCCACCCATTGGCCCTGGCCGACGACCACTAACGCTCCCCAACACACGCAGCACACCTGATTTACCCACTGGCTTTGTTCGCGTTCCACCGCAGCCCGGGGGCTGATCCAAGACGCGTCCATGGCTGTGGGGGATCATTTCCTGGGGTACGGCAGGCACAGCAAGCAACAGTGAGCCACCATGTCGCCCCGAGACCCCTCGTTGCAGTGCCTCGCACAGCATCGCAATATCTCTCGCAGCATCTACACACCAGCACATGCGCAGCGGAGTAGCCCCGTGCTACCGAGCCGGCCACCTTGCCTTATACTACGGCCCGCCTTCTATGCGTCTTCCCGGCCTGTGCACTCACACAGTCACAGATGAAGATGCGAGTCGGTGAACCAACGCAGGGCGAGGGCGATCTCTGCCGAGACGTGCCCAAAACTGACGATGCATCGGCAAAAGCAGCATCAGCATGGCTTCACCATCAGCTCATACTGTGCGACGAGTTTTCCCTACTCCGTACTTATCGCAGCCCCTCGCTGACTAGTGGTCTCCGCCTCGGTCCCGCAGCCCATCTCCGCTGCTCGTTATCTCCAACGCACCCTGCCGTACCCCTGTGAGTGGCTTTGCAGCAGATCGTGGGGGACCTTTGCAACGGACCGGCGGTCCCGAACATTATGACGCCTACTTCCTTGGTATTGTTGCCAATGTGAGAACTGCTTCACGGCTCTAACTACGTCCCTTAAAGTCGCCGATGCCGTCGCAGAGCACTGATGCAAATGCTACGCTGCAATTTCAACATCGGGTCCGCTATTCTTATCTCTTGTTCGAGAAATTTTTGAGTACTGCTAGCCCTTCGATAGCTCGCCCCGCTTTGTGGCGCTTCCTCCGAGCGTACGCCTATGCCGAGCCGACAGAAATTTCTCACGCCAGCAGAGCCAGGAGCTGTTTCTGTGGTAAACGTGGCATCGGAGATTCTCGGAACGCATGTCGCTGGAGTTGTGGCTCCGCTCAATTCCACCTCGGTGACGTCTTAGCTGCTTCTGGACCTCCGATATGCAAGGTACGCCTTTGTGGAAGCTTTTGTAGAAGCACTGTCCTTCCAGACGTCACAGTGCTAGACCCGAAACCAGCACAACTCCAGCTTAGTTATGCCGACGTTCTTCCACCATGCGTTTCGCTCGTGAAGACAGCGAACGTCGGCCGAGGCACAGTTCCAAGCAACCTCTGTCCTGGCAGATTGCCATCTGCGACGTCGGTCGGACCAGTGCCCGTCGACCTTCCAATCCCCTGGGTGACTGACAGCTGTTGCGCAGTGGGACCAGTTCTGCCAGGGTTTTACCTTCTCATCGCCCAGCGAGACCTGACACTCACCAACTGTTGCAGCGCTTAATGACTTCAGACTGGAATTCCCAGGGTTTCTTTGGCCCATTGTACTGACGTGTTTCGCAAGTCTGGAAGACCCCATTACGCGTCAAAGCCAACAGTACCCGATAGTATCGGTTGATCTACGGGTCGGGCTCTGGGGCCCCGCACCGTTGACAGTGGCTCATGGACCGAGACGAGGCGAAGGCGATCCAGGGGTTTTGTTTCGATGATACCGCCACCTCATCAGATCCGACCTTCTCTGCCTAGACTTACCGTAGTGGCCATGTTGTTCACTACTCGATGTCAGTCTGTCGTCTTCAAAGATAGTGACAAGACGCAACGACGCGACGACCCCAGTACATCACGCCAAGCTTCGGTGGCAATCCCAGTGCACAGATGGTGGGAACAGATTACGAATGCTGCATAGCTGGGGTTGACATGGACCGATGGCGGAATTCGAGGTCTGCAAATTTCTTTAATGCAGTCACCCAACATGAACAAATCTCCAGTCACATGTCGATCCTACGTCAGACCACGATCTCCACAAGTCTGCATAAAGATCGTCGTCTTGTCCGCAATTGCTGCGCTTGACAAACTCAATAGACCTCCTATCGCAATTATTGAGCGCTTCTCCAGGCTCTAATTCCCCAGAGCATTTCACTAGCAACCCCTCATGGATCTACGAAGCCCCGATCGTGATCTTGGGAACAATCAATCGGATGCAGCCCGCGGATGAAGGGAGAATGTCGATCTGCCTTTAGCCCCGGGGAGATTCGCGTTATGCCAGGATGATCGCAACTTCTGAGGCCGGGGATAGAGTTACTTACACGAGGGCCGCTGCGAGGCTCTCAGCTGTACAGTGATGAGGATCAACACAGAAGATGGTACACTACGGAGGCTTCCAGTCTTTGGTCGATCGGAAGTGGCCTACCAATTGATATAATGGGCTTTTCGTATTCACGAGCACGATTGACAGACTGGGGATGTCCTTAATTGATGGCTTGGTCCCTCGTGACCTCATCCTCTTTCTGTCCGTTCGGGTACTATAGAGCCACATAGTACTGTTTCGGATGTTAATGGTCTTTGTTTGAGTGCACGCTATTACGCCGGCCTGGTTTGTCGATGGCGAACGCGTCTCGCATATCTGCCCGCGCAGCACTGGAGTTCATTTCATGCTTGAGCTGTTGTGCAAGCGCCTATGTTGATATGAGCTGCGCTCAGTACCAATCTTGGATGGTTCTGGTGTCTTTCCGTTCCGCTTGTCGCGGGAGATAGAAACCCAGTCAGCAAAGACCTTTGTGCATACCCACTTCATGTCGAACTTTAGTCCGTATGACAACTGAGCCAAGGCGCCTGCATAGCCATAGATCGGCTTCCGCTTGTTAACTTTGACACCTTTGTGTTTAACAGGACCAAAATGTGCACTCGGTGCAAAGTCTTACTCAACTTTGTTTTACTAGCGACTCAGCTTCGCACTAGTGTTTGCGTATGGTCTTGCACTATACCTATCTATCCCTTACGTCCTTAAAGGCTAAGGCAACAATAATCGTTCAAGAAAGGTAGCAATCGATAAAGTATGTTTTGCTACACGATCTGCATGTTCCTGCGGTGCAATACTGCCCTCGCTTCTAAGCGCGTCGATTCGCATGCTTGTTGTAATACCACCAGAGCACTATGTTATAAACGACAAAGCCATGCGGTGTCTTGTAGCAGCCAGATGCATCTAAGTCAGGAGCACATCTTGTTCATAGGCGGGTTGCTGACTACCGGTACTAGCAAATGTACAGTAAAGGCAATACAGGCCGTGGTATCATGTGTCCTATACGCAGCAAGCATCAATGCCGCCGGCCCATACCCGTACAGCGCGTAATTACTATCAGAAACGAAACATTCGGACAATATAGTAGGTACTACTAATCGCATTGACACCATTCACTAGCCTCTCCTTCCTAAAGTTCAAGTTCGCCATAACATGCATCGTGCAGAACAACATACGAAGTCACCATCACCATCCTCCAGTGTGCACTACGTTATCTCGGACACCGTTACCCGGCCAACAATACCGTTACGTACGCACGCCGTCTTCCTCTGCACCTCCTTCCACGGATTACTCGAAGAGGCAGCACCGTTGCAAACCTCCAAACATCAGATTCAGGATCAACACCACGATCCCCACATCAGGCGTCCAAGCGAAGCGAACATCTTGCTTCACAGGCGGGTCGGCCCCGGATACCGCGTGTCAGTCGCCCGCTAGGGCCGTGAATGCCGTCTCTTCACGCAGCCTCCGCCTCCATCAGGGCAAGGGATCAACGGTGACCAGCGAAGCGTAGTGCGTTTGTGGAGAAGCGTGGGGAAGGAGTGACATTGCACGGTTGATACTAAGGCAAGGACCTTCTGCATCTGGCGTTAAACGAGGCCCCTGCTGTTGGTGGAGCCGATGATATGCGTTGAAGCTGTTTCTGCCTGGTATGACATATGCTGATTGTTGTGGAAAGAGGAGATCACCATCTCTTGTGCAGTTTGTGTGGCTGACTGGCGGTGAGCAAGTAAATCTAGATTTCGTTCACGTATGCGCCCTTGGCGACAGGACAGTAACATGAACTATCGCTTGCTGCGGAGTCCACATTGGAAGCAGGTGCTTCTCCGGCAGGATTGTGTAGTTCGCTATGCTCCCCGTGGGGTAATCAAATGCGATTGTATCAGTGGCTTGCTATAACACTGTCGCGAAAATGTCCATCACATGGTCAGGTGGTCTGCCACGAGCAATCAGAACGTGAAACAAGCAGGTAGGTGGCAGCCCCCACGCCCAGGCGACACAGCAACCCCGCTGACCCCGGACTCGCGAAGCCTCAAGCCATCATCATCCAAAAGAAGCACGACTTTTGCCGGTGAGAATCCCAGGGCTTTGGGTTTGCGGGCGCTTCCCCGATCCCTGTGAGCACCGGAGTTCCGGGGTGATGCATGCACGTGTAAAGGCTGATGAGGCTTGTGTTGTGCATTTGCTTTTTGTTGCTTTTCGTGGATACCGCTAGCCTGGGGACGACACCCATAGGCTCTGTGTCCGGATTTGTATAAGTGGAGGACGGATGCGAAGCAAATCTACCGCCGGAAGAATACGTACATGCCCGAGCTGGATTACGCGGAAACGAGAGTGTTTGACCGTAGCGCGCGGAGACGCATCTCGGTGCTGATGTCAGAGCGCTTCGAATGCAGGCGAGCATGCGGGTTGGTGCGGAGACAAGGTGTGGGTGTTCATTCCGGGGTGCACTGTATGACCCCACACGGCTGAATAGCGAGACCCATTCCCGCGGGCCGGAGGCCTGTATCATCGGTGGAAATGCGAGATCTACGTTCTAACTGGTAGATTTGTCAGTTTCTAGACCTTGCATATGAAGAGAAGGGAGATACATACGAGCTTACCCCAGATGTAAGCAGAACACGTCTGATGAGCAACGCGCGTCGCGACAGAGCAATAACTTGGCGGGTCTTGACTGTGGCAGAGGTGTAGGGTGGACTATTGCCTCTACAATCAAAGCGTAGATGTCCGTGTTACCTTCTTCTTATGGCCCTCTGCGACAATATCTAGGCGAGGTCCCGCAGCGTCGTTCTCGTTGACGGCTGCTTCATCCATCAACAACCCCTCAGTGGCGACTTCATCGTCTTCTATCCAGCCATAGAGCTCATCAGAATTAGGTTCTCGAGCCACGTCCTCGTCGATCTCGGCGAAGGATCTTTTAGGCGGTCTGGCTTCTGTTGGGACGAACAGAGGGGTTGCAATATCGTCGGCTGCTACATTCATGTCGCAAAGACCGTGCTGTATAGCGTCAGCGGGAGCTCATCGCACAGGATGTTGGAGCGCATCGTGGTAGATGAACGCTCTGCAGGTAGTATATCGACGCACATGGTCAATGGTGAAGGATACCACGTTGCCCACACTGCCTTCTTCCGCGAGAGCTACACCATTCGCCTTGACCAAGCCAGCAAATCGCGCTTTCTGCAAGCTGTCGGCTTGTACCTTGCTCTTGGCCTTGGCGTGTCGGGGCCAGTCTCTGAAGAGAACCAGACGAGTAGAAACGCCATTCTCCCATTCGATCCCTGATATTGCCGGTACCAACAATGCGCGTGAAGCGCCACGGATGCGTGTAATGGTCTGGCTCGTCACTAGTAGGGCGATGTCGTGCAGTGCAGCGAAGCGCGTAAGTGTGGCGATCAGCTCGTTGATGACGGTATATCGACGTCCCGCAGCCCACCGTGCCTGATCTGTCTTGTTCTTGGGTAGGCGGTCGTCGACATTGCGGGGGTATGCGTTATCGACGAGGGTTGCAAGAGAGTCTACGACGACCAGGCTGGTGCCGTGCGGAGGAAAGGCAGCGGGCGCGTGCATGAACAGCGCCAGGAAATGGGCAAGCGTCGGCATGGGCAAGTAGTGGAAATGAGCACGCAGTTCATCTCGAGAGATACCGGGCGCATCGGGTTGCGCAGTGAGCATGTCGTCGACGCGATGCTTGACCAAAGGCGCACAGGCAGCGTCTGCAAGCAATCAATTAGCCCTGGTCCGCAGTTGTGGACATATACATACCGATCCATATCACTCGCTGGCCCTCGCGCAGGGCAGAGACTGCAGCCTGTATCCTTGAACCCTTCAGCCGCCGTCTCTTGTGAAGCTGTGACGCAGGCACAATTACCCAAATGCTGTCTTGCCGACTCCGGACGGGCCGAAGATCTCCGTCACCTTGCCGCGTATGTATCCGCCCGAGACATGGTGGCCCGGTAGGCTCGGCGGTGAGAGGACCTGGTCGAGCTGTGCCAGGCCCGTCGATACAGTGCGGGCTCCGCGCGCATGGAGGCTTTGGAGGGCTTGGGATGCCGAGACGGTGGGCAGCCTGTCTGTGATAGTGTCAGTTATCTATGCCATCTGCGCGAGAGGAGCAATTGCCTACGCGACGAGGGCGACAGCTGGGGTGCTTCTTCACTGGCCATGGTGTGTCGTGGCTTGCGGTCGAGCCTCAGCGGATTGCGATGGTGGTGCGGTAGTCTCGTGATCTCGCGTTGACGTGCATGACGTTTCGCGTTATTCTGCTTGCCCTGTGCGCGATGGGGTCGAGAAAGCCTTCGTGTAGGTAGAAGGTGCGTATGGTGGGTGTTCGGGAGACTTTGTCGAGAGCAAATGCGGGCCGCGGTTTATCATGACTCGCACCCTCTCCTCACTTCCACATGCCTTGCTTCCTTCTCGCGACAAACATACTGCCCCAGGAGAGACGCGTTTTGGGTGATCTGGTCTTTCACTCGTTCAAGCACACCTGCCTTGTGTGTTCTAGCGCCGACGATATTGCTTGGGCTTATACCTTGGCATGTTTTCACGATAAGAGTCGCATCTTCGAGCTTCTAGATCTCTCCTTTGACCACACGCCACACTCCTCTCCCTAGTAGCGTGTGAACGTCTACACCAGCATGGCGGAAAATGTCGAAAACTTCGTACTTGCTGCCAATGGTATGCTCAAAGAAGCTGGCATCAACATAACACTCCAGGCAGTCCTCCTTACGACGGCATCTTGTATCGCCCCTCTGGTCTTTTTGCTTGTTCTCGCTGCCTTCAAAACACCAAAGCCACTACCTCCGCCAGCCGGTTGCAGGAAACTCAGGCTCCAAGGACGCAGTAACCTGGAGGATCAGTATTCTAAGAGATATGCCAAGGGCGGTGACCCCACTCCAGAGAAGCCATGGACGGTCAAGGCACTCTTCGTCTACCCCCTGAAGTCAGGTGCACCCGTCGAGTTGAGCAAGAGCGACATCGATCGCACAGGACTGAAATATGATCGCCAGTTCACCCTCGCCCAGCAAGTCACGAGCTTGCCCACGCTAGACGGCAAGGTGACCAGTGAATGGCACTTTATGACCCAAAGGAAATTCCCTCGCCTTGCTAAAGTCGACACTGAGATCTGGGTTCCGGATCCTTCCGCAAGAGGCTACAAAGAAGACGGAGAATGGGTCAAAAGTGAGGGATGCTTGGTCATTCGTTTCCCCTTTTCTCCCGACACCGACTTCACGATCGAGGGTCTGATCAACTATGGAAAAATCATGTTGGCAAGATTGAGTCGAAAATCGGAGCCGATGCTGGAGTTCAGAGTACCTTTCAACCCTTCGCCGGAGAGGATCAAGAGCAAGGGATATCGGAGCGAAGTTTTGCGTATCTGGAAAGACAGCCCTACTGCACTCAATGTTAGCTCGGAGATTGATCGCGAAGTCTTCGAGAAGTTGAGATATACCCTTGGTGCAGCAAATCCAATTGCGCTCTTCAGAATTGACACGAATGCGTATCGGGAAGTACACAAATGCGCGCCCAAAAAGGAGGATGTTGGATTTGAGACGGTCATTGGAATGCACGATTCGGTACGTATGGATTTTTTCAGTCATGTCTTACTATTCTTTGATCTCAGCTGTTGCCGTTCCAGGCGCCTGAATCTTGGAGATTCTGTCCTGACCTTCTACGGCATTATGATTAATAGTACTACAGTACCCGATCCATATTTTGAATCTCGCTTCGGTCCACGACGTAGCATCCAAGCTCCCCAATCCCTCTTCCGAACTTCCAGAACTCTGGCAAAGGCATCTTACCCTCCTCGACGCGCTGCGATTCCGCGCAAACATTTACATCACTGGACCTCCTGCCTTTGCCGAAGACGACTGGAAGCAGGCACAAATTACTTCATCTGATTCCACATCCTCCATGAACCTGCACATCTCGTGTCGGACGACCAGGTGCAAGTTGCCTAACGTCGACCCAAAAACTGCTGTAGCCGATAAGAACGAGCCTCTGACTACGTTGAGGAGTTACAGGGTTATCGATGAGGGGTCTAAGAATGCGTGTCTGGGTATGCAAGTCACGCCATTGGATACAGGAGCCGTCGCGGTGGGTGATAAGATTGACGTGTTGGAAATTGGGAAGCATCGATTTGAAGGAGGGGAAGGAAGGAAGGTTGACGGCTGAGCGACACCGCAAGCTCAAACGATGGAAACCGCGTAGATATCTCCAGGTACCTACTGCGGTGGAAGTAAGACTGCCTCTGTAAAATAAATGCGAGATTCTCTTGATCTCTTAGGTTCATTGGCTGTGTAACAAAGCATTTTCTCATCAGTAACCCATACCCCTCATATCATTAACCACCCCCATTTCATTTCCCACTCCCTTTCCATCTTCCAGGCCCTAGGATCCCAGGATGCGTATCCCGGCTCAATGGCCCAACTCGGCATAGTAAACAAGTCCTTGCACAGCTCTTCCTCGTCCACCACACCTATCAGCTTTATCAAACTATCCCTCATTCGCGGAAATGGGAGCCGGTCAATCCACCGCGGATGTACAATCATCATTTGCAGCTCTGTTGGATGCAGAGGTAATGGAATATGCGGCTTCGGCATGGGAGTCCGTGAGGAGTAGGTAGTAGCGCAGGAAATGCCTTGGATGTCGCCGTTTGCATAGAGTGCAGCAAAGACGGTCAAGGGGATCATGGTCTGGGCTAGTGGGGAAGGTATTGAGCAAGTTTGGGGGTAGGGGTTGCACGTTAAATCAATCTCTAGTGCGCTAGAATGTACTTCTACGTTCTGGAAATGTGGGCAGGTTGATCTCGACGTATTGAGATGCGCGATATCGTCTGGACTGGATCTAATTGCGATCTCAGATGATGTATCATTCGTGGAGGATTCCGGGCGTTGGGTTTGAGGCAATCGCGATGTCGATATGCTGGTTTCGTTTTGAGCTTGACGTAGTCGCTGCCCTACATTATATGAGTATAAAATGATGCATGCGCGATGGTCCACACATACGGCGTGCACGTTGTGCCAATCGGTCCTGTATCTGCTTCCTCTTCTTCGCATCTTGGACATTTTTCCACTCATCATCCCTTGGATCCGTTCTTCGTGCCATCGTTTTTCTACTAATAGCTTTTGAAGGCACTTATATAGGTTTCCCGCAGTTATAGGATCGAGTAGAAACTCGTGGGAATACTCCTGTAAGGCGTCCACAGTGCTTACAAATACACGGGCACTGATAAAAGAAGGCTGCACTAATGAGCATGGGTCTCGGAAGAGCGCTTACGACACTCAAAATTGAAAACTCCCACTTGACAAAGTGTGGCTCAAGCAGAGCTGACTTTCAAGTTCTCGTTGGCGTTCTGCTGCCGCGTTAGACTTGGCGATGTCTCCGACTGTCTCTACGTAGGTAGAATACGCCATCTTCACATCCCCCATTTCGTCGTATTATTCTCTAAGGACTCCAATCTTGCAATCTTTTTGAAAATCAGGAGCTGATGAATAAAGAAGGTAGAGAATAGTCAAAATGGAGAGAGACCTTGGGAGCTGGAGGCAGCCATGGTGGGGCTTCCTTTCTAGGATTGGTTGGCGCGGGGCTTAGTCACCACGGGGCCCTCCAACTCTTGCCGTTTGCTTTCAAGAATGGGTCCTGCTTCAATCAATGAGCTTTCGCAATTGTTGTGTATCATCACATACATCAATTCGTATTAGAGTTGCAAGCGCCTGTATTATGTCCTGGGATACCGTCAGCCTCTAGACATCACGCTGATCACCTATAAATGCCGCACGGCCTGAAGCCATCCTGGCTTCTAGGTCATGAGGGTTTATCACTCTCGTCGAGGCCTCTGTTCGTGTGTCTGACAAGATCAAATGCCGCGTCGAAAGCAACGAAGTCACATCACCCCGCTATTGCGAGCTCCTCAGCGTGCTCGTCCAATAGTGCGGATCCGGAATGGGCTCTCGGCAATACCTACACCGTCAACCCTGCCGAGGCATCTCGTCAATCATTCGCAACGTGGATACATAAACGAATGCGATACGCTTAACTCATCGATCAGAAAGATCCCGGATCTTACCAAGGGCGGTCTGTGGAAGATGAGCGAAGAGAATCCGTCCTTTAAGGGCTGCGATAAAACACTGCTTGCATGCACACGAAGTCGAAGGGATGCTACCAAAGAAGGGACGTCTGTGTCTCATCTTATCGCAATTTCTATGTCTAAAACCCTATGTAGGCATGTCACACTAATCCTAGATGCAGGCTGGCAAACTTGTAACGGAAACGTAGTCCCTAGTGTACTTTGAGAGCTCAGCAGCCATCAGTAGACAAGGCCTCTCCCATGTATTCTACTACATTGTGGAGGCTACTCTGTTCACCTTTGCAGAGTTCAAGACGATTGGTACAAGAACAGCGTTGTCAAGGACAGTATACGTCGGAGACCATGGCCTAGACCGATATTGCAACTGCTTTGTTGGCCTGTCGAGGATCTGGCCCGGCCATACCCGTGCAAATCTCCCGGTTACACCAACTGGTAACAAGTTGTTGAAAGTGCAGACTACGGAGATCATACATCCGTCGAACATGTTCATTCACACAACCTGGCCTGACAAATCGGCCGTCTAACTCGGGTCCACGACCGCGCACACGAAGGGCGTCGACTTGTCTATACTATACCGGCTAAAGCTGATTGAATCAAGCGGACATGCGTCCTATAGGGGTCATTACCCCGTGTTTAGGACTTTTCCAGTCCTCGCTGCGTTAGCGCCAGATCCTTCGCGACGTAACCGTGGACTCCGCCTCAAAAACGCGACAACAGATTCAACACCGACCACATGCAAGGCCGTAATGCAGGCACTGAGCCGTTCCCGTGGGTAGAAGACTAGCTCTTTGATGCGTGCTTCGACCGGAAGATCATTTCTTGGCTGCCTGCCTAGGACCTGCGTAGCAAGTAAATATCGCGTACGCAACCGAGCGACGTCAAGTCAAAGAGGGACGCTGGGAGTGGGTAAAACATGTGGACCTCCGCCACGGGCGTAAACTTGTGATCCTTCGCGATGGTCGCGTAGAGGACGGACCACTGCGTGGAAGTCTGCCTTACTAACACCATCTCCTCGTTTGAGATTAGATGTAATGGGTAAAGCATGTGGGTTGATATTTGAAGTCGTGTATATAAAGCCACGATGAGGACTTGAGATATCAACATCAGCTTTCTAGCCCTCGCTTCACCTCATCAACCACCACTCAAACACACAAACGGCTGGAAGTACCATCAAACTCATAATGTACACTCAGAGTCTCATCCTTGCAGTTCTGCCTCTTATGGCTCATGCTGTCGACATTATCCAGTTCGCCATCTGGGAAGACAGCGTTCCTAACACGGAGTGCAACCTCGACCTTGACGGCGCCTACTGTAAGCAATGTCCCCCATACAGGCTGAGTGTGAGCCAGTTACTGATATTTTACATCAATTCTTAGTTATGTGCAGCAACATTCCTGCTGAAACTTGCTGTGCGAATTTCTGGAAGACTACAAGCTCTATTCTAGGTCGCGGCCTCAACAACACCCAGGTCGATGGCCGCGATCCAGACTCATTCGCCGTATTCAACGGCGACGACGGCGACCCATGCGCCGTGACGACGGAAGGCTACTGTGGTGGTGGCGGAGGTTTCGAAGACTTCTGCTGGGCTACCGGTGGTGGTCAAGAAGGATGTGGTGCAAAGGAGACTGGAGGCTCACTCTGGCACAGTGGGGACGAACATCTAAAGGGGAGATTTGCGAAGAGGGCTGTCGATTCCGTCAAGCCCAATGTAGCTGGGATTTGGGATGCGGTCGAACGCAAGCACCGTCACTTTAGGATTGGAGGCGACGTTCCTACTGATGTCACCACAATTCTCGTCGAAGCTGTCAAAGCGAATGCAGGATACGGGTACCTGGATGAGTCGGTGAAGGCCTTTGAGATTGCGGAATAAGTTTGGTTAGGATGACATCGAGGTCTTGGACTGAGATGCATGTTAAGAGGGGAAACAATGTTGGATTGTGTGCTTACGTGTCGACGAACCTCTCCTACTTCTAGTGCGACAGTCGCTCTTTTCGGAATTTCAATTAGGCGTTACTCTTGAGACTGAATGTAACTATCCAGACCACAACTCCAGTATCCATTGCTGTTGATAAGTGAAGAGACTCGCCCACTCTTGAACGCGTCTACCATGTCTGGGCATGTCTTTCTTCCTGGGTCTTCGCTGGTATAACCTCATGACTTCATCACCTCCTAATTCGAGAAACTCATAGTAGAGATATTAGAGCTGGGTATACAACTCGGCTTGAGTCCGTATTACGGCATGCCCAAATGGGCCTCATTGCGGGGCTAACAGCACTAGCGGGGTAGCACATCGACATCGAAATGCGCGTTGGAACGTACAAAAGCACGTAGCTCTCATCGCTTTCTTTCTATCACACTTTCTCCCAGGTGCAGAGAAGATGCGGAAGTTCGAACACCAGCCCGATAAGGGAGGCCCGAAAGGAAGTGCAAGGGCCAGGGTGCAGCTACCGATAGCGCAACCAGCCGCTAAGCCAGCATCAAATGGGCCTCCGGACTCAAACAACATCACCTCATCGAGCGCCGACCCGTACAAAGCAGCTCGCGAAGCTCTCGATCGCGATGGCTTCGTGGTCTTATCGGCTTCGCTCTTCCCGTCTTTTGATCTCGACGCCCTGGGCGCTGCTGCCTCCAGCATGACAGAAGCGGCACGATCTGGGAAATGGCCATATATACGTACATTGCCGAAGCAGTTCCCACCATGGCCACAAGATCCCTCGAAAGGCATCTGGGGCGTGCAGCATCTGCTCCACCCGTCAAATCCCGATCATCTCACATTCGCAAGATCGTACTTTGACAGCGAGCTTCTGAAGTACGTCGCAGCACTAATTGGGTGTGGCGAGGACGATTTGACCATGGAATTATACAACATGCTGGTTCGACCAGACGAGGACTTCAGTCTGCGCTGGCATAGAGATGATGTCGCAGCTACCGCAACGCCTGAAGAAGAGCTCGAGCGATTGAAGAAGCCAGGGCATCACGCACAGTGGAACCTTGCACTGTACGACGACAGCAGCCTTGTACTTGTGCCTGGATCGCATAAACGCGCACGCACTGAGACGGAACGAAATGCGGACCCGTACGAAGTACACATGCCCGACCAGATTACTGTGCAACTCAAGGCAGGCGAGGTGGCCTTCTACAATAACAACATCCTACATCGCGGCGTGTACGACAGTTCGAAAGAAAGGATGACGTTGCATGGAAGTATAGGAACGACACATGCGGGGAGCGAGCGAGCGAGGAATGTGTTGCAGCACGGTGTCGGTGATTGGTAAGTATCCCATACGAACTGCGCGTGAGACATACACTGACTTCTTACACCTACGTTCAGGGCCAAGGAATACGATTTCGAGGGATTTGAACCTGACATGGCAGAAAGGGCGAAGAAGATGAGAGAGAGGCTCGTGGAGATGGGACAGAAGAGCGGAGATGTTGGCTTTTTCTCGAAGGATGAATGAGTTTACGTGATTGGAGTCGAGCTAAGAACGGTCCCGAACGATCGAGGGAGTGAATGTAATGGCGAAGGGGTTGTAATTCCTACGTAGAGTCCTCATGCTAACTTCATAGTTCTCTCTGCGTAATCGAGGAAGGTATTGAGTGGCATTAGAAGAGAATTAGAGGTACAGCGCTGAAACCTGAGGGCTGCTGTAAGGCCAGAATCTGATGATTGATGCTGTCACCTTGCCAAGTTGATGATTCGGTATCTTTCGAAGAATGGTACACATAGTCTCTGTGAGGGTGAGGCACCTGAATTAGAGGAAGGCTCCACGCTGCCGTTGTATCCCATTGTAGTTGCTCGAGTGTAGATTTTGCGAATGTTCAATATCTGTCACCGAACCTAGCCGCGGCAACGCAATCAAACAATCATGTCTGCTTCCGAGCCTTGTAGTCAGGTCAAGACGTCTAAGAATTTGCAACGCTACTATCGATAGAGGGGTAGCTCAGTGGTACAAGTCCATGGCGTTCCAGACCCACAGCCCAGGCAAATCCTTCACTACCCCTGAACGACCCGAATCAACTCAAAATGCTCCAGCTCTCACATCTTATCCCCCAATGCTTCTTCTTCGCGTGGTGATGCCGGGAATATAGTACTACCGTCTGCTCAATCCTCCATCAACAACACCTCCAATCCGCATCGGTGGTTTAGTGGTAAAATTAGCCGTTGCCATGCCTCACAGCACAGTTTCGGCTAGCCCCGGGTTCGATTCCCGGCCGATGCATTCCTTTTGCCATCCTGCGCGTCGTTGTGGTGGTGGTCCTAGGGAGGAACATGTCTTTTTGCAGACCTGCGCGGGGTCACGTGCCAGTGGGGTGCCGCCAACGCCGGATGCTTTAAGCGCCTGGCTAACAGCGGGGTAGAATGCAGGAACTCGTCAGTTGGAGTCCGCATTTTTGCCCTCTAGTCTGGCTGGAAGCTCGCACGGCAAGGACGCACAGTTCTGAGCGTAGTTATATAGGGCAGATTTCGCGACAGTCTTCTATACTTCCTAAAGAGGAGCCTTGGCGCAATGGTAGCGCGTTGGTTTTCGGCTGAAAACATCAAACACCAAAGGTATGGTTCACCGCGCCTCGAGACACCCACCAGACTCTAACAGACAACAGGTTGTGGGTTCGATCCCCATGGGCTTCGCTTACTTTTTGCTTTTTACTCCAATCGAGACGCTCCTTAAACATGCTGATGCTCTGTCTGGAGTTGCATGTTTTGTTGTGGCCGTTCTTTTTGCAATCTCCACCATCGACTCTACCTTGTCGCTTCGGGTACTGAACACGAGTCACGGCAAGCAGTTAAACATTCCACACACGCTCGTTATAATGCCAAGCAGGCTGTTGATATCTCCATCCTCCCGGTGGCAGAACGCGGGATGACATACGTGCAGCCATTGATCCTCACGTTTCAGATACATCTTTCCAACCCAGCGACCTGGTCGCGTTGCTGTCAAGGCAATTAAGACAAGCAACTTGACGCACATAAACAAACTCGCCGGGTCTGCAGCGGAAGATCCTTGCGTCATCTTGGGTAAATCAGGGTTCGGGAAATTATGATACCCGTTCTTGTCGATCCGATAACCTTGAATCTGAAACGCGGTGACCAAAGAGTGGATGCGACTCAACGGTGCATGTGGGTTGGCTCCTCAACGACACGGAGGCTGACGTGTCTTCGCAATGATGTCAGATGGGCGATCAGTGAAGAAAGTGAGATTCGACGCTGACGGGGTTGGGATCAGCGCGGAGTTTTGAGTCCTGCGCTTTCCAAGGGCTGTGGAGTATACAGCATTTGCTAGAGTAGACAGATGGTGAGCAGAAGTCCTTTCCCGCCATCGTGCCAAGTTCCCTAGCAATCAGTCATCTTTCCAATGGACAAGCATGGATCTTCCAGCCACAGATAGGCCAAGATGTAATGCATCCCTGGACCCCGACAGAACGACTATGCGAGAGGCGCCCCAGACCTAACAAAGCTGTTTGAAGCGGTCAGAATACAGCAACATCAGCGCTGCCTCCCGTCCTTGGCGGTTGACCAGCAAATCCACACAGCCGCGAACGCTACTACATCAGAGCTTTCGTGCTGAGCACTCTTCGCGTGGGTTGCTTGCAAGGATGGAACATGCCTGTGTGCTGTGGTGTGTGTTCATCGTCCCAAGAGGTCGTGTGCACCGAGCTGCACAGCTACTACACCGACAACAGGACAGCAGATCCAGTTCCATGGCGCACTGTGCATGGGCATTGGAGATCCCGCAGACAGCGGCTGGACGGCAATCGACGATCGGAAGAAACATCCAAGCGAGACGTTCAAACATCAAGCGCGTTCCAATTGGCTGTTCTGCTAACAAATGCGCAGACTACATTGCTAGTAAAGGGCTTTACCCTGTGTGACGTTAATCAGAGCAGCCACAAAAGCTTCCTCGTGCGTGCTTGGCCGGTCTAGACAGCGATTGGACGCATGTGGGGTTCCAGACGGGTAGATGAGCCAAAATGCTTGATTGGTTGTTGGTAAGAATTTCTCCCCGAATACTCGTTGGGAGTGCTCTAGGTCGATGGACGCGTGGAGACTAAACACAACGGCTACAATCGCTGGGGTGTATTGAGGTATGAAAGTGTGTTGCGCAGCTGCCGCGGACGCGGAGAAGCGTCGACATTGACATCGTGGCGATTGAGATCTGGACTTGGATACTGGCGGATGGACTGGGTATGATAATACCCCAGAGATGCAGTGGATCAGTCGAGAGCATGGGCAACCAACCAAGCCTTGGTGCCGTCGGGTCGAGAAGTCAGACATGGTGATGTGTTGACACGCACAACGATCGGTTGCAATTGCCTTCCCTGCAGTGTCCAGGATACAGCAGGCAGCTTTTGATCGGCGAGCTGGATTTGCGTCTCAGCATAGGAATAGTAATAGAGCCTTGATCGAGAGGGATGGTTCCTTGCGACGACAATGAAGTACCGCCAATTTGGGACCCTGGTTAGCTCCGCGAGAGTCAATTCTATATGCGTTGTGCTAAAGGCTAGCGCAAATGCTCCGTCTGGACGAGTCTCGGGATTCTCTTACTGCCGAAGAAGGCGAGGAAAAAAGATGCACAAGAGGACGTGAAGACGTGTGGGTGAGGGCTGGTAGTGAGCGTAGATGATTCCCGAAGAAGCAGGAGGTTTTCCTCGATCTCTCCACACGAGTCGTTGATTGGTGGTGCTGCTCAAAATAGAAGCCGCACTGATCGCGTCTTTCTGCTGATCGCGTCACCCTGGCGAGAAAAGCGGGGCACAAAAAGACATGGTGGAACGGAGAAAACCCACCCTCGAACGCCATGAGCTGCGACGCCGCGCACCACTGCCATTTCTGCACAACAGCAGAGACGGGACTGCTAGGCGTGTCTCGAGTGCGGTTGCGCAATTAGAGGAAATGATGTTGTGCCTCGACAATGCACATCAAACAGCTCTCATCTCGCTGAGCCGAGCATCCTCGTCCCGTTCCCCACGGCTTGGGGAACATCGCAATCCGCAAATTTCATCACGGGGATGCGATCCTGCACGAGTCTCGCGGAAGGCCCGACGTGGTGCCGGGACCCTCTGCAATGGTGCCATGCATGCAGTGCCGGGAGCAGGAGAGGTGGGGAGTGGTGGTAGAGCCGTGGCATCAGGTAGGCACAGTAGGAGCAGGCACGGCGTAGCAGAGGGACGGGAGACTGGCGTGCAGAGGAGCGGGGTACAGACGTGTCGGTGAAGCAGCAACATGGCGAAGGCGGGCTTTGGAGCGTCGTTATCGCAGCCCGCCAGCGACCTAACGAGCCCACCGCTACTCACCAACTGCTGCAAACGGCTGAGCCGCAGGTGCGGTGGGTCGCGCGACGCCGGGCGCGCGCTGCGGATTGGCCGTCGGGGACCCTCGCAGAGGCGAATTCGTAAGTGTTTACCAGATCGCGTCGTATCTGCTCGGCCTAAGCGCAACGCGTCGACGCACCAGCCGCGACAGGAGCTGGAGGGTTTGCAGGCAGCCGTGACGTTGGCCGGGCCTGGTGCAGTGTGCCGTTGCCATGCAGCGAGAAGCTTCCGAACGGCAGGGTGGGAATGTGGCAGGATCAACATGTGGTTAGAGGTGCAAATGGGCCGCCGCGATATTGTTGCTTATATCGGCTGCGCCCGAGCACTATATGACGGGGGCGCGACCAGGGTCAAAGTGAAGCTGGCGAGGTGAGGTGAGGTGACGGACGCTGTCTTCACAACGTCGGGGCGGATGAAGCTCAGCGGCCATCGGCTATGAAGATTTGCGTGAATACGACGAGCGGCAGCTGCCCTGGGCCACGAGCCGCGAGGCCCTGAGGCTATCCAGCAGAGGCTCACGGCATCCAGCGTCGCCCACACGCCCGCGACGGGTTGGCCGCACAGGCAGGCTGGCATAAAGACGCTGCTGCACCTGGCGAGGCAGGGCAACGTGCTCGTTGTCTGGCGTGAGGAAGTTATTGAATCTCCTAGACCTAGCCGCGCCCGTCCGTGCGTGCTCCAGAGACTAGTGCGGCCCCTTTGCCTGACAACCTCAACTCTTCACCGCGACGGCCAACCTTACCCTCCCTCTATTATTTCCTTTTCTGCTTGCTTGTTGAATCGCACGTCGTTGTCAGCAGCAGAAGACCGACTCTCCACGACCGACCAATGCAGGCTTGAACAACTGCTCGGGAGGCTTGGTACACGCTGCCATCTCCGTCGATTCACGACAGCCTTCCCAGCGCTTGACGACGTTACATTCTATTCTCTGTTTTAATACTTTGTCCGTTTTGTTTCATAGCAGGTACACCTCCCCCAGCTGCCCGTCGCCGCCCCAGGAGCCCCGACACAGGCCTGCCTGCCCCCCAATGCCCCGTCCCTAAAGGCCACGCTCTGGTCGCCTGCCTCCCGTCCGCGACCGCGGCCACCATGCCCATCGCTCCACCACCCGCAGCCTTCGCACTCTCAGAGCCCCCTGCTAATGCGCCCGCCCTCCACAGATCTTCCTTTGCCCGTCTCGGTCGCCGCTTCCTGCCGCCGACGAGCCCTCGCCCACCCCCGTCGAGCTCCTGATAGCGCTACCTCGCAGGCCTCCGATGGCTCAGGTACTCACATCAGTCATCCAGACGACAGGACCCATTACAATGCCCTACTCGCCGTCCGATGCCTACAAAAACACGCCCAACCACCCCAACCAACAACAACAGCGGGCCTCGCAGATGCCGCGCAACCAGCAAAATGGAAACTCGGGAGGCACTGGATACAGAGGGACCGCCGCACCCATAGCCCCGTATGCCTTCAACAGCACGCCCCAGCTGCGCCAGGACAACAGGTCTGCCTCGACACCAGCCCCCCAAACCCTGCAGCAGCCTCCCAGCCACGCCAACCAGACACGACTCGGCCACCCCTCTCACCCCTCCTCATCCTCCGATTCCACAGTCTCCACCTCTGGCTCGTCCAACCGCTCGTCGGCTGGGCCACCCACAGCTGCCAGAGATGACCGCGACACCAAGAAACCTTACGACTCCGCTGCGCCCTCCATCACGCTATCCACCTCCATACCCGATCTCTCGCTTTCAATAGGCGATACGCCTGCCAAGCCCTCACCAGGACGATACAGGCGAGGCGCTGGACGGACAGACTCGTCCAACAGCATTCCGACCGGTGCCTCTACCCCGACGCAACGCTCTACATCAGGAGGAAACTCCCAGATGGGACCCACGCAGAATGACGGCCCACAGCCATTCAGGCCAGGGCACAACCGAGCGAACAGTGCAGATGATACGCAAGTTATTCGCTCAGGCGGTATAGACCCCGCTAAGCGATATAGAAGACGCAGTTTCAACGGACTGGAAGGAGACAACAACGTTACCTCCGCCATGGCATCATTGCAGGTTAGCTCAGGAGCTGGTTCAAGCACGACGCCGAGCGCCACCACCACCACGCCCTCGAATTCGAATCGTGCAGGAAGCCGCCCCGACTCGAGTCACAGTCATGAACGGCAAGGCAGTGCAGGCAGTGCTTCCTCTAACAACTCTTCAAGGTCTCAGGTGAGTAGAGTGACTTCACCAGACTTTCGCAAGCTGACAAGGAATCCAGTCTCGCCCTGTGGTGAACACGCAGCGCAGCTATGCCTCCGTAGCAGCAGGCGGTCCTTCCAAAGCACCTGAGCCTAACAGGCGGCAAGCTCCATCTCCTCTGTCGCACCCGGTCTCCCCATCAGAGCCTGCAAGCCCTGCGAAGGCACCTGTACTACCTAGCACAGCGATGCAACACCTCAACGCTGTGAACGACAAGGACAAGGGAATGAAGTCCCGGCTACGCAGGGCCTTTTCTTTTGGAAGCGCAGCTGAGCTTCGAAAGGCTTCTGCTGAGAATAACATCTCGGCAGAGCGTGCAAGATTGAGGAAAGACAAGTACCAGAACGACGAGGATGCCGAACAAGCGGCGATTATCGCAAAGCAAGAGGCGGCAGGTATTGGCGCTGGCATCTACTCAGGACAGGGTGGCATAGGCTCTACTGACAACCTCTCAATACAGTCAGCCGCGTCGTCTGCATCGGTCATGCTCCGCAAGATGGGCCATGGGATGAAGAAGGGCACAAAATCCATCAAGGGCCTCTTCAGGCCAAAGTCGGTCATTGGAGTCCCTGCCGCCGATGGTCCTATCACTAGACCCAGCGTGGGTCAGGTGTCTCTTGTCACCGTCGAGGCTGAGAGACAAAAGGTCAATGTCAACGCAAACCCTCACGAGCAGATCGGAGGTGGCACTGGCTATCCTAGATTGGAGCGCAATTCGATTGACGCAGGACGGTCCGCCGAGATTGTAAACCCCTCTGCGTTGGGCAACGAGGCTATGTCAAGGAAGAGCATCGTTGGGTCCGATCGTGATCGTGCGGAGGTCCTTTCCTCGATGAAGAAGGGCATCCTGAAACGTACGTGTGCTACGCATTCCTCATATGCAGCTACTAATGAAACATCAGGCACCGGTACAAACTCAGATTCAGGTTCACCTGTTCTGAAACCCGTCGATGCCGTCCCCAATGTGGGCTCATCAAGATCTAGCTCCCCTGCCACGCCAAAAACAGAGGTTGGGCAAGCTCGCAACGATGACTACTTCGGCAAACCACCGCGTATCCCCAACGGCAGCACGAGGAGTCTTCCTACCACACCTCACGGAGGTCTTCGAAACATCAGTTTTAGCCCACGCATTCAATTCCACGATGCATGGTCACCACAGGACTACGATCGTAGAGGCGACATCGCAACGTGTAATAGGCTTACACCGATGCTTGCGCAACAGATCAAGGAGGAACTGAACTCCTTTAAGATGGTATGTACTGCAGCTAGAGTATCGTTACCGGAGCCAAGCTAACCACTCGAACAGGAGATGGAAGTTCACGAGCTCTCGAAACCACACACCCATTTCTTCTAATGATTATGCATCCATCATTTGGACATGGCGTCTTGGCGAATACCTCTCATCGTTGCACTTGCGGATTGGAGCCATCAGCATTTACCAGTTGTCAGCTCTGTTCCATGTTCTGGTTACTACGGACTGTTCTTCCATCTTAGCGAGCATTTGCAATCACGTAGAGGAAGAACGCGTGCTCGCGTGTGGGCTCAGCGGGCGAAGTAATTGTTGGCATCGGACTGCAAAAAAGACGGAGGGAGATCTTTCTAGTTGAAGCCAACCTTTTCCTTGCCCTCATCGTCTCTATTCGTGGTTCAGTCGTATGTTGACGTCCATTTCCTTTACTGTCAGACGTGTCTTTGTCTCTCATTACTTTCCTTGAGTCAGTATCAGTCATGGTTGAGGGGTATCTGCGTTGTCTACATCGGAGAGATACAATATGCGAAAAGGCGAGTCGGACGCACTTGGCTGGCGCAAGAGTCCTTGGTAGTGACTTGTGCTGATTAGCTTGTAATTGGAAAACAATCTTCGGCGCATCTTTGCTCCATGGTGTACGTTGACATCGAATGTGATTTCCCCTATGCACTTCGTCCGCGTGCTGGCGCAGGGCCTCGCGTCCGTGTGGAACATGTATTGATCTACACTGCACTCTACTAATGCGTGATCACGGTCAACCAACCGCGTGCTAAATTTGGTGCACACATCTCTCCGAACCTCGTATGCTCATGCCCTGCAGCGTTGCATTGACGGTCAGACCCCCGCGCATCCATGTCTATTCTGGTAGTTTTCGACAACAATTTCCGAAGCCCCCCAGAAGTTCGCACACAGACATTGCATTTCTATCCGCCACCGACACCTTGATGGTCGTCAAGACCACTTCATGATCTTGTCGCCGTTCAGCAAACCACACCTTCCTGTTCAAGCACATCATTATAATCACGCCGCATTGGTTGCATACATTGGCGGTTCAGGCGCTAGTCTTCCAATTCATTGAAAGCATCGTTTGGGAAGCATGTCCGCCGACTAAGGGAACGCGTGATCCCTCCTCATAATGTGCGACATATGATTCCTGGCAACGGTCTATAAGCGCTAAAAAGATCGGAATCGTAGCGTGCGGCGCCTGGGTGGCGCTGTTAATGGTATCTCTGGAGAACAACGCCCAGGTGCTGCACGTGTCTGTGGTCTGGAGTTCCGTGGTGGACGTGAAACCCAAATTCATACGAATTGACGCACATACTTGAGTAGCAAATAAGAATTGCGTCACACATGCCTTAGACATTATCTCGAGTAGGTCGGACGGTGGAGTGATTGATCACGTGGGGACGTAGCTCGCTTGGTTAGCGCGCCAAGAAAGCGCACCTTCTCCGCCCCCGAGCAAGTCGAAATTGACCTGAGTTCGACCGTCTCTCTTCAGCAACCACACAACAACCGACAAAATGGTACGTCTAATGCGCGGTCGAGATTCCGAAAACGAAGATTGTTGGCGCTGACCGTTAGACAGGCACCTGCAGCAACTGGAGGCAAGAAGCAGAAGAAGAAGTGGTCCAAGGGCAAGGGTACGTGATCCAGCACTGCACACCTTCAGCATAATTATACACCTCGCGAACACGTCGGAAACGCTCGAAAGCCTTATTGATACTCCCGCAACCCTGTTTCACCATCGCGCACTTCAACATGACTCCAGAGTCGATTTGCCACTAACACATAAGCAGTCAAGGACAAGGCCCAGCACGCTGTCGTTCTCGACAAGCAGACCAACGACAAGCTCCAGAAGGATGTCCAGTCCTACCGCCTCATCACCGTTGCCACTCTCGTCGATCGCTTGAAGATCAACGGTTCGCTCGCGCGTCAAGCTCTTAACGACCTCGAGGCCAACGGTCAGATCAAGAAGGTTGTCGGACACTCCAAGCTCAGCATCTACAGTATGTCACCACAAATGCATTTCCAAAGATCCACGTGTTACGAAACCTTGGAAGATTTGGAGATCGTATGAGCGTTCACTAACACACTGCAGCACGAGCTGTCGGCGCCGCCGAGTAAGCCTTACGCAACCGACAATTAAACGAACGTAAATGCGAATCTCGGATAGCTCTTTCGGCTTTTTAACGGCATTCCTCTTTCCATTACCAATCGGCGTCTTCATGAAATGAACGGGTCATACTACATTGGGATGCATGCTTCATAGCGGACATGAAATGAGAGGAACGGGCTCGGGTACAGCACCTAGGGTCCATTGGAGGTGTCGGTTATGTACTAAATGAAAAGACTTCCGAAACACCACCACCCAACTTGACCTTGCTATTAGTGAAAGCGCTCGTGTGCTAATGTTGAGTCCACACTACAGAGTGTTCATTCGTACCACTGTCCTTGTCTTGGTTTTGTCAATGCTTGCAGCCCTCGTGTCCCCTCCCCTTGTTCTGGCTTTTGCAAGCATACTAGCGCTGATGTCTGGCGTCATGTCAATCGCGAATTCCACCGCTTTTACTCTCCAGCTTGAAATTGCCATAGCACTCTGCTCTTTCCCCTAGAGACGTACCGACGACAGGTCTATGTCTTGCTTACACCTCGTGCTTGCTATGACTGCTCACAAGGATATGTCCGGTCAGAGCGCGAGCACGTATTGATCAACTTGCGGACATGTACCATCGGTCTGTGAAGATGGATTTAATCCATGCCGCGGTTCCTTGATTTAGGCCCGTATACTGTCTGAGGCGATACGTTCTCCTACTCCACACACTTCCTGTTTCGTTCCGGTCTTAGACAATAGCAAGAGTACACGGAGGCGGAGGAACGGGCTCTTGGTCAGGACTGGTTGGAAAACTAGAACTCTATCTCATCCAGTCTCAGGCATGCCACGTCCTTTCCTTGTACGCTGGTTGAAGTCAGAACCTCTGGTATAGTATAGCTATCCCTTCCTGTCTGCTCTGCGTTTTGGATCACATCATTTCGCTTGTAGTATGGAAGGCTCGATCTCTCAAGTTGCAAGAAGTCACGCGACGGTGTGACTCAAGGATATACCGGTATTTTGTTGGGATAGATTGGCCACATGGGCCCATCAGATGCCTCACAAATTGCGTCGGTTGAGAAGGACATACTTCATTGCAGCATAGCTATATTTACTTGCCGCGCAAGTGAAGGAGAAGATTCGAGTGTGAGAATAGTTATTAGACATGATTTACAGTAGGAAGGCTGGGGACGCGGGCATCAAGTTTGTGCGTATATACAATGGATATACGCCTGGAAGGCCAGGACAGTATGCCGAGGGAAGCTCGACCTATTGTTCATATTTCCGAACCGGCCTGCCCTTTTCGGCCTGCTCGCACAAGCCCCTCTTAGGCATTTTGTCCTGCCATCCAGGTTCCCTCTTGACATAGCCTACCCGCCTATACGGCTTACCCTTGTCTCCACGGAACAACATATGCCAGCCCTCCAGACCGGCAACCATCTGTTTTCTAGCGCTCTTGAGTTCCTGTGCACGCCTGTTCTTCAGTTCTCCCTTGCTCAATGGTTTCCTCTTCCGCGCCTTTTCCATTTCCACTTCTCTTTCTTCCTGTGTCAGACCGGCTTTCTCTTCGGGCTCAACGGGTATGAACATTTCCTCTACGCCGCGTAGATCGGGCACAGTGTCTTCGGCGAAACAACCCGTAAGGAAGGCGCGCGCTGCGTCTTTGCCCGCGAAAAAGTGGTATGAGCCGCCGGGTCCGTAGGTCGTAGGCGAAATGGAAACGTCGTAAATTGTACCGTTTAGAGCGAGGTAGATCGGTTTTGAGGGGTCGCTGCCGTCATATAGAGCCAATTCAGCATCGGTTAGGGTGAGTTCTCCTTGCTACGTGTCATGTTAGCTACGAGAGCTTGTTGGAATGTGTAAGAGAGACTTACCATGAGGCTCTTCCACTCTCGAGCTCTGGTCCACCATGCATTATATCCCCATGTCATGCTTTCTCCACTTGTACTCAGATAGCTCAACCCGCAACTCAATAGGAGGACGCCACCTAGTATGCGCAGTATGTCCAGCACGGATAAGCCATTTGACGTCGCAGCGGCTTGCTCCTTGACGGCTTTCTTAAGCTCTGCTTTCTCTTGAGCGCCCGAGGAGGTCGGAGGAATAGAAGACGTGGTCGTGTCTGTGGGCTCCTCTTTCGCAGCACGGCGGTATCGCTGTGATGAGGACATTATGGCGGTGGTAGTGACGGTAATGCGTTCAGATGCACTGCTTTATTTGCGTGGTCAGTCTACATATAGCGAGAGTTGCTCGGAGACGTTCATACCTGTTCATCCAACAGTTACGCAGCTCAAAGTGTGGTACTCCCGCGTCAACGTCACTCAGATACCGAGGCACAACCCTAACTAGCCGCCGAAGAAAGTATTCGGAGACGTGTCCGCAAGCCAGGAACCGTCGGATGCGCGATGCGGAGAATAGATTGCTTTCGCCTGCGCGTTCCGAGGTGCTGCTGTCGGGAAGTACCACAATCTCGGTTCCGATGATTGGCCACTTTCAGATTGATGTCATTGGCGATCTTGGCCAAGACGCTACTACTGGACTATCACTTTTGGACAACTTGCAATGGATGAGATCGGCATGAAAGACTTGGAATCGCATAACTCGTAGAGTCAATATGCAAATTTCTGTAACCTGGCTACTGTACGATATCGCAGGTGTCATGCGAATGTTTCACTTTTGTAGTAATACAACCCTCCTTTCGTATGTGTATATACAACGTCCATCTTCCATCTTCTCTCCACTAGTTGTGTGATTTGCATGATGTAGAGATCGTGGCGTTTCCCGCTTCTTAGAGTACTAAATCGTTCAGTGGTCTTTCCTCATTTAATGAGCATCACCCCAATCACTCATTCAGCGCCGTCGTGAATATCGCGGATCTCGACTTGCGCTTCTCTGTCGCTCTTGGGGAAGACCTTTTTGAGTCCTGCTTGGAAGACGCCGACGTTGTAGTCGATGATGGCTTTCTTTTCCGCTGGATTATCCTGGCCCATGATACATACTAGAGCGAGATACCTGTATCCATCGTTAGTACACTCACGATTCCATAACCATGCAGGTAGTCTGCTTACTTGTTAATTTCCCGCAAGTAGAGATATCTGCTGTTCTTCTTCTCCATGGTGATTAGACTCTCGGCATCGTTGTTACCAGTCTCACTCTCATCCTCGCCCTCATCGGGTCGATCCCAGCCATAGATCTCACTAACATCGATGACTACATCAATGTAGTCGGAGCATATCTCATAGCTGCCAATATCGGTCGGGCTTGTATCTGTTGCGATGTAGATCTTGCTCATGATGTCGAAGAGGTAGGCTTTCTCGATGTTACAGGCACCACACAAGTTGTTGAGCAGCGCTTCGAGGGTGGGAAGCTGTGGGATGAGCTTCTGGATCACCTTGCTAAAGGCTTCAAAGATGGAATGGTCGTAGATGGAAGTCTGGTAGAAAGATATGGGCGCCTGCTCATAGCCGTGATCCGATAGTTCGTCTTGCACGCGCTGAATGATGTCGCGGAAAGTGTCACCGCGGAAGTCATCTGAAAGACCGTCGACCTTGTGCACGAAGACTTCCACGTTGATGTTGGGGTATGATTGCTGAAGGTTGAGGATGGTCATGTTCAGTCGCGCAATTGCATCGAGATACTCATCTTGGGCATCGATAACCCATATCAGAGCTCCAATCTCCTCGAAGATGTTGTCGGTATCGAAAGCTGGATCGAAGTAGTCCAGATGACCTGGCAGATCCCAGACTTGAAAGTCCATGAACGAGCTAGCGTTATTAGTCAGCCATGTATGCGGACACTTGGTGATTAACGTACTGCATGGACTCTTTCTTTATCCTGTACGTCGTTTCGAGGTACAGCGTCTCACTTGGCGGCAGCTTGTGAAAGACGACACTTGATATCGAAGACTTGCCGCTCCTGCAGATGGATTTGTTAGCGCGCTCAACACGCTGACCTTGACGGATCTCACCTTCTCTGGCCCATGAGCAGCAACCGCGGCTTGCCATCTCCCGCCTTGCTATTGGGGACGCGACCAGTGTGATACTGCGGCGCAAAGTCAACAGGTGGCTGCTCTGCGTTTGATAGATCCTGCAGAAAACGGTCCATGGTCAATTGAGCACTTGGTCTGAGTAAAGATGAGCTAGCGGATGTCCGCCTCTCCTCAGCGCCATCGTCTCGAACAATGTCGCGAGCAGCATCGAAGGTTGCTGAAGGGCGGTGTGAAAGAAAGCGGCTCTCCATGGTGGTGCTTAGTGGTACAGGGTATATCGCTAAGAGCAGAAGTCGCAGAACTAAGAGAAAATTGGGTATCGTGGGTGAAGAAAGCGCCGCGCCGAGAAAAGACAGAAAACAGAGAGCCGGCCCTTCCTATCGCCCTTCAGCTGGCAGGCATCTGCGCAGTGAAGCGTGCTACTCTCGTGGGGAAGTGACAGGCACGCTGCGACAACGTGTGGTACGAGACCAGCAGGGAGAGGCCACGAGGACGGGCGGTACATGCAAAGGAGAGGTGGCAGAGAAGCGACGAGTCAATCAGGAGCCCCCGTGATGTTCTACAACAACAGTCGTTGATGCGCGCAAGGCAGTCGACACCGAGCGGAAGGCACCCAGGGAGCTCAGGCCATGGTGCAGACGTACATAGGGCTGAGGAAGTCGCGACGCAACCGCCGGGGCTTTGCCAGTAATCTAGCTAGATAGGGAAGACGACGATACACGTGGGGAAAGCAAAGGAGTAAAAGAAGGAATCTGGGCTTACCTCCATGGTTGTTCAGTGGTAGTGTAGCGTCTTTGCGTTGCGCACGGTGGTGATGGTCTTTAGGCCCGAGCCTGCCACTGCCCCAGAACCGCTGTCCTTGCTGATGAGCCGACGCCCAACCCGAATCACGCCTTCAGCCAAACGCTCGGGAGTACTACAACTCTTCCAGGAATGCTTGGATTGCCCTCTGACAGGATGTCCGCCCTGCAATTTCACTTCTCGCAACCACTCTCTGTTGGCAGCCAGCAGCCGAAGAAGCCGGGTCGGCAAGGATGGCTCTCCGCGCGCGCCCAGTCGTCGGGCACCAGAGCGTCACTGTAACACGTTTCGAGGCCGGGTCGGAGACAAGTCAGTGCTGCTGATAAATAGCCGCAGTGGCACGACGCTGAAGCATCTGGAACCGTCGTAGAAGACGGAGAGTGTCATTGTGAGGAGGCGCTTGGTCGCGTGCAGGCCACGTTCGCTTACGGTAACAAGGGAAGATCTTCAGGCACCACCATTCTGTCCTCGTCCCAGCTCTCCAACACCAGCCCAACTTCGATGAAGAGCGAACGCCTTGGTATTTTGTGGCTTGGGACAGTTACCCGATTAGTGTTGTGCCGAAGTCAACCTCCGTCAGCCCAACCTTACCTGAGTCAAGCTGACGATATCAACGCCGCATGGGGGACAAGGATTTGTTATCCGCGGCAGCAAGGTTACACAGCGTAGCAGAGACTATTTCCGAACGTCATTGATACAGCGCTGTGTGCCCCTTTACTGTCAGATGGACGTCGCACACGTGTAGGAGTCCAGTCAGTAGGACATGTCATCATGCGCGTTATCGTCACTCTGCTCGTCAACTTGATGACTTCGCACAAAATGTACATTATATCCCTGCAAACACTGTATTCCAAAAAAGCAATATCAAAACGACCCGACGCTCCGGCGCACCCGGGGTATCCAAAATCAAAAGCCAAAGCCGCTATTCCCATCCATCCTTGTTCCCGTACACCAAAGGCCCTGTACGCCTACCCTAAACAGCTCATAGATTGCGTACTCTTCAGGTTTCCAATAAGAAAATAATTCCCGTTCGTTACTCGGGCGATCTGAAGTACAATACACTCAACCGCCTCAGTCTCGCGGTCCTGTCACCTCGGCACCCAGCGTACCCGCAGCTAATTGACCCAGTCCACCGAAGAAGACAAGAAACATAGCTAGTGCAGTCGACTCTCCCGCGTGAACTAGATCGCCCTCAGGCGCGGAGCCGTCTGACTCCATTCCCTGTATAGCGCGCTTGGTCTGCTCTGTTGGTTGGTATGTAGCATCAGGGTCACCAGCAAATGAGCCTGCGTCAGAATCCACATCTGAAGTGCGCGCTTTCCCTCGTGTGCTGCGTCTGAGAGACGCACTCGTGGATGCGGAAGTGGATGTACCATTTACGTCAGCCTTCTTTGCCGGGCGCCCAGGCTTCCTCGGCGTAAGAGGCTCTATTGGGGACGAGGGCTCGCTCGCATGCTCCATCACTCTTGCCAGGTCTTGCTTGAATGTGACGTGTTTCTCATGGGTGGGAACGAGAAAAGAAAGTATGCTGCTTTCTAGGATCGCATGCACATCTAGATCGCGCGTGAAAGTCCACGTCAGCAAGCTGATGGCAGCAAAGAGGACGTCGAGGCTGGTGACACTGATAGCCGGGTGCATGCTGATGTGCTTGAGAGCTTGGCCCGCGTTGCTGATATTTGCGAGAAGCCTGTTTGCATTCGCCGAATCGCTCTTAGCAATAGAATTCGCGAAGAGATCCCAAACGTGGGAGCGCTGGGCAGGTCTGTTGACGTACACCAGAGTAGTCCACACACGCCAGTATACGAGGATAGAGGCAATTGATAGCGCGTGGAAGACTTTGACGTATGATCTATGAGCCGCTGCTTTAGACGTATGCTGATGACCCAGTGCGTAGGGAACCAACTGTGGCGCAAATGCAAAGGCAAGTGGCATGGTCAGGTATCCGAGTCGCATCATGCTCTTGTCGCCGAACTCGGAGACTAGTTGTGGAAAGAGATTCAGAGTAATGAGCGACGCAACGATGCCAGTGTCGTATACGAAAGCATATGGTGTGAACAGCGCGTCGTGCAACGGGGTATCATCGTGGTGTATGGTCAAAGGCGTATACAAGATGGTGATGAAGAACAAGCTCAAAGAGTACCCTAAGCTTCCAATAGAGCTCAGTAGTACGAACGACGCAATGGTTGTGTTGGAAAGATTGCGCCTGCGGCCTAAAGATGACCAGTCAGTGAGGGACTTGGAGAACCTGCGTCGATCGCATTGCACATACCTTCAGCGCCCATGAATATGGAGCTTGCGATCAGTCCAACGAAATACTGGCTAGTATACAGAAACCCCTCCGGTTTCATTATTCCAACTTTGTCAAACTCGCGCACGAGATCGATGTCCGCGATCCAGTCGGCTAGATACCATCTCCCTTCCTCGCCAGTGCCATACCAGCCACTCCAGAGACTACCTGGAATGTCATGTGTATTCTCTCCAGCCCATCGCACGTAGGAGATAGCGCGCCAGAGGAAGGCAAAGCTGCCGACGGAGAGTAGTGAGAGAAGCGCAATGATGGAGAAGGTGACGGCATGGCGGCGGCGAGCCGAGTCTTGTGAGCGCGTGCGCGTTGATGGTGGCTGAGATTTGGCGGCGCGTCGAGTAGTGAGAAGTACACGAGCTGTGAGTACTGTAACAAGGAGCACTTGGCCCCCGAAGATGGCGATGGGGAGTGAGTTACTCCGCGTAGATGCGACTGTATCGACTGGCGCCATGATGTTGGCTGGGTGATGCGATCAGTGATAGAGTCAAATGCGCATTACGCGACAGCAACGGTGAGGTTAGGAGACAGAAGCAAGCCAGCCCAGCTGGAGGCATGCCTCGCTTGTTTTGATCTGGAACGCGCCTGCCTCCCCGCCCACGTCACTGACGTATGAACTTCCAGATGTCTGGAGCTCGCCCTTGCGCCACGCTAGACCCCATTGGCCTTGGCCGTCGATCTGGCGCATCTTCGTTTTGGCTTGCGCGACGCGATCCCAGGCCTCCGACTCAATACCCACTTTACCATGCCACACACTTATGGCGACGAAGACCTCGAGAACGTCGACGAGAAGTACCACGAGTCGTCCGATGAGGACTTCAACCCCGAAGCCGCGCCTCCCGAAGAGGCATCCAGTTCCGAAGACGAAGACCATGTCACGATAGAACCCACACAGCGCAAGGGCAAGCGGAAAGCGCCCGCCGACGAAGACCTTGATTCTGGAGACGAAGTGACAATACAAGCTGCGCGGAAGAAGCGGGCGAAGAAGAAGGGGAAGAAAGGCGGCAACGATGATGCAGACGAGCTGATCATATCAGATGATGAAGGCGGGGAGGGTGGACTTGTCAAAACACGGGCGCAACGGAGGATTGAGGGAAAAGAACGGAGACCGCTTGCAAGGACCGAGGGCGCAACTGTAGATGTCGATGCGCTATGGGCCCAAATGACAGCAGCGCCTCTGAAGCCTTTGGATTCCGCAGCATCACATGAATCAGCTGCACAACAAAATCACGTACCCGTAGCCAACGTCCCAGTATCAGCGGAAGAGGAAGAACAGCTCACGATCAAGAAAGTCTTCACCTTCGCTGGGCAGGACACGACCGAGGAGAAGCAAGTTCCACGCTCGCAGCTCGACAAATACCTCAAAGATGGGTGGACGACACTCGATGCGTCCGCAGCGACAATACCCACGACAGAGTCCCCCAAAGATCCCTCCGAGTCTAGTGGACCCAAGATCCGTCGCCCCCTCCGCCGTCCATCCCGATTCGACCCCAACCCTACAGGCTACGTCCGCGCCCTCGCACCCGAACACCAACTTTTCTGGCCCCGTGCCGCCGCTGCCGATCTACAACGCGAGCAGGAAATTCCGCCAGAAACAGACATATCGATCGCGAAGAAGGTCGAGAAGGCGCAGAAGCTCAATGTCGTGGACAAATCGCGCATGGACTGGACAGGCTTCGTGGACAAAGAGGGAATCGCAGAGGAATTGGATACACATGGAAAGACTAAGGAAGCCTATCTGGGTCGTATGGAGTTTTTGGCTGGTGTGGAAGCGCGGAGAGAAGAAGAGAGGAGGAATCTGAAGATCAAGGCTGCAGCAGCTGCTCCTACGATGGGGTGAGCCGTGTGCTAAAGATGTACTGGAGAGTCGTGGATGTTTTTAAAGATACCCAATTATTGCTCAAAGCGACAATCACTGGTTGATGCGTGCGCTTCTGCATATTCATCACGTGTAGGTCTATATCATTGAGAGCTATGCATAGGACGATCGAGTAGAAGAGTATAAAAAGCACCGAATTGTGAGCAAGGAGCGAAATCACAATGAACTGGCTTGGAGCTACGATCATCGGAAGAGAGACAAACGAGTGACATGGAGCAGACCCCGAATTATACCTCCACTTCCATCTTTTAACCCCCTCTATACATCTCTTCAGACTCTCAACCGGAATGTCTTCATTCTCCTTCCTTCTTCGTCCTCCTCCTCCCAATACTACGTTTGTGCCACCATCTAAAAAGATGTGGCTATGAATGGCTCAGTGAGACTCCTGGACTGACTCCAGAGACGTTGATTTGTACATGGTATTGCAACGGCAGCCATGGATGGTGCAATGATGTTTCGAGTACCCAATGAGTAAATACAGTGGATCGAACACTGGTGGAAAGATCAAGACCCTGTCGAAATGATTGTATAAGCGCTCCTGAACACCCAAATAACTGTAATGATCCTGCGCGAATAATGTGTGTATGGTGCCAAAGTGAGAGGTGGCCGATACGTGAAAGCGTCGTAAGATGAACACCGTTTCCGTACGACCTGGAGGTAACTACAAGGTGAGCTCCTCGAGCGCGGTCTGAAAGTCGTCTTCTTCTTCCTCTTCGTACTGAACCTGTGCCTTGATTGGTTTCGGCTTCATGTTCATGCGTATACACGAGACTATAGCTCTGGATTTCTCAGAGCTGTTTGCCTTGAGACTCGCAAGCTCTCGTCCTGCCATTTTCAGAACGAAACTGGATTTCTCCGGCCTCTTGAACTGTGCATATAATGCTGATGCCTTGATGGTGTCCCACATGCATGAACCGGGCGTAAGGTAATCATCAAGCAGAGGCCGGATATCAGTGTCGTCCGGGTATTCGGGCTGTATAGCCTGGAACTTCTGGTAGCAGTTGTTTACAACAGCGTTTAGCCGCTCCGTCGTGCTCACATCACCATGCCAGCCGGAATTCCAAGTACAATTGACGTCGTCCAGCTTTCTTGTCAGAGAGAGGATTTCTTGCTTAATAGTCTCCGATCCCTTCTTGGCGAGGTGATCAATTGGATACAAAAGCGCGTCGTCTAGCTCAATAGCTTCCGAGAGAACGGACCTGACTCGACTCATTGTCTCGATGTTGTGTGCTCTTACGATGTCGAAGTAGAGGTAATCGACTATATGGTTAGATCGAACTCGCCGATCTGCTTTACGGATTTTCTCAACACCTGCTGAGTCCCCCTTGCTGGCGCACTTTTTCATCTCTTCCTTATATCGCGGCTGTCTTGGTTTCAAGTTGGCTACATACTTATCAAACTTCGTCTGCGTAAATACGTAGCCCTGTTTAGACGCATCGACTAGCAAATCATGCATATCGTACAGTCGTTCAAGTATCTGAGAATGAATGCGGTTTTCGGTGTATGCTTGTTTCTCTGCGAAAGTGGTGACGAGACCAAGCAGCGAGGAGTTGTTACGAAACTCGAAAGCTTTACTGAGGAAGTTGTCCACCTGTTCAGGTTCGCTGGTGTTCATGATATCTTCGAGCTTCTCAGTCCGTGTCTCTATGCCGTATTTCGCAGGCTTGGGTGTAGTCATTGGCGCTGGAGCGTTCCGAAAAGGGCGCACAAGTTTAGGTTCCCAACAAATCCAAAACATATCACCATCGTAATCGCCTCCTTGTAGCTTCCCAGCTAGTGGGAACCGGCCTTTGCAAGGAAAGATCACTACGTCGACCAGATGCGACAGTTCAGGTCGTATGACCGTGCGGACTTTTTGGATATCCGAGCGGCGACAGGCAGGCTGACGAGTGACGAGAGCTTCCATGTCCCTAAGGCAGAGGTACTTTTCATCGGTATCCTCGTCGACAAATGAGGAGGAGAACTGTACTTGAATCTCTCCTGGTTCTAAGACTCCAAAAGGATCTGCTATTCCATAAAAGTACGCGGACTTTGCGAGAGGCACACGTAGCTTGGATTCCTGGAAGACATGCTTTGTCTGGATAAAGCGTTCGAGACTTCTGGCAAGGTAGGGAAACTTGGTAGGTACGAAGCCCGCCTCGAGCAAGAACTTCAACTTTTCCTCTAAGGATACCGGCAGTGCAGCTTGCCAGTCAGGTTCAGCCTGAGTCTTCGTACCGTTCTGGTGAACCCATTCGTAGACCTTGACTGGATCTGGTAGTAAATGTAGCAGCTTCTCGCGTTCGCTTTCGAGTCGCTCTTCCATGAGACTAGCAATAACTTCTTTCTTCACGCCTCGATCGGCCAGAATGGGTATATACAATATATGCAATTCCGACTGTGAAGGCGGAGAACTGAAGTTGGAGACCTCAAACGTTCGATGATGATGCATTAAATCGTCGGCGGGTGGATGAAACTTCCACTGACTCCTGTTGATCTTGATCCAGTGCTTGAGATGCTCCGGATCTTTGGTGTAGGATTCCGCGCTAATCATCCAAAGTCCCTTGGCTCCGCCAATGCGTCCCTGGAATGTACTGGGCAAAGGTCCCTTCATCCCGGTTGTTTTCTTGTATAGCTGCCATATGGCTAATGCAGCGCCAACGGAGATAACTGAGCATCCATCGTTCATGACCGAGCCATCCGGAATCGCCTGCCACTCTAAGTCCGAGTCATTGTACATAGTGTCCTCCGGATCGTTTGTGGCCAAGTCGT